TCCTTTGCTTAATCCATCTGGTTTCAACATACATTAGATGATAGTCATCTGTTGACTGAGAACGACATGCTTAAAGTACAACTTTGCCCCTTACCATATTAGCGGAAATACATACACAAGATTCATGAATGAGAATGTATGCATGCTGTTGATCAAGTCAAAAATTGAATGTGCCTTCTTTTTCTTGGTGCAGATTACATATAAAATGTTGGACGGGAAGATATTTTCACATGCACAAGAGATTTTTCAAAGACATGTCGGGGAAAGAGCACAGCTTCTAGCTAGACTAGACTTAAAACCAGTACACACAAAAACAGCATCCAATTTGTTTTTAGCACCTGAAATTGAGCTTTTGATGAGCTTTTTTTACGCCAAATAAGCATTGCCTTTTTGCTTTCACAATTCTTTATTGTATTTTATCGGACCAACATCTATACATCTATCTTTGTAATGACTGGTTATACATTGGCACGCAATCTCTGGAGGGTATGGGATGAATTCAGATGCCAAACCTCCAATCATCCTATCCAATCACGTGTTAGGAGGCAATCTCTCACGAGAAGTCCCATGCCCCATCCATATGCTCGTGCTTTATGTCTCTGGTCCCAGTCAGTGGCGCATGCATGAATTTTCTTTTCTTGGGGCAAGAAAACACTACTACCAGGTTACCAACTAGTAAAGATCAATCAACTCTTAGATGAATATAAAAATAATCATACGTGCACAAATTAGTGACACAAACCTTACACATTCTATCTAATTCCTCTATTGCACGACACAAAGAGAAAAATGAGAAGACTAAGTCTAGAGAACAAAACAAGAAGAATAATACAAGTATAGCAGTAAAGCAAGCTGCCAATGGGGTCATACCATAGTGAAAAAGTATCTCATGTTCGAAACCCCTAGGCACCAATATATGTAAGTAAATTCCCCTCCCCCTTTCAACCTTTCATAACAATTTGGCACCTTCACAGGGCAAGTGCCTTCAATGGACTCTTAATGGATCCGCCAAATGGTCCCAGTGTGTATGTTTCATCCTAAACCACAACCCCTTTGGGAGCCATGAAAATGTAGGTGATTAGTCAATTAATAAATGTCAATCACCGTTGCAATGATGTAAGAGTAACAGACAAAATGCATACTTGATTAGACAACTTTCACCGACGTGATTTAACCCGGTTCCAAGTTCGAATCATCTCTTTTTATTATGTGGTTCAGAAAGGTTTTCAGTTGAACCTAATCCCAGGATTTCAAAACCGAATTCTCTTCGAAGTGAAATTTTTTACTGCCAATTGATGGCATCGAGTTGATGTGTTCTGATTGTAGAAATAATGTACAAGAACGTGGAGACCTGTAGTACAATGCAACATGTTTAACAAAAAGAGTTCCACCACGCATACAGATTCTTTTTTGGTAATAGATTTCACCACTCTTCTGTCTGGCCCGAATATGGGAATCAAACTGAATGATTGAAATCTTTTGTGCCGCAATTGATCTCATAGAATGTGAATCGATCCTCAAGCACCAGCAGAATGTCGATCCTTAACTACATAAAGAAAGTTGTTTCCTACATGCACATTGTTGTAGAACAATCAGTATAAAACCAAAATAACAGAATAATAAAAACCAACGAATATATTTTATATAGATATAATTGAATCAATACAACAATAATATAGATTTTAGAATACTGATTTGAATTGTAGATAGAGTCCTGCATATTTGCAGTGTCCTTTAGACAATATTTCTCCTCTACCCTTGTGCTTGTAGTTCGATAGGAGTCTGTCCACCAGAATTAAACTATCTTAAATCTAAGCCTAAGCACAGTGGTTTTGATTTATGGCGAACAGTGGTATGAATTCTCTCATAAAGTGTAAAATGTGAGAATGATAATGCAGTTCAAAGGTATCTTTCTGGTTTGATCGTATTGTCATTATATAGAGGTTTGACACCTCTTCAACCAACAGTTATGTTAACTGTTTAATTAATTCGAATTTCAGATTTTGGTTTTATCTGAAAAACCGAATTTTCAATTAATAAAAATAAATTATTAATTAAATCAACAGAGCCCAAGAGGCCCATCTTTTGACAACTAATTATATATATATATATTTATTACACAAATATATATATAATCCAAGCTCAAACCATATTAAGGCCCAAGTTTGCCTCCACTAGACCCATACTCTATTTAGTAATTCTAATGTGTTGTTGCTTATAAATCATGGAAGAAAACTACTCTCTTCCAATGTGGAACTAAATGTAAGTGTCTTTTCCTATACAAACACTAACACACATGTCATGCTCTGTGAGAGATCAAATCAAACCCATAAAATTGTGGATCCCAAGTCAAATAATTAAGCCAATCAATTTGTGAATTATTTGGTTTAATTGGGAGTTATTTGATTTAATTGTCAATTATTCGATTCTTACCCTAATTAAGGAATCAAATCCCTAATTACATCAATCTCTCAAAATTGGGGAAGAATAATTCCTTTCCATCTGTAGAATTATTCTTCTGAAACCCTAGCCTTCGAGGCTCCTATAAATACATGGCTACACCAAGGGTTGAGGTATGTCTAAACTTCTATCTCAAAATACTGCAGAAACTCTATCTCAGAAACCCTAGTTGCCATAACTCTCTCTCTCTCTCACACAAGGCTCCGGCCACCTGGTTCACACCATACATATATCTCTATACCATTTTGTTAGCTATTGTTTTTCTACAAACACTCGAACTAACTTAGGCATCAGAGGACCTTTGGCCAACACTCCCCAGGTGTGGTCCTCTTATTCCGATTGGTTTTGCAGGGAGAAAGATAAGTGAAAAGGAAGACGAAATCTTAGACGAATATTCTCGTATGACGAAAATCGTTCCCACAGTCACTCTAAACAGAACATCTATCAATCCATTTGCTCTTAATTTGTTTTAATGATAATTACATATTAATTCCACGCATTGATTTTAACATAATCTTTTCAAGAAACAAGAAGGTGAAATAGACAAAGTTATGCATGGTTCATATGATGACGACAATGCATGGTTTATGCACCACTTTTAAAAATAAAATAAAAAAACCATTGTGGGGTTGCATGTCCACTAATTTTACCTGTAAGTGATGCTGCACTTTGTGGACTAGATAAAAAGTAAAGGAAACCTTTTGTCGCGGCCATGTTATTACTAGTGTTTTTCCAGTTTGACCATTCAAGGATGCAAACCAAAGCATGGGAAATGAGAAACTTATTCCTTTTGCTTGGCTAAGTTTTTGTTCACCAGTGGAATTGATTTGACCAAATTAAAGTAGAAAACTTTTATATATCTTTCTGAAGTTTGCAGCAAACACAAGGAAGAAGGAAGAAGGCATGAAGATGCTTGAAGATGCTGTTCTTATCGCCATCTTTTCTTTTTTCTTTAAAGAGGAGGACAGTCATGACCCAAACTCTCCATTTCCTGCCTGTGGTGGAGTTTGGGGATGCATCACTGAGGTGTATGTGTCCCCTTCAGGGACTATTCGTCGCATCAATTTAATTACAAGATTAATTAAGAGATTTTGATTGAGTTGTCTACTCCAACAAAAGTTGGTGTGAACTAAAAAAAAAAAAATTTAAAATTTTAAAATTAAAACGTGATAGTTTGACATGCTTGCTAGATTATGATAAAGAAACATTAAGCTCATGAAGCTCCTTTTTTTATTTTTATATATGCATTCTTTTATCAATAATTGATCAAAGTAGCTAGGTTACAATCAGTTCTTTTTGTTAAGCAAATTGTCTAGTATTTCAATTTAATAGATAAGCCTAATGCACCACCATCCATCTGACCTAACTTACGTTTGCCTCTAAGAATCGAAGCGTAATTAGTTAAACTGATATGTATTCCTCTAGTTGTTTGGTTCTATTTTATAAATTTTGGGGGTTTCAGAGAGATCCTTTGATGAATTGATGAGCATGGGATTAACACTTTCTATAGATAAATTATAATATTAAAAAGGAAAAAAGAGAGTTTAACTATATACGATACCCAAATCAATCAGCTCAGCATCTAGAACTTCAAAATAAATTGTGGCTCAATTGAATTCACCTGGATATAAACATAAACAAAGACAATGGGAGTGAGATTGTGGAGCTTTCACAATGTGGAAATCTAAGTCCATGTTTTTTTTTTTTTTTTTTTTTTTTTTTTTTTTTGTATATGAGAAAAGGTGGATACACCAGGCAGCAAAGCAATAGCTGCCAACCAACCATAAATTGGGGGTTATCTGTGGAAGATAATGGTGAAAATAAACTTATGAAAGTGCATAGTTTGGCCCATTTGGGAGATAAAAAAATAGTGCATTATAATTTGATTGAGATGGGCCTATTTGGCATCTTCATCTTGTGCTTCACCATGATCTTGATGGAGACTGAGTGTAGTCCTGGCTGCGCCTGATAAGACGATAAATTCATGGAGTTATTGGAACAGAGCTGTCAAGAAGAACACTTGTCTTCTTTTTTGGGTTTCTTCCTCGTATACAAATTCAAATACAACTATACGTATAGAATAAAACCATCACCTTGTAAACATACCCATTTCTTTTGTATTGGGGAAAATGCGGGGCTAGAAGCCCAACAACAACTCATTTTAATCGAAGCACACTACAAGAAGACCATATTTCTTTGAAAAGTATAACACAATACGACAAAGTTGAATCCAATATGATCAAGCAAAATACAGCTACAGAAGAAGGTTGGAGTGGACAAGAATAGGACAGAATCATACACGCTGTGCCATAGCTACGAGGTACCATGTGTTTTACACGATTAAATGCTCGCCACGACAAAATAAGTGTTCCCGGCCCCCTCCAGGATCCTTGTATGGCAGGCACCCAAGCAAAAAGGAGCCCCATCCTAAATCAAGGGACCCTAACAATAATCACAAAAGAAAGCAGGCTGATGATGTGCTGGAAATGACCCGATACTTCTTTTGTATCAATAATCCAATGACTGAACTTGTCTATGTTTCACTCATTCCCCAAATTTATGGACCCATCCTTCATCAGTTTTATGCTTAGACTGTTGAATCTCCCTCTTGAGTAATGTCGAGAAGCCTTTCTCCAGTCTGTCCCAGTTTTCATCATGGCAACAAATTCGTCATAGCTGATAAGCCCATCCTGCATCCATAAAACAAAAACACCAGTTAGTCATCTCAAATATCATAGCATAGGGTCATAGGAAACTCTTCCTTGGGTCCTCACCTTGTCTGTGTCCACTTCTTGAAAGATGTCATTTGCTACATCTGTACAATCATCTGCCCCATCTTCCATCAGTGCATCGCGGAGCTCATCTGGCTCAATGTAGCCATTGCTATTTTTGTCAAAGTAGGAAAATGCCTTGTGAAGATGTTCATCGTTGGCCATTCTCTGTAGGTGGAGGGAAACAGCAATAAATTCTCCATAGTCCAGGGTTCCCTTCCCATTAGTATCAACCTGTTACCAACAAACTCGCCAAATTAAAACCAGAAGAGACTGATTTACCACTGGAAATTATCTCATTCAGTAGTTTTCAAGACTGACCCAGGAACAAGGGCAATTGAAACAGGAAATAGAGACGCATTACAAAAACAAGATATGCTTAATCATCACCTTCACCCACACAACAACTACATTACCTTTTCCATCAAAACACAAAATTTGTGTTCAAAGTCAAAAAATTTGGGTTCAGAACTCTAGGTACATGCAAGGAATGTCTTGAAGTTAAAGGTGCCTAAGAAGGTGTTGTCTACATGAAGACCAGTGCATTTCTAAAGGTGCCTATGCTACTTGAAATCAAACAACCTAGGAATGCATCTAGAACCAACCTCCATGAAGGATAACTTTCTAATCCACCAGAACTATGGACGAGTTAGTCATATTCCTAAGAATGCATCTGTACAGTATTGCTAGTCCACCCAAGGTACTACAAGAAAAAATTGTTTCCTAGGACTGTCCTTAGAATTACAAGTGTATTACAGTATAGGTTGAATGTGTTAACTAGGTAATAAATCGATATCTATGCCAAAAAAACTTAAGTCATCAGGTTAGGAGGCTCATTTGATACTTATATATCAAATACGGTATCTAACCAATGCGTATTCCCCTTAACACCCTCTCATGTCTGCATCTAATTAAAGTAAACAATCAAGAATCATCTCTAACTAATAAAAGATTATGGATCATGAAAAGACCAATATAAATTTCAACTGTTTGATGTGTAATAGATTATGTCATAGTTGATCTCACGCTAGAGGTACTGTTGAACACAAAATATGAAGCAATACTCACAGCTTCAATAAGCAATTGAACTTCAGACTCGGCAAGTTGGGATCCAAAATTTCGAAGTCCAGATTTTAACTCTTCAATTGAAACAATGCCATCATTATCAGTGTCTATCTTCTTAAACATCTCCTTAATGTCTTCAACTTCATCAATGGAAAAGAAATCCGCAATAACCTGTTTGAAGTTCCACTTAAATTAGTCCTTGCATTGAAACATACTACATAACAGCAAACACGTAAGAAAGTTTGTAAGAGCAGTCAACCAACCCTCAGGGCTTTTCTTTTGAATCTGTTCATCATTGAAAACTGCTTAAGCCTTGACTTGACAACATCTCCAAGGGGAATGTTTGGAGCTTTCTTAGCATTTTGGAGCCAAGGATGCTCTGGAAAAAGAGATATTGCCACAGATCAGGTATAACATAAATGAAGCAAGATATAACAACATTTTATGGTTGTACGGCAAAAGCTGTACATAGCAGTGGTCCTATATTTGGAGACTGACAGATTTTCCATGCACAGGATGTCCGTTAAGATCAGAAATGTAGATACTCACACCAATGCATTGTTTGTGCACGTGTGTATCATACCTTATTAACATGTCAAAATTTATTTATCATGTACCAAGATCCCTATCTAGAGTTTGTTGAAACGCAATATTTGACATACATTTCAAATCATATATACAAGATATCAACCTCAGCATAATCTCTTCGTAATATAAATAAGGGCTTGCTCAATTACCACATTTTCAACGTGCAAAGGATCCCTATCACAAAGTATATAATTATCACAAAGGGATGCAAATTACCAAGCACTTGCTTTGCAGTCAATCGTAGCTTTGGGTCTGGCTCCAACATTTGCCTAACTAAACTCTTGGCACCCTCCGAAATATTGGGCCATGGATCACGTTTGAAATCTATCAGTCCACGAAGAATGGCCTGTGCAACCCCTTGTTCAGACTCTGCATAGAAGGACAAAAAGGTAAGTGGAAACCTCTTAAAAGAGAAAGCTCCCATCCCGCAGGGGGAGGAGGAAAGAAAGGGGGGAGGAGCAAGTGGGAGATATAATTACCCGCCCAAAAAGGGGGAACCCCACACAATAAAATATAGAGTATAACTCCTGCACTCCATATATCTATTTCTGGCCCATAATTCCGCTTGAGAACCTCAGGAGCCATGTAGTATGGACTTCCAACAATTTCTGAGAATCTCTCACCTGGAGTGTGGAAAAGTTAATAATCTGATAACATACATATGACAAGAATATATACCCAAATTAGCATAATTAGGAAAAACAGTTGAAAATTCATGCCTGCAATGTTATAGTTTTTAATAACAGTAACAATCGTTCAGAGTTTCTAGACTTAGCACACACAATAGATATTATGAAAAATCTATTTCTTTTCAACTTCCTGTTCATAGTTGGACATTATTGTTGTAACTCATAGACTTTCCACGTAGTAAATTCTTTGTTTCATATCAGAAAAAGGAAAAACTAATCTCTTCAACCACTCTACATGTTCTGTTGCTTGAGTATCCATCTCTTAAAACATATCAATATCATCACATTATGTTTTTCTCAATTTAGTGGTATGTTAGCCTGTTACTTTATTCCACTGGTAGCTAATTTAAATAACTTTTTCAAGCTTTTTCATTACTTGAACAAGGGGGAATCTACAAGGTAGGAGCGGTCAAAGAGAAGTGCAAAATATAAGAGGGAGAATTGATTGCAACAATGCAACTTCTCTAATATGGAACTTGGATAACAAGATTGCATGTATTATTAGAAGTTCATTCTTATCATGAATTCTGCAGTCATCCTTCATCTCCCACTCCCATAAACCAACCAATACATCACCCCACCTTTCCCCCCCTCCTCTCCTCTCAAATGAATTCTTACGGTACGCATCAAAATCTTTGATTGCAACTTAACAATGGCAATCTTGAAATATGGCGTTTCTAACTGTAAGAGCCACATCAGCATCCATTTGTGCACAGCATTGGACAATAGATTAAACAACAAAAATGCGAGTACTGTACAGGGTAACTACAGGCAATTAAGGTAAATAAAGTATAGAATTCATTGAAGATTAAAAAAATATATATCCATACTTGAGCCAAATATAGTAAGCCAATTATGTCTTCAAGGTAGTCACAATCGAAACTTTCTAAGTTACTATATATAGTAGAGATTGTTTCAATTAGCCTTGCAAAATCAGAAACCCTAAATTCAAATTCATACCTGGCTTGAAGAATATAGACAGGCCGAAATCAATGGCCTTGAGAGGCGAATTCTCCTTCTTGTTCGCGAACAAGAAGTTCTCGGGCTTCAAGTCCCTATGAATCACTCCATGCTTGTGACAGAGCTGCACGACCTCAACAATGGTCCTGGTGACCGCCGCAGCAGCTCGCTCCGTATAATGCCCCCTCGCCACAATCCGATCGAAGAGCTCACCGCCCTCGCACAACTCCATCACCAAATGCACGGCATTTTCATCCTCACAAGCCTCCTTCAAGCTCACGATGCTCGAATTCTTCGGCAAATGCTTCATAATCGCCACTTCGCGCCTCACATCCTCGATGTCCACTGCAGTCCTGAGCTTCCGCTTCGAAATGCTCTTGCAGGCCAAGAGCTCACGACTGTGGCGGTCGATACAGAGGTACGTGACGCCGAACTCGCCGCGGCCGAGCTCTCGATCCACCAAGTACTTCTCCTCGATGTTCTCCTTGGGCACGCCGGTCAACACTGTCGTCGGAGCCTTCTTCCCGGCGCTGGAGTCCCTCCGGCCGTGATCGTGGCCGGAAAAGTTCGATTTCACGTCCTCCCTGGCGACGGCGGCCGGAGATCTGCAACAATTGCCCATTGCGAAGCGCGCGCTTGGTGGCTCTGCACGGATCTCGCCAAAACCCTAACTAGCCCTAGGCAAGCTAGGGTTTCACATGATAATGCCGAAACCCAAGCCTTGTGAGAGAGAAAGAGAGAGAACAGCAGCAGAGTACTCTGAACTGTGAAATCAAAGCAAATGCGAGAGAAAGAGGGGAAAAGAGAGAAAATGGCCTGCAAAAGATAGTGAGGGTGTATGGTGTACCTAAGTTGTAGAGTGAAGAAGAGAGTGAGAGTGATGGTGTTTTGGAGATTTTTTTTATATTAATTTTTATTTTACGCAATTATTAATTTGAAATAAAGAAAAAAAATTAAAAAATTTGAAGAATATTTTATGTTCTTCTTTGGTTCTGTGAATTTTGTCGGGTCATCGAGAAGGAGGGTTTGAACGGTCGGAACGGGACGGTGAGAGTTGAGGTAAAACAGAGAGGACGATGGGTTGGCGTTGGCCGTTGGGGGTTGTCTGTTTGTTTGTTTGTTTGTTTATAATGGAATTGTTGGTGGCCTTAGGTTTGCGGTTTAATTAATTTGTGATATATTTAACCCAACAACTAGAGCCAGAAGGCAGAGGCCAGGCCCAGGGGCCAGAGGCTAGACAACAGACAGAATGATAGGGCTTAATTAAATAATCAACTTTATTTTGCTGCCCCTAAGCTTGTGGGAATTTACTATTCTGCCTTGAGTAATTTGGCAATTTAGATTTCTGTCTCAGTTCTTAAATCTGTTTTTTCATAAATTTTTTTGACCAATTATAAATTTAAGGAGGAAAAAAAGGAGTGATCTTTGGGCTTCTAATTTTGCTTCTTGATTAGTATAGGGAAGATATTTGTAAACAATGTGAACATAACATTTCTTGTTGGGTTTTACATATGAGTCATGTGATAAATCGTCACGAGAGAAATGTTATATACACTCATTGTATGCAAAAATTCCATATAATGCAAAAGATTAAGTGAGATTTGAAATTCGTTTTTTGATTTGAAAATATTGGAAAACGTTAACTAGCAGATTTACCAACTTGAAAGGCAACCTTGCTAATGAAATGCTATAAAATTTATTTGATTAATATCATCAATTATGGATGTCAAAACAGTGCCATTAATTTTTAAAGGAAATATGCCAGAAGAGGTAACGTGCAAAAAATAGAAGCAAAATGAGAGATTGTAACAAAGAAGAAGAGACACAAACAACATTGACCTACATCCATATTATATGTTGAGCAAGGGCTTTGATGTAAAGAGATTGAGTGTGGTGGGTTTGAATTAGAATTAACCAAGTTTGAAGTGCCTAAATAAGATTGAGGTGAATAATTGGAGCACGATGAGAAAAAGCCAAACACAAAAAGAAAAGAGAGTGAGAATTAAGGAGAAGATGCTGCACGTTGTCTGTTTTTAGCCCAGAATTAGAGATTAAAGGTAGGGGGAGGGGCCTTGTTGTCTGTTCTCTCTCTCTCTCTCTCTCGGACTGAGTACGTGGGTCTCATTTAGCAACCGGCTTTCAACTTTTTTTGATTTTGCTTCCATTTTGCTTTGCTTGCTTCCTCATGAAGAACTTGATTTGTGGGGGCGTAAATGAATAATGAAAATAATGAATGGCTTGGTTTTGAACTTTGAATTAGTGTGGGGTTTTGTATGAATTGCTGGGTCCAATTTGTTGTATAACACAAGGTTTGCCTTTCCAAGTTTGATCTTCATTAAGTTGCTGGTTCATTATTTCGAAAGCAATTGTGACCAACAGAACTGCTCGAGGAAAAAGCAATTATGGCATAATATTTGCTTGTGTAAAGTTGGAACAAAGGCGACCTGCAATGTCGCCAAGTACAGAATGCAGCCGAAAAACCAAACGACAAGACTTGTGGGGAAAAAACTCTTTCAACTCTCTCTGATTCATTAGTAACAACACCAGTGAAGGTCACACATGCGTACCATTCAATTATAAAAGCAAACCAAGCCCCTAAAAACCTCTCCAATGAAACATACACATATAGGTAGACAATATGATGTCGTTGACATGTTCTTATACGGAGATGAAAGTCCATATAAATTCTCAACATTATTTGAAATTAGTTGAGAGAATGTTGGTGAGTGGAGACGCACCTAAAATTCATACGAAAAAGTGTACAACCCTACGTTATGTATACTCGTTTGTATATCACCACTTTTTATATATCTCTTTTCACATAAAGTTTTTCTTGTATACAAGATACTCGCTTCATGTGTTGTCTATCAGTTACACACACAAAACATGACTAAAAAGGAAGAAAAAAAGGGTACTTATGTTATGCATTAGCTAGATAACAAATATATCTCTACTCTCTACCCAATTCAATGTTGTTTAAGTGTGTTTAATTCACCATGCTCCATCACCCTTCAAGTTTATATGATGAAATTTCCCAAATAGAAAAAGGCACAAAAAAATATAAGGAGAAAGAATACTTTTTTCAATAACTTCACTTTGCGAGAGTAATGTAGTCAATGCAAGTGGATCCCACAATGCCTTCGAGACCAGCATTATCGCACATGAACAACTGTTTCTAGCACAACTTAATGACTTATAATGTGAAAATCAAATAGAGTACTAGTGTGAGTGAGATATATACTATTTATGATGGATCAAGATTTGAATATGTATGTGAAAGCCAACACACTCTTGCGGGCTGTACATATCGAATGCCTGCTTATATTGAAGTTGCAGAAGAATAATGATTATGTTGATAATAATAACAAGCTATGTGTGTATTGTGTTGTGGGTTGCGTCTTTACAGCTCCTTTGGCTTGGCTTGACTTGAAAGCCTGGTGGACTTTATGAGGTTGATCACGTAATTTCCGAAAATGTGAGACCTACTACCAGCCATTGAGGAAGCAAAAGTCAAAGAGTAGAATTGATTAAGATCAAAGTATCGCAATCAGATATTAAAAGAACAACTTCATGTAAACTTCTCCAGAATATTTTATATACGTAGGCTGCTTCGTCATCTCTTGTGTCTTGTTTCAAATTGATGCAACATCGCCAAAGTACTACAATACAAGCTAACTAACTTGCTTTGCTCCCAAGACATCCAATACAGCTCAGCTAAGGTTTCAGCCTTTCAGAACGATACAACACAGATATTTTTGCCAATTTCTTATCAGATAGTTGTGCTCCATTGCTGATGTGTCCCATATATGACGTCAGATTTCCTGATCTCTCTCTCTCTCTCACACACACACACATATGCTGATGTGTCCCATATACTTATTTATTGCATATGTTCTACATATTACAAATGTGTAAATGCAACGCTACATCCGAACTAACTTAACGTGTTAGTGAGTAATTTTTCAGTGTGACAGTCACCCTCCACGTAGTATTATCAAACCACTCATATTACAACACACGTAATTCTCATATAAAACCAAAACTAACATATGTGAGCTAATCAATGACAACCCTCAAGAACACAAACATAATACAAATAACAACACTCAATAAGCAAAGGCCAATGGATGCATAACGCAAATTCTCATATAATCGTATAAGTGGTAATTCCACACGTGAGGTCGTATTGGTGTTAGATATCATGAGCCTACCGTATTCGGAATTTATTAATATCCATTAATACGACCATTAGGTTTGCTTAAAGAAAGGCATGATCTCATGGTTTTCGTGTGAATACCAACCAAACAAATTTAGAAGCTCCAAGCGGGTCAAGGCAATCATCTTTGGATTTGACTTTAATTTGATAAAATAGTAATCCAAATGCATAATGCCGAGGTTAATTTCCTGCGTGACCAACGCTTTTGATCAGGACACGAATCCAATATTCTGATCGAGAGGTCCCCATTATAGATGATCAACCATGGGGGTTCATGGACATGTACTTGCACACACCATTGACTTGTTCATCAATTTGAATATAATTTCAACCCAAGTCGTTGAATTTTTATAATAACCCTAAGAATTTGAAGGAGTAAACTCATACCTATTCTCCACTTTGCGTTAGTCAAAGTCATTTCAATTTCCAACTACAAATATTGACGTTCGGCAAAAGAAAAACTACAAATATATATTGTCATTTTCGTTCCTTTTCCCCCCTACTATATGTTATGTATTTTTTTCGGTAATTTGACTATACATTTTGCAGTTGGTGAAATGTGTTCACCAAAATCTAGATTTGAGAGTATCCAAAGTATGAGGAAATATCAAAGGGCTAGAATATAGGTATCCTAAACATATTTTAACACTTATAAATTAAGAGTCAATTGTTATAAGTAATATCGGGGTAAGGAGAAATCAAAAACAGGATGCAAACGGTAAATGTGTATACTCTTACAATAATGTTATTTCCTGTTGCATGAAAGTCACTCTCGACCGCAAATAACTTGTAGCTCAAATAATTAAGAGTTTTTTTTTTCCTCAATATTGAAAGAGATCTGGAGTTGAAGCTTTTGATTTATAGGGAAAAAAGAAAGATCATGGCGGTGAGGTGCCCACCTTCATCATTCCAAATCCAAGGAAAACAAGTGGCTTTCTTTCTTTCAGCCTGGTCTCACCATAGATACACAATACAACGCGGTCTTATTGGGCAAACGACGTTTTATCACTTTTACCTCCCAAATTCAAAGTATGGATGGAATTCCACAAAAATCCACAGAAGTCGGTCCATCCCTCCAATTCCCCAGTCCCGTTATCCATATCCATTTTGGTAATCTTACACGGGCTAACATTCTCGGGTCAAATAATTTGGGTATGGACTTGAATGGGTCACACCAGCCACCAGTGTGAACAATGAGACTAGTGGGTCCAATGTTGTTTCCATTTATCATGTCTGCATGCAGGCCACGTGGAAAGATATGGTAGGCGTCCACACATGATACACTGCGGAATAACGCGTAGGTGATTAAAATAATAACGGCCCACAGAGAGAGAGTATCCAGAGATGCAAATTTTCTTTTTCAAAAGATAGGAAAATCCCAATTTTAAACCATCTTCTCATGCTAAATTATTATATATAGTTTGAAATTTCTGGACGAAGATATCCAGAGATGGCAAATTTTCTTTTTAAAAAGATAGGAAAATCCCAATCTTAAACCATCTTCTCATGCTAAATTATTATATATAGTTTGAAATTTCTAGACGAAGTCTTTTACCTATTTTATGATAAAATTCACATAAAGGGAGGGCTCCCGGGAGTGCAGAAATATCTTCAAAAACTGGTAAAAACGTGTCCCCTTCAAACAATTATAATTGGATTCGAGAGTACATACATTTGATTTGTGACACTAATCAAATAAAAATTGTAAAATGTCAATATTCACACTCGAAAATGCTCGATGTTATGTACCGAAAGATAACTCAAGTAGTCACTCAATTTATTTTATTTTTACAAAAAATATATTGTATTAAAAAATCATGAAACAATATAGAGTAGCAACGGCCTTGTTAAAATCTTTTCGGAAGAAACCGCATGGGGCAAAATTATGGGATAACTCAAGTAGTCACTCAATTTAAAATTAAGTATAATTTTTTATATTTAGATTTTTTTTTAAATACATTTTTTTTTATACGAACGATACTGGGGAAAAGGGAACTCAAACAAAAAAATAAGGTACAATGATAATAGCACGAAATCACTTAAGCTACAAACTCCTTCCATTTTTCATTATCTTTGTATGTATATAAAGCTTTTACAAATTACAGCTTAAAAGTTCATGCAAAAAAAAAGGCTTGCAAATCGAGGACTTACCGCCTTGCGCCCTACGTAGAGTCTGGAAGCCTTTGTTGTCCCTTTCACACGCTTCAAAACGCAAGGACTAGAAATTGAAAAAAAAATTAGTTAAAAAAAACCTACAAAATATAAATTTTGTATTTTTTTAAAAAACTTAAAAGAAACAATTAAATAAAAAGCCTTGGAGCAGAAGATTTAAAAAACCGGGTGCAGAGAATAACGTCTGAGCAGGGCAGCTCATAGACTTTTCTCGTAAGCATGACGACACGCAAACGCAGTGGGAACAAATGGGATCATGTATGTACACAAAAACAAAATAAAATAAAAAATAAAATAAAAAAGAAAGAGACAGAGGGAGAGAAGAGAGAGAAAGGGAAATGAGTTTCCGCGTAGACAGATGAGACTGATGAGAAGCTAAACAGGAGACAAAACCTTTTCTTTTCCCTTCTTTATTTCTTTCTTTCTTTCCTTTCTCTCTTTGTTTTTCATTTTCTGGAACTTCTCATCAAATCTGAACGAATAATTATTAAACTGCTGGTTTTTTATATCGACACATAAGCAGTTAAAGAAAGAGAGGAGGAAGAAAGAGATCATCAAAATCTGTCCCTTTTTTTCTTCCTTAAGGATTCACACCTGCCATTCACACCACCCCCTTCATAGAATCTAAGCTTTATCCTTCTCCTCTCTCTCTTCTTTTCTTCTTTCATATTAAATCTTTTCGAAACCCAAACTTAATCTTCACGAAAACACCCCTTTTTAAGATTGAGGTTTTGGTCATGGAGGGACATCATCGTCATCATCACCAACAACAACAGCAACCTCATCAACCACTTCAGCATCAAACTCATCAGCTTCATCTTCAACAACAACAACAACAACAACAACAACAGCAGCTTCAGCAGCAGCAGCTACAGCAGCCGCTTCCTAGTACTATCAGCGTCAACGTGGACACGAGCGATAGGTTTCCTCAATGGAGCATTCAAGAGACGAAAGAGTTGCTGGTGATCAGAGCCGAGCTCGACCAGACTTTCATGGAGACGAAGAGAAACAAGCTTTTGTGGGAAGTGATTGCCACCAAGATGAAGGAAAAGGGCCACCATCGCAGCGCCGAACAGTGCAAGTGCAAGTGGAAAAACCTCGTTACCCGTTACAAGGTACACAAATGTTATGTAAAGTATAAACCCAAATAAGTCCTAAGTTTAATTATTGATTAATTAATCTCCCATCTAATCAACACACCTTTTATACGACATACTGATTGCCTTTCAGGGGTTTGCTTTTGCTTTTCCTTAATTCATCAAACCCAAAATCTTCAAAAGTTTTTTTTGCTGCCTTCATTATTATCTGTTTGACATGTATATGTGTGTGTCTTTATGTTTCGCTTTCTGTTGATGTATTTAGGGATGTGAGACGATGGAGCCGGAAGCTATGAGGCAGCAATTCCCATTTTACAATGAGCTGCAAGCGATTTTCGCAGCGAGGATGCAGAGAATGCTGTGGGCAGAAGAGAGCGGGGCTGCAAGCGGGTCGAAGAAGAAAGCGCTTTCTTCGGATGAGGAGGAAGATAATGAGGACAGCGAGGCAGAGAATAAGGCAAGCACGGTGAGGAAAAAGAAGAAGAAGGTGAAGATGAGCAATATTGGCATCGGCAGTACAAGTGGGAGTGGAAGCGGAAATAATGTGAGGGAGATATTGGAGGAGTTCATGAAGCAACAGATGCAAATGGAGATGCAATGGAGGGAGGAGTTTCAAGCGAGGGAGAACGAGAGGCGTTTGAAGGAGATGGAGTGGAGGCAGACCATGGAAGCTCTAGAGAACGAGAGGATAATGATGGAGAGGAGGTGGAGAGAGAGAGAAGAGCAAAGGAGGATGAGAGAGGAGGCTAGGGCTGAGAAGAGGGATGCTCTTATCACCGCTTTGCTAAACAAGCTTAGAAGAGAAGACATGTAGCAAGCAATGAATGGTGGCTTGAGAGGTTTGTTAGTTCTGAATTAGCTAGAAACAGTCTTGGTTCTTTGGAAATGGGTTTGGCGCTCAATGGATGTTATACATTATGTTGATCCATTTCCTTTCTTGTTTTGCCCACTGAGAGGCTTTTAATTAATTTATTGCTAGTTTAGTGAAGAAAAAAGGGCTACATCTCTCCATTAATCTCTCATCTCATTTCCATTGATTTAGAAAGAAAAATCTCTTAAAATTGCCTAATCACGTGTTTAGCCAGCTAAGTAGAATAGGTTACTGTTCTATTAAATTTCCATGTACAAGTCTTGATGTAAACACATGCAAGAAGATCGAAGAGGAGTAGTTGTGAAACACTAAATACAGGCTTTGAGACTCCAAGCACGCCAAGTTGAAATTTGATCCAGGTAATTCATTGACATTTGTATTCTAGCTATAGCAAAAGTTGATTGAATATACATGCATGGTATACGGTTCTTAAGGTGGTGACATCATGACATGCATGTACACAAGTGGCTGAAGAAGCTAAAACGCCATATGGATTTTCCCATAACATTAACTAGATCTGACTTTTTCTGCATTTGAATTTTCAAGTTGTGTTGAGAGAGAGAGATATATATATATATATATTTTGTTTCCTTCATCCCAGTTGTTGTCATATATCTAGAAGTAGCATTTATGGCTGCAGGTGGGGTATTGAACTAATTAAGCTGCTGAGGGTTGAGTTACGAAGATTTCACTATATATATGTATGTAATGGGACATAACATAGCCTTTTTAAGCTCCTTTTACTTTAGTGGAGAACTGAAAAAGGGTTTGAAATGATAGACGGATGTGAAAATACTGTATTTTTACACCGTTTAACATGTTATATATGTATATGTGCATTGATTTGTTGATAACCCAAAAGATCTCTTGCACAGTATACTAGATTAGAAATTTCTCATGTGTGTGGGACTAATTTTGTACGATCTAAAACGGAGACCATTTTCGATTTTGAAAGTGTTTTATAATGATTATTATTATATTCTCTCATGTGATATTGTGCGAGTTAAATTTACTCTTAGCAAACTACATTTATATATAGCTAGTTTTTCTTCAGGACACGTGATTCCCAAGATTCCAAGGACTGTGGCCGTGTTTGCAGAGTCTCAAACTTCGCTCCTCTTTTGACATTCTAGCATTTTTGCACGGATTCATCGGTTTATTAAAATACATTTATAATCCTCATGATTTTGAAGCTACAAATATATGCTGTCTAGAATGCGGCAGATATCAGATGGGCTTGTTTCACGTCTTACACACACACCGCATGAAAATCATGCCCTATTATTTTTAACTAATTAAATTTTACAGCTAACATAAAAAAGCCATGAGCGACGTGTCATGATAAGCTGAGCCGCGGGTTCTTCTTCTTCTTCTTCTTCCATGTCCGGTATCTGCAGCAGCAAGCGTTAGTCAGAAGACTTTTGAACGGTTTAGGGAATAATGCTAAGTAAATAAATATTGGTCTACAAGTTTCATATTGATATTGTTGAGGTCCAGCTATTTTTAAAACGTACGTTACCGTGTTTTTGCCTGTCTCTAGCTGGCATTTTGAAATCAAGTTTCGGCATTTCTCACCGACGCATATAAATTGCATTTTGTCCCAAAATAATTTGGTGGTCCACATTCAAACTATTTTCCGCCAACCATAATTTGCTTGCAGATTTCTGCAGTCTCAATATGGATAGGATAAAGGCCTGAGTTTCTTCTCAATTTCATAGTAACATTAAGCTTGTGTGAACAACTATTTCTTTATTAAAAAGAAAAAAAAATCAATGAAGTGTTAAACTTGTGTGAACAACGTAAGAAATTTGAACATTTACACATATGTACCAATCTAGTTCCGTCATTGCACATATACAACTTCTTAAGTTACACATTTATATTTTTATAAGTATCTTATTCGTACATGTGAACGATGAACTGAAATGAGCATATTATAAGCTTAGTTCACCAATTAGAAAATCAAATTTGATCTTATTGCGTCAACTTGCCAGAACCCATATGGTCTTTACGGGTGTTTTGCCCATTTCAATGCGAAGGAATGTCTGCAACTTCCAAGTTTGACCAGCTCCTATTTGGACTGAACATAAAGAAATACAGTTGAACAACCTCTGCTGCTTGAATAATATAATCTCTCTTTTTAAGACCCTAATCACATGGTTGCTATCATCTTTTCCCTTCAAAAGAAAACACTATTATTCTATCACCCATTGGATTTCTACAAATCTTGACTAATTTTATAGGTGATGCCAATATCATTCGGTCTAGGGAGGGAACAAAGACTTTTGCTTGATGGGCTCAGTTTAGTATAAATAATCACACAACTTGCCACGTGTGTAGACTGTGGCTTGGCTTCTGTCAAATAAACTCAAATTCGTCAATTTCTTTGACTTTATGAGCTGAATAATTAAAGGACCATGAGAAACTCTCATATTTTTATTCAACAGAACAATCTCAACTACTATGTAATTGAATAATGTACCATTTGTTCAATTGCTTTGAAACTCAATAGAAAGATTGGTACATGTTACTTGATTTAACGACGTAGGTGTCAGAATTGTTAATATGCAATGTTCTCCGCTAGAACTTGAAGGGATATGTAATTCCAACTTTGAGTTTGTGAAAATAAAACACTCCAATCTAAAAAGGATGCTGATTTTAAGGTCAAAATTAAGGCAAAAAGTGACAGCAAAGGTTTCTTGGCCTATAACCTCTCTTCCTTGCAAGATTGTGATTTGTGCATTTGAACTCAGTCAGAGAAGGAAAAAGAAACTACCAATAATAAATATATATTGTGTAATCTTGTGAGATAGGCTTAGGGGTAAGAAATATATAAGTGGGAAAATATTAAAGAATTGAAAGATATATATAATGTAACTACTGAATTGAAAGGCTGCTCTTTTTCTTCTGGGCAATTGTAAAATCAATGGGAGATTGAAAGGCTCTCTCTCTCTCTCTCTCTCTCTCTCTCTCTATACATATATATATATATATATGTATAATATTTACACAATTTTCAAACTTTGAGGAGACACTCAAGACCTATAAATATATCAAAAGCACTTCAGTTTATAGAAACCTTATGGCCTGGCCATTGTATGCTTCAAGACTCTAAAAACAAAACAAAAATCATAAAAATTAATAAAAAGAATTAGCACCATTCAAAAGATTGATTGATTGGATGCAGATCACGGAAAACGGTAGATTTCTATAACTTCTGAACTTCTCCTTTCACTACCCAAACCAGATTGATTAGTTGGCAATACTCAGAATTAGCTTGTTTTAGGCATTGCCTCACTGTCTTTGACCTCTGGGAAACTTGGAAAAAGATGAACTTCTGCACTTCATCCAACTGTGTCTGGTTCATCAGTTGGCCTTGCTGCTGTTAGATGGAAAAATACATTGTTGCTTAAAGGGAATTTGTATAATTAAAATCAGAACAAAATGCAAAGCCTGAAAGAGGAAGCTGTGCCAATATCAGATATGATTATGCAGACCTCTCTTTCACCCACTTCCATGGTTGGTTAAACAGAACACCCCAATTCCTTATGTATGTATATAAGGTGAAAACTTGCCAAAGAAGTATCTGCTACTACCCAAAAAAGCCATGCCCTTTTCTGCATGATGGGGAATTGGGAAGAAGGGATTTGCTGAGGCACAAGTACAGTTGTGTCCCTTGCTTGGAGTTCAAGAATGGGTTTTGCCCACAGGCTGATGCCTGTGGCCATTCACTTGGGATTTTGGAGGAGAGGTTTCATCCTATGCTGTTCAGGACCAGATACTGTTGGTACATGACCACTTGCAAAAGACAAGATTGGTCTTATGCTCACAAGGAAGAGGAAAAAAGTTGCTCCATTTGTGCCTTCTCTGAGTCTCTTAGACCAAGTAAATCAATTTCTACTGCTCTCAGCATTGGGGTAAAAAACCCAGTTACCATTTACCCCATTCATTCCATGATGCAAACTTTGTGGCAAAAACAAAGTAGTGATTATAAACAGCAGCAATCTCAGCTTCAGCCGCAGCAGCAGAGGCCTGCAATTAGTTTCAAGGGAGATTCACTAATATACCAAGTCCTTCTCCACAGTCATTTTGTGGTACTAATGCTGGTGAAAATGATCAATTTATGACCTTTGATGGACTTAGTGGGGAAAAAGTAAATTTCACCACAACCAATCTCCACAATGAAAATGGACTGCTTAGAACACTCAACTGTTCTTCAATCACACTTCATAGCTCACGGTGGGGTTTTAGCAACCAGCCTGATTTTTCATGGGTTTATGGTCTGGTTGAAGATGATCAACCCAACTTGTTGGAGGACCAGAATTAATTGGGCCAAATATATGCATACAAACATGTAACAGTAATTGTAAAACTCATCTTTCAACACCAAATAATTGTTAAAATTTCGAATGTTCATTTACTGATCGCATCCGATCCCAAATAATCAAATGATGGAAGTTTACCCTTTTAGTGAATTTCAATTACCAATGCCATCTGCATTTGGAGAAGGGTTTGTTGAATTTCAGTAAATGTTCTTTTTCTTGGTTAATTTTCGTTCCCATTATAGTCGTGGCTCTGTTATAGATCTTCTTGGAAATTGGAAACACTCCGTTCTATAAGATACAGATGTAACACGAATAAACATTGAGATCCATACTACGGAATTTTCATTCTCATTACTACAGAGCACTTGGTGTGCATTGCATGGTGTCAATTTCGTCGAACACTTGTGGAGGGAGGCTCGTCGTGTCTACATGGAAAAATTGTATGTGTCATTGGGATTGCCGAAGTGCTTACGTGGCTCCCAGCTGACTACATCTTCCATTTCACTAAGCTCTCAATTCTCATAATAAAGAAAGTCCTGGTAAGATCGTCGGACCCTGTCACACGTAGGACCACTTTCACAAACAAGCGAATCCCTTGCATTAGGGTTCCAAGCTTATCCCACCCCTAATGCAGGTGTCACACTTTTTCGTAAGAACGATTGTATGTGTGATGTGGTCCGACCTTGCTACCCGTAGGATCGCTTTCACAAAAAAGCGAAACCTTTGGATTAGGGTTCCACGCTTATCCCACCCCTAATGCAGGTGTCACACTTAATTGTAAGAGCAATGATGTGGTCCGACCTTACCCAACACCTTCACCTCACAATGAGTGATGATTTTGATGGGATGATGGCTTTTCTCGTCTCATGATTTAATTGGCCGCAAATGTATAAGTTACTCACATGGAAGACGGCTAAGGCATCTCTACTCTAGCATTGTTGACTTGTTTGTTGCCCCTATGAAGTAGGAACGTAAGTCATTCATTGAAATTTCCACAAAAGAATTAAAGTTGTTATTTTCAACAGAGGATTGTTTTCATAATAGTTTGATATGCTTACTTACTAGTGCAGATGTTGACAGGTTGTCGAAATTAACTCTCCACCTACCAACTTGTTTGGGATGGTGTTCATCAAATTTAACAAAACTATGTTTTATTCAAAATCAATCTACAAGAATAAATGACACAAAACAATTAAAATTGGATCGAAGTTACATTGGATTAGATTTTGATGGGAAAAAAAACTACAAAAACCTGCCATTTTTTTTAAGAGGGCAGGAGATAAAAAAAAACTTACAAGTAACGGGAATGAATGGGTGTAAGCAATACGCATTTTCCAATTGATTTCATTGCTGCTCCTGCTAGTTGCAGGCACAGTCTCTGAATTATAATCTAAAAAGTCTTGAGATCCTTTCACACCAAAATGGAAAAGTTCAAGTTTTTAAACTAAGTCAGGTTTTCAAAGTTACAGAGAGAGAAACTTTGAAGGGTATATACAGAATCTCAAAACAAGTTCTTCTTTCATTCTTCAAGCACTGCAAGGCCACAGGCTTTCATGAGAAATCTGCACGAACTCATCGATGGCCTGCTGCAATAGCATGTCAAGGATCAGCCCTTCAAATCCCAGGCAGATTTCTTCATAACCTTCGAACCCAGACACATTCTTGGCTACCCAATTTGACTCTTTCAAATCCTCCTCTGTCCACCTTTGGATTTTGGAAGCCAGCAGCTCTGCGTAATCTCTGGTGTCTTCGTCTTTAATTGGCTCAAAATCTTTTCTTCTGGCTGTTCTGACTTCAGGGTCGGCAATGTAAGGAGCTTTTGGTGAAGATTTCATGTTGGAGTTCAAATCCACAGGCATTGAATATCCTATAAACATCAACCCAAACAAATGAAGTTAGAATTAATTTGGTCACACAATGTGCTAAAGGAAATTAGTTAAAAAAACAGAACAAACCTGATATCCAAGCTTCATGTTGGATCAACATGTCATCAATGCAGAGAACAGAAACAGGGCTTGTGTTCTCTAAGCCATGAAAACCGGCAGCCTCTTTTTCCTTGGCAAATGCATGTTGATGGTTTGTCTTCTTGATTCTTGGTTCCTCCACCACTTTCTTCTTCTGGGTTGTCTTCTTCAGCTGATGACGATCGCTACTTTCCTTAAAATTCGCAGCACCACCGTTCTTGTAACTGGTCTTCTTATTGGGAGAAACAGAGTACCCCAAACCCTTTGATTTTGAAGATTGTGCGCCACATTCTCTTCTAGGCTCATCCTTCAACTTAGAAATCTTCTTGCTTTGTTTTATGGCTACCGTTTTCTCCTTCTTCTTCTTCTGCTTAATAATCTCATCACTCTCTCTTTTGCTGTTCTCCTTGTTCCTACTTCTCTGTTCCTTCTTCCCCTGCTTCAGCTCTCCAAAACCCATCTCAGATTTCTTCACCTTCGACCCAATCTCCTTTGATTTATCCACATTGTCCAAGTACACAAGAAGAAAATCAGGACTTTTCTGATGATTCAGAGCCGCCGGGACTTCCCGGAAAGAGACTGAGGTTCGAACCCGGCGATGATGATGCTGACGATCTTGATCAGCCAAATCAAAATCCATCAAGTAATCAGCAAAACTCACTGACCTACTTCGGCTAACCAAATCTGGGGCTCTTCCTTTCGAAACCCAATTTGTTTCTGGCAAAGAGTCTAAACCCATCAGCCTTGCCACTATGCCAGGCGTGACAGAAGAAGCTGAAGATTGGATTTTGAGATCGGGGTTTGGTTTTCCTGGGAGCAGAGTGAGTTGGGTTGTATAAGGTTCCGCAATTTGATCTGTTGGGTGAGTGGGAACGCTTCCAGAGCAGAGAAGCCTGCGCAAGACGCCATTGAAGCAGCCAGAGCTCTGGTTCACTGAACTTGAACTTCTCCCACTACCACTCATGGTTGTAATTTGAAAATCCCACACACCAAATCAAGAGACAGGGCAGAGAAGTTTATCAAAGAAGAGAGGGCTTTGTTTTGTGATTTGAATTAATGGTGATGTTGTTATTGGCTTATCAAGGAAGACTTGGGTCGTTGAGTTCACATTAGAAACTAGAAAAGATGGAACCAAAAAGGTAGAAACACTGACGCGCACATTTGTCGCGTATAAAATGAAGTAATTTTATCTTTCTTGGCACCAAATTGGCCTGTCAACGTGTCGTCAGCCATGCAGTTTATTCATTACTAAATTTATTTCTCGGTTTAAATACGTGCCATTGACAGCAACTGGCAAGCATGAAGAATTAAACTAGAGGAGTTGAAAGACTTTTGTTGAAGTGTTAGAAACGCGTGGGTCGCATCTGGGTTCTTTGATCTTTCTTTGTTTTTGCCACTTTGGGGTTTCCCCCTTCTGCTTTTCTTCTACTAGAGGAGATGCCGAAGTTCTTGACCTTTTGGTGGTCCTCCATTCTAATTTCTTAGCCACCACCACTATGGTCTTCGTACGGATTTGGAAATTCCAATCCACCGACTTTGCTGACTCTTTTGATTTTGGAGCTTACTGACTCAGTTGGGTTCTTTAGTTCAACATGGGCCTGTTGTGGCGGCAACGTTGGCTTAGAATTGGAAGTTTGGGCGAGGCTGATGCGAGACTGATATGGCTACATGGGTAAACCCAAAATCATATGATCACGCAAGAGGTCCATTTTAGTCAATATAGGTTGCCGGTTTTATCATTTTGAGTCATCATAGTTTCAATTCTTTCAATTTTATCTATGTAGTTTTTGATTCCTCATAATTCAAGAACATGTTAAAAATTCTGTCAAATTCTTTATAAAATACCCTTCCACATCAAGGACACAAACTTGTTTTGTCACGAAATTGAACTAAAGTTTGGACGTGTCGTTCAATTGCGAAGAATGAGAATATCAAACTACATGAGTCAAATTGTCAGAATTAAAACTACATGAACTAAAATGAAAAGTCCTACAAACTATAAGGACCAAAGTGACTTTTTGCATCCTTTGTTTTTTTATTTATTTATGGAAGATGTTGATTAATCTGTGCAAGTTTATGGTATGGGCAAGCGATATAAGACCCCCAACCAAAACATTGTGAAAGAAAACGACTCAGCCATTGTCCTCGGATATCATAAGAAAATACGTGGTCCTAAAGGCACCCATGAAAAGCAATCATGAACAAAATTTCAAGAAATCATAAGATAATAAGTGGCCCATTATCACTAAAAGTAATAATATCCATAATGTCCCACTGAATCCACTAATTTCAATCAAAAGTGGAAGATGGTTACTTTTTCCCTATTCTTTTCCCTCATTTTTCTTCAATTTAAAATGGGGTTATACAATGCATGATAGTAGATTTGCTGAAGAGATTTTTTTTCCTCTCCATAAAGAATAAAATACAGTAATTTTTTTTTCTTTCAACTATGGCACCACCCTTTTTCATCATTCTCTTGAGGCATTCCTTTCCCAAGAGTCCCAAATCAGTGGCATGCCCTCAATGCAAAGAGATCTGAAAGGTTGTCTTTGCGATCATCTAAAGAATTGAAGCTTTTACTTTGATTTTGGAAAGCAACCAAAATCAGGGTCAGTTTGGTAGTACACAACCTCCCCATTGTCACTGACATAGTGGTCTTTCTTCAAGCTTCTAATAAAACTCCCAAGCAGGTGGAACGGTAGAGGCCCTGATTTCTTTGGCTCTCTGTAATATTTCCCAAATACTGGCTTAGCTGCTTCAGTCTGCAAGTTCAAGAACAAAAACACATTAAAACATTAAGACATTGCAGGTGTTAGGACTTAAGAGCAGGCTTGTTTTTAATCATATGAGTGTACTAATTCTACTTAAAATGAAATTTTGGTACTTACTGCTTCAACTAAATGGTAGTGGGGTATTTGAGGAAAAAGATGATGAACCACATGGGTGCCTATGTCATGGTGGATGTTATTGATCAATCCGTAGTCACGATCAAGTGTGGTAAGCCCTCCCCTTAGATAACTCCACTCCTGTCCAAGTTTTGATGAAGAAAGTTTTAACATATTGCACCAACTTTTGTCACAAACTTAAACCAGACAAGATAAGATACAGCTATGCAAGGACTTTTCTCTGTTGTGGTATCTTAACATGTTGCCTATCATGAATTGAAAAGCCACGTACCTTTCCTCTATACCATGGTAATTTGTCTTCATGGCCATGGTGATGCAAGTAAGTTACCAAATCCAGCCACATGACAAACACCTAAAATTAAAAAGAAAGCAGTCAAATTTGGAATTCCTTGATTGCTGCAGAAAAGCTTATCCCAATTATTGTGTAGAATCATAAGAAGATTAAAGATGTAGAATTTACCCAGTAGGGAATGCCATAGAGCTTAAGCAATTGAATAGGACCCATTACAAAGGACAACCCCACAAGCAAAGCAGCCATTGCTGTCCAACACAAAGTGGAAGTGATCACATTTTTCCTCTCATTAGGGACAAACAAGTCGCTGTTTGGGTGAAAGTGAGAACCAGTCTTTCCTGGACTTCTATTCCACTATAGGAAACCAATAACAATCAGCTACTATTTTCGTAAATTATGTGGTATCAATCAATTCGCTACAGACTTACAAGGTAGAAAGGGTATGCAAGCATGGGAAAAGGAACGGTGAACCGCAAAATCCGTGTCATGTTATCCAATTTCTTGTAAATTCTCTCAGATAACTGCAAGCATAGAAATTTATCATCCTCTAACAAATAGAGGAGCCCAGGATGCCCCAAGCAAAAGTAGAACAGAGAATCCATACAACAGAGGAAAAAAAGACTAACCGGGTGCCATGATTCATCATTCTCAACATGGCCATGGTTTTGATGATGAGTCCTGTGGCTAATTCTCCTGTAACATTCAATCAAGCCATCATTTTAGTGCATATTATCTAATTTTTCCAATAGATAGGAAGAATCAGAACACAAGAAACCATTGTTCATATTTACAGTGCATCATATTATATTAATCTATCTTCAGGAACATACCATCCATGATAGGGTACAAGAATTGAAGAATGCAAGAGATGCCCCACCACACTGTTTAGCTTGGGATTGTTTGAAAAGCTTCCATGACCACTACATAATCAAACACCAGACGAACAATTCATACCACAAAACACAAACTGATACTAAATCACACACCAAGAACACAAAATATATGAGAAGGAACTGAGAAGTGATTACCAATCATGTCCAAGAACAAAGAGAGCCCAAAACATTGTCCCCTGAGCAGCCCAATACAGAGGCCAAACGAACCACTTGTTTATATAAACCGCCGCTGCAGCCAATCCAAAAACCACCAGCACATCCCTTACCACATAGCTCATTGACCTCCACGGGTCCTTAACCCAACAATGCTTCGGAATGGCTGCTTTAATGTCAGCCAATTTAAACGGTGGTGGTGCACCTGGATCAAATTCCAGCTCTTCTTCATCTCCAACGCCATTAACACCATTGACTCTCTCTTTCTCGTCTTCAATAGAAGCAACTCTTAATGGAGCACTCACTTTCAGACCCCAGCTTCTCCCTCTAAAGCACGCACTCGAAATTTTGGCTGAAGCCAATCTTAGATCTGTCACGCTCTTGTTCGACCGAAAAACTCGAACTTTTGCTGGGTGGTTAGAGGAAAATCCGGCTGTGGGTCTACGGAAATTTTGAGGGAGAGGCTTTAAGCCACATTCTGAGAGAACCCAACTCGCCGCCATTGGAGACCCAGATGGAGCAGAAATACCAGGGTTTTAGTTCTGAGTCTCTCTCCGGTTTTTAGAGAGAGTATATATGTGAAGGTGAGCAAACAAAAAGAAGAGGGTTGAAGGAAAATATCTAGGATTTAAAAATGAGATAACAATTTTCTTTCCTCCTTCAAGAACGACGACACGACTATTTTTGTTCTCAGTGTTTCTCAAAGCTCCATTATTTTATAGTTTGTTCTTCTCTCTCAAAGCCTTGACCTTGAACATGGACTTAGAGCTTTTAACAACTGGTGATGACGAGGGAGAGATTTGAAGGCTTGGTCTTCACCTAACAAGAAGATGGCCATACGAGTCGGTATAAATATATGACCAATTGGTCAGTGGGCTTCTGTTCAAATTGGAATATGAGAATTTCTCCACTCTCAATTGCTTGCTAGTGGCTCTCATGGTTTCGTTTGACCTGCTATGGGAATTTGATCGGTGGGCTTTTTGCTTATGTCAGATATCATTCAAGGCTAATGTCACACGTGTCATTAAACAATAGCCTATTTGCAATAATAAGCCCACTGGGAAGAAAAAGAAGCCCTAGGAAGGAACAAGGGAATTTCATAAAAAGCTACCCATGAGAATTTCATGCTTCACATTTTACTATTTAATTATCTTTTCATACCACACCGTCCAAGTATTTTGCGACTCATTTTACTTCAACGATTTGACACTCAACATCATGTTTTTGGTGTTTTTTTTGGCTAAAATGTGGGATACTTCTCATCTCTTTCCCTCTATTTAAAATACTTTTGACATCCTCATATTCCATATAATAATACAAATGACATTATTGTCAATTATGTTTTTTCGTAACGTGATATTTAGAATAACACGGATAACTCATAGGGCCTAATACCGGCCTAACTCATAAGTATGTGCCTATTTTGTTTGGACTCATCACAAGTCTATGCCTCTATGCCTTCTTTACCTACTTAAACATATAGATGACAGCTTTGCATCATGTTTGTTTGCGTACGAAAAATAAAAGTGGTAGATTTTAGATGTAAGGGAGTAGGGGACATCACATATGGCAAGTGCTCAAGTGATTTTACTAGGTTAATTTCTTTTGATTTTTATTGCTTCTGACGAATTTATCAACTAATAGCTCATTTTTATAAGATTGAATTAACTTTGCATTGAAAATTAAAATATAAATATAAAATTCAAAGAACAAAAAGTAATAAGAAAGAAGAAAACTATTCAAGCTCATCTTATAAATCACGATTCTCTTGCATAGTTTCTCCCCTGCCAAATGAATGAATGTTCATGTTGTCCACACGTTATGAATTGTTGTACAAATAAACGACTTCCTAACCAAACTTGAGTTCAATTGAAAGATTTGCTTATTATTAATTAATTGCTTGTTTCCTTGAACACGAATTCCATTTCAAACATCGTAATATAAAGATTTCCTCTCGTTTTGGTAGTTACAAACTAGATTTTGTACCTTATAAAAAAAAACAAAAAAACAAAAAAACAAAACTAGATTTTGTATTTTGCAACCAGTTTTGGTTTTGACATAAAGGGAGATTTGCGGGGTCTTTGCTTATTGCTCAATCCTATTAAAGGAGAAGTTCTAGAGCTCCCATGAGTGGCCTCGCATGAGATTTGACAATATAACTAGCATTCATAAGTTCTTTTTGTTAGTCAAAGGCTATTCTCAAATTTGAATTCAAACTCATGATATTGTTTGTACGTTTCACAGTTTGAAAGTCTGTTGTATTTGTATTTTAAATTCTGATCACAAGGATTGCCTTTTCAAGAAGGAGTCCTATCTTGTCTATGTAACTAGCTCTTGTAATTTGTTTATAAATACAACTCTCCATCTCACTGATGGATCATTCAACCAAACCTACTTTCTTGAGTAAACATAAGTCTTACACTTTTTTTTTATTTCTAAAGGTGTGCCAAACAAAACCTCATACAATGGACACAAGATCATCATCATGGAGAGAAATACACAGAGTTCCCCAAGTGAGTTAAGTAGCAAGAATGTATGCACATATGGAGATATGCATTAATTAGTTCATCATAATGTAGGTGGTAAAAACCCTAATTGTTTGATTTCAAGAAATATGAATTCGTTTGGACCCCTTATCCTAATTTACCACAGGTTTTGTTCCTAGTTTGCACATACATGTTTAATTTGGGAGGATGTTTAGCCATTTTGTGATATAGGTATTTGCCTCTTGAGATATGGGTGCTAAAAAATTACGAAAAGAAAGGGTGGGTGACTGCACCATTCACTACCATATGTTTCCTCATATTTGGCTATGACCAATTAAGAATTGTGGTTAATGGGAGCATCCGAGCATGTCACATTTTTCACAGAAGGAGATCCTCTTATGTTTTAGTTTTGGGACGTAAGATACGATTTAATTTAATTTAATTCACTCATGCATTTGATTGGGCCAAAACGCATGTTGGTCTCAGCATGCATTTGATTAGAGAAAGAAGATCCTACTAATGAGCATATGTTCTCATTCTATTACACGTGTCAATCACATGTGAATCCTTGGCATAGCAACTAGTTGGCTTCACATTTTTGTTAAATCACAAAAATCATTATATCCTCATTAAAGATCATCACTTTTTTTTTTCAGGGTCCCTCTGTTTCTCTCCAATGGATCGAGCTCAGTTAGTTCTGGTTGGATTACCAATCTTTCTGTTCTGCACAGACATTTTTAACCTTTTCACACCTAAACCTCCCAAAACCAGTACCCATTATCATGTTCATGATGATGAAGATCCTCAGCCCCTTGACCATCCAGATCCTCAACAACAACAGCTTCTCCAAGAGCCCCTTAAATTCCCCACCCAGCAGGTCTCTGTGCCAAAACCCCTACATGCATTTCCAATGTTCATATATACATGCATTACATAGTTTATATGATCATAAATGCTGAAAATTTTCAAATTTTTTTCAACTGCAGAAATCTGATGGCATTGGAGCAATTGGCATGGGAAGCACCATCAACATTGATTTCTGTACATCTTGTTCTTACAGGTTTCTGTGCTATTTCTTAGATGACATTTTCCTGATCTCATCAATTATTGAATTTGAAAATGTCTTGTTTAAGTGGTATTTTTTTAGGAGTTTCACTAAAACACCCAAAATGGGGGTTGAAATTATAAAAAAACCCAAGCACTATTTAAACATATAAACACACCTAAAACCCATCATTACATACACTCAAAACTCATTTATAAACACACCCAAAAAGTTGACTTTGGGGTTGATTTTGGGTGTGTTTCTATGTTTAAATAGTGCTTGGGTTTTTTTATAAATACATGTCTAGGATTGGGTTTATTTATAAATTTGTATATTTTTTTTGGTGTAGAGTTGGATGCAAGTTGTTTTTTTTATGTTAATTTAATCCTATAATTTGGATCCTTATTTGTATGGTTGTGTCAGAGGAAGTGCAATAACAATGAAAAACATGCTGGGAACAGCATTTCCTGGGATCAATGTAATTCTGGCAAACCACCCTCCTCCACTTCCAAGACGGCTGCTGAGCAAATTGGTACCAGTTTGTCAAGTAGGAATCATCGGGACGATAATGGCGGGCGAACATATTTTCTCGAGGTTGGGGATTACAACGCCACCTCCTTGGTACCACTCCTTGAAAGCAAATAGATTTGGAAGCATTGCAAGCACTTGGATTTTGGGAAACTTCATACAATCCTTCCTTCAAAGTACAGGAGCTTTTGAAGTCTATTGTAATGGGGAATTGGTATAAACTCTAACCTCATCCAAATTTCCAACGGCCAATTTTTCTTCGTTTCTGTCTCTTCTGTTCACCATGTGTATCTTCTTGGACTTGGTAGGTCTTCTCGAAGCTGAAGGAGCAGAGGTTCCCTAGTGAGATTGAGTTGAGGGATCTTGTTGGGAAGAAGCTCGGTAGTTCGAGAACCACTGACGGTCCTGGTGGAGGGGCCTGGTCTTAGCGCCCTGTGTGAGGGGACGTTACCTTAAATTTTGGTTGCTATGAGAGCAAGATTGCCTTGTTGCTTATATGCTTTATAAAAGATGCATGAACTGCCACACGATTGAATAACCACAGTTGTTCATAACATTACTCAAAGCTGTTTACCGGACAAACATGTCTAAATGAAGAGACTGTGCGCTTGACAATTACTTTTCGAATTTCCTTTTTTCTTTCATATTTTGGTACAATCACGAGTGTAAAATTAAAATGCGGCTTGCAATGTTCTGAAGCCTAGCTACATAAATTACTTTGCATCAAAGGCAACAATGGCATGACAATTTTATACACTGTAGAAGAACGACCTCTTGAATATCTGCTGGATCACAAGCTACGGATGGTGTTCTTAATTGAATGACCTTATCTTTCGGGTGCTGCAGAAGGGTTCTCAATCTCCCCTCTCTCGACAGGACCAGTAATCCAGGAGATGGAAATTCAAACACAACGCAAATAAAGCCGAACTTTCTAAATATGCCACCATTTTCGACCTTCCAATGTCTTGACAAGCTCATTAGCCAGTGATGCAAAGTCTTCTGCCCCGTTCTGCAGATCTTCAGTGCGCCTGCTGATTCTCTGATAAAAGCGAAATTTTGGAATTAGAGAAAGGGAAAAGGAAGAGTTACTTTAAGAGTCATTTAAACATTTGCTAGTTGAACGTAACTTAGAAGAACGAAATGAGATTAAAAATGAAAAATACTGGTCATATATATGGCTTAGACCATGAAAGCATGGTGTTCTATTCTATCACTAATAGTTGTGTGTGTGAACTCATATTTGGACAAAAAAGAAGAAAAATTAGTTTGAGAGGTTCTGCTACAATCTTATATGCAAACAAAGAATACATATGGAAGATAATACTTTTTAAACCCTGCCCAATGAAAATTTCACAACATTCTCCATTTAACAAAGTATCAAATGAGATGCAGATAGTTTCCAACTCTTTCAATCTGTTCACCTAATTTCCTAACATCTTTGCAGGGGAAGAAAGAAAAGAATAAAACTCTTCCATGAATCCTACCTCAAGTTTTTCTCCTCTCTCCATGAGCTTATTTCTTGCTTGAGAAGCCACAGAAGAAGCATCCTGAAATGAGTTCTGACCACATCAGAGAAGACAATTGATTTACAGAGTAGTTTATCTATCATCTAAACTATCATCATCACTTGATATTACCTCAGCCTTTCTGTATTTAGCTCTAATTTCTTCGGCAGTTCTAAGTCTGGGCTTTGTATCACCAGTCCCACCTTGAAATAACTTTTCCCGTTCTGATTCCCCTTCTGCAGTACAAAATGTTCAATGAAAGTATTATTCCACTTACTAACCTCAAAAAAGAAAAAAAAAGAAAAAAAGAGAGAAGGTCAAATACGACAAAAAGTTTACCTCTCTTGACATCATGTGATGATGAAGTAGATGCTACGGATGGAGGTTCATCTATTTCAATGTCATCTATATGAAAAGCATGAATTGAGTGAATAATCAACTGGGAGAAAGAAGGAAAAAAGAGGGAAATGGAGATAGGTTTGCACAAAACCTATGTTAAGCTCCACAACTTCTTGATGATCTACATGTGGGGATGGGCCTGACTGTTGGGACTTCCAAAACATGCCCTCTAAATGATCAAAAGTTGATTTAGGAGTTGCAGCAGAATCCCCAGTATGGACCATTTTCCCCCCTTTAAGCCCTTTGACAATGCCTAATAACCCAGGCGCAGTACCCTGTAGCCAAAAAATTACATCATGGAAAATAATACATTCTTCACCAAATAAAAACCTAATTAAACTGAATTTTGTTTTCTAACCCGTTTCTTTTTCTGATTCAATGAGACACTCAATGCAGCATCTGCAGCAGCTGCAACAACTTTATCATGGAGACAGGGCAAAGACTCTGGAATCCTACAACAAACAGATATAAAATTTCCAAAATTATCTTTCTAACTAAAAATTCATGACCGAACCGTAGTGCTCAACTTCATATTTCCATCACAGCACTTGTACATACATGAATATATAAAAAATACCTGAAACCATTCTCAACAGCTAACATAGAGACGAATGCGGATTCATATCCATTTGCCTATAAAATATCTTCAGCATGAGTCTTATAACACACGTGGTAACTTTCAAGAGATTAAGTGCAAATCGCACAATTTTTGAAATTTTCAAGAAGACAACTATACCAGTGTAAAATGTGAATCATCGGCACTCATTGTCTTATTCATGTTTGCCTTACAGTTCCACCTTAGAATTGACATTAAGGAGCTTTCTTTCACCAATTCTAAATCAGGAAAAGATCTGCCCATGGATAGGAACCTCTCATTAGACAACCAATAATGCATATACATCTACAATATCAATCAATAAACAAGCAGTAATGCTATCATAAAAGGAAGGAAGAGTAACCCCCACTAGAAACATTGGTACTTGATGATGCATTGATAAGGTACTTAATGCTGCATAACCTATATCATTTTCTTGATTACTGGGGCAAGGAAAGAGAAACTTTACCTAATCTCAATTTCTCCAGTCTGAAACAGCAAAACCAATCCCGAAACCCTGTCAGCTTTCTTAAAAGTAGCTGTCCAAATGCAAGGTCTTGCATGCTTCACTTTTCTAATGGGTTTATTGTTTCCCTGACAAGACCACAGCGCATCAGCATGCTTGCCACAATAAAGTAGCAAACAAAAATAAAGAAGGCAAGAGGCACCTGAATCACAGATTTTGTCGAGTACAAGCGCAGAGAATCCACACAACAAAGCAAAATGAATGAATTCAACAATCTTTCTTCAGAGTATGGATTTTCTGAGGAGGAGTTTTGTTCAGTCTCAGGTGAATTTATAACAATTGGAGAACTGCCTGGCACAGGCTCATTCTTGGTTGAAGAATCCTTGGAGGCCTCTTCTGGAAGATTATCATCAGATACTTTAGAGGCAGATATTCTGCCATCTGGAATACCCAAAAAAAAAATCTCAGAATTCTCTAATTATTAAGTGAATAGGAAAAATAAAATATTTTATTCTCTGCTAGAAGATATCTGTACTTGCCTAGAACATACATTGAAATTGCAATGGACTCCTTTTTCAAGTGCCATGACTGAGGGATGATCATGTTACCCGTATTCCCATCAATTACATGTATATGTGCATCCTTGGTTAAGATGAACATTACTTCCTCTGTGACGTCAACTGTTGTTTTTGTTTCTGAGTGCTTTGGGCTCTTCAAGAGGCCTTGAGAATTTGTAAGTTCTTTCCAAGTCATTGAAATGGTGGGGGAACTAGAGAAAGATGCATCATTTAAAAAGAACAATACACTAAAGGAGCTGGTGTCCAGCACCGCGACCTGAAATGAATGCATTAAATTCAAAAATTATTTTAATTTTAACAACTTGAGGTTATGGGCCAACCTTCAAATTGAAGACCAAAAAAAAAGTTATAAATTCACAAGTAGAAAAAAGATACTTACGTGACCACATTCAAATCCCACAGCAAGTTTACCTCCATGCTTCACAAACTGTAGTGCTTGAACTGGGGAATTAATAAGACTTAAAACAGCTCTGCATTGAGGTCCTTTTCCTTGAGGCAAATTGTGAACTGATAAACAAGTTATAACATTGTTAACTTCATAAATAAATGTTCTTTAAAAACTGCTTCAAGATAAACTTAACAGTATGATCTGGCTGCAGAAAGTACAACATGGTTTCACATCTTATGAACTGTGCAATGGAAAAACAAAACAACGGTTTTACAAAGTCAAGGAGATTGACACTCATAACCTACCTTCAGATTTGGTTTCTGTGACAAAGAGGAATTTTGTCCCATCTGAACAGTCTTTGAGGTTATAAATTTGAACCTATACATGCTAGCAGAAAGAAATCAGTATAGTTAAAAGTTAAAAAGTTAAAATTGGTGTCCAATAAAGAAAGATATCTGACCAGACCACATTCATTGCCAACAGCCAGATTTAAAGTGAAAACGCAGAAATCCAGTCTTGATACTGGAGCACTTGAACCAGCCACTTTTATACCTTGCACCTGCCAGTTACATAAGATAATTTGGTATCTCCTTTATAAAGACAAAAGTTTATAAGGCTTAAGTGATGAACTCTAACCTCGCCTTGTACAAGACAGATAAAAGATAAGAGTGGATATGTGGCATTCCATATCCGAACAGATCCATCTGAATATCCTGCTAGGTACACTCTCTCAATACCGTTAGTCTTAGAAATAGACAGTTGACTGGGCACACCCCCAGTCAAGGGCCATTTTGTACCAGCTGATGGGTTTGGTATTGAACCACGGTTCACAACTGAGGATATCTAAGATACACATAAACAATAAATAATTATGTGTTGAGAAACATTAAAAGGAAGATGTATGAGCCACTCATGAATGAAAGAAATCCAATACCTCCCATAGAGCCTTAACAGGATATATCATATAGGAATGGGAAAAATAAAAGGAAAAAATATATCCGCTCATGCAATACCTCTGATAGAGCCTTTAATAAGTTCTCCCCAGTGGGTACCCTAATAAGTTTGGCAACTGTCATGGTTGGATTGGTTGTAGGTATCACCACTGGAAACTCCAAACCAGAAATAGAGAGGTTCCTTTCTTTCTGGGACACTAAGGCAGAGAGGCTAGCCTCGTCATAAAAATGCAGTTGCCCAGGGTTTGTTAATACAAAAACATCGGCTTTGTGATTACCCCCAGTTGTCCCAGAACTTGGTAATAAAATCATGTCTGCAAAAGAGCCAGTAAGGGTAAGGTCCGTACGGCCAACACATCTTAAATTCCCCATTCCAGGTGACCATTCAAGAGTTAAAACCTGGAACACAGAGAATCTTATCAGCTCCTGTCTTCAGTGGCAGTAAATAGACAAGACAAACTCTGGTATATACAACTGTTGATGTACAAATGTGAAAAGGTTCTTTTTTTGAACATTAACTGGTATACAAAACCAACTCAGTCATTAAAATGTGAAAAGTATTTTACTATTTCTAGGCATGTTACAATGTTTTCAGAAAGTGCACCGTTTTGAAATATATAAAATTTTCTGAAAAAGCCATGAACTTTTCTGTAACTACAGTACACACCGTCAAAACTTCTTCTGATCCTATTTCATCGCCACCATAGATAAACAGTTGGCCATCACAATCATTATGGGATTTATAATCTTTGGACCACTGTAAGACAATGACAGGAAGTCTCCTTTCTGCAGATGATAATCGTAACTTCACAACATTATTAGATGGTGACAATGCTTGTTGACCCTTGATGGAAGCAGAAGATGACGTGTTCCAGAATAAAATGTCTCCATCTATGTATCCCACAGCCAGAATGGAGCCATTGGAAGATGCCCAGCAAAGAGCACTTATCTCTTTGTCTCCCAGTTGATGTTCCAATGTTTCTTCTGGAGAGTCTATATTGACTTCATTTGTAGATTTAACAACTCCATCCTTTAGCTGGAGATCCTTACCACCTCCAACAAAAACGATTTGATCTTCAGATACATCCCAAAGAATAACCAACCCATTTTGATATGCGATCAGTACTCTGCCAATAAAAAACCCTCATCATTCAATAAGCTGAATAGATAAACTATACTGTAACTTTTCTCATCAGTTTTACTTTGTAGTCCCAAGTAATGCGATGTAACCTCATTAATAAGTCCCATGCTATCAAGGAAGTTGAAATATAAAACACCGAATGTGACTAACAATTGGATTCATTCATGGGATACCAAGCAACTTTATTCAGACTCAAGAACAAAAATCAGCAGGGAGCCAAAATTATGTACCCCTTATATATCACTAACATTAGTCGAAACTGTAACAATTTTATTTAATGTTCCACCATGTCCAAGTACTATTTGATATCCTTCATGACCATAGGAAGATTTAAATTTGTGTTCTCCTTAAGGTGCAAACGTGACACTCTACCCTTTATTGGTGAGAGTAGTAGCAGGTTTGAAATATCTTGATCTTATGACTTAACTAATAAGCCACTCTAAGAGAAAAAGAAAGTGGTCTTTTAGCTGCTAAAATTTCAATCATTACATGGTTCTTTATGAAAATGGATGACCCTAAAATGAAGAAACGAAAGAATATAAAAATAGAAATACCCTTAATTTAACATCAATTTCCTGTATACATTATCATACTGGAAGGATCCAAAAAAGTAAAATAAAATAATTCAGGGCCCATTCTTGTTTCACACTTAAATCAGAAATGCAAAATGAGAAACTTTAAGTAATACTTGTATCTTGCCTATTTCCAGAAGAACAAGGTTGGGGAAGAACTCCAACTACAGGTTGGTCAGTAGGAAATGGAAACCCAGCAGTTTCTGTAGCAAAGAACAGCTGCATTAGCTTCTTTTGTGACGAGATTTATAACATTAACTAGGAAATTTATTAACTACAGAAGCAAAGAAATAATAAAATTAAAAGCTTCAGTTATCAACCATGAAACTGAAGAAAATAATTTCTTCATATATTACCACTTAAAGAATTTGCAGAAATATGATATGGCAACTGCAAAAGTTTTCCCTCCTCAGCATCATACTTCATCACAGCCACTAGAGCATAATCATCGCCAACATACCTGTAAGTTGTAATACAGGTAAACAAGTTATAAAGTGTGTGTCTCCAGCCACCCAGGAGCTGACTGAAAATAGTTCTAACAATTTTTTCGGTCAGTAGTGTACATTAAGTTGGAGCCATTGATTACGGAAAAAAGCAGTTATATTCGATTCCCACTCTAGACAATAAACTAGGCACCTGCTCTCGAGATTCCAAACCTGCCAAGTTGAAAAGTTATTAATCACTTAAACAAAAGATAGTTTCATTTTTAAGCACTTCATAGCATTTAAATTCTTGGCACTTGATTGTGAACTGTACAATTGCCAAGTCAACAGCCTCGCTACCAACTATCACCTGCTTCTATCTATGCGTATTCTCCCCTTTTGATAAATTCCCACATTGAAGTGCTCCTATGGTGCAATTTTGTTATAATGGTAAACCTAATGAATCCAAAAATGACCACTAAGGTCTATGCTGAATATTTAAAATTAAAAAGGCACTGATGTTGATAATTGACTATGGGAATGTAATGAGATGCATGATGTAGAAGTCATGTTTCACACAGATGGAGTAAAGTTTGACATAAGAAACAAAAACTGCAGAGTTGATAAGAATCAATACCTGAATATCATTATCATTTAAGATGCTCACCAGATAACCTTGGTTTTGTAGAAACTGCCAAAATACAATAAGGATTAGTTTGTGGACACGGCAATAAATAATACAGAAGAATATTTAAGGATGTGTTGGAGACTAAGCTGAAAAAATAAGTTCTAGCCAAATTCAATCAAATCTTCCACAATCAGAAAATTTCATCTTGAATTTATATCCTTTATCTAAGCATTAAAAGGTGAAAATAAGGCCAATAGAAAATATTTTCCCTCATATGCATGAAACTCCTTAAATATCTTGCTTCACGTGAAGGAACAAGTGCCAGCCTCATTCCAGAAAACCTTAATTTTTTTTTTTAAATTTTGAATATATCACCCTGATATACTATTGATCTTTTATATCATAACTAAACAAGGGGAATAAAAGATTATTATACTGGGAAACTTTGGAATCAATGGTGCACGCAGATACCTCAATGTATTTGTAAGGCAGTTGCTTTGGGGATATAAGAAGTCCTTCAATACCATCACCACCAATTACTTTAATCCTCCCATCCCTACCAAAGAAACAAAGCAATAATGTGAAATTGTTGTGTAATTTGTGTGAATCTCATATGCCATTATACATGTCTGAGTCAATTATCAGAGGGTACCAGGAAGATGTAGTGCACTAAAGTATATGCAAGGTAGTGCAGGGTAAGCATGCCTTTTTTTTCCGATATCTACAAGCATAATTCACCAAATGTACGTGTGCATTTTGCCACCAAAACGAATAGCCATTCCGAGAAATATGGAACAGTAATGCTTAGTAGCTAGCAAGCCATCTTATTAACTACATGAAGGTGCACTGTGCACAGTGCTCAATAGAACGGTCTTCTATCAATTCACACACCAAAACAGTGGAAAGAAGAATAAAAAGGTGCATTTTAACTCACAATGTGCCAATGGCTAAAAGGCGCTGAATGGGGTCGAAAGCAAGAATGGATGCCGTCGATGGGATACCATAGTGAACTGCGACTCGTAGGTCCAAGTCTGCTGAAGTCAAACTTCCGTGTGACATATTATGCTGAAATTAACAATTTTTTCATAATAATAAAAAGAGAAAATCACAAATATCAGTCAAAATGCCGATGCCTGGAAGAGAGAAGCAATTCGGAAAATCGACATTACACAACTAGCATATCCAAAAGCAATTGAATTTAGTTTGATTTTGTTTTCAATGTTGTTCCAAGTACTTGAGCTTAAAATTACGCGGAAATGAATCAAAAATATCAAAAGCATAGGAATTTAATCCAGCCAAACAAAAAAGATTGGAAATTTTTATCAAAAAAACAAAAATAGAAACACAAAAATCTCCGTTGAAGTACAAATTTACGAGTTGCTGATGAAGCTAAAGTAAAAGAATTTGAAAAAATTAGCAAAAAAAGCGGCGGCGACCGATTGCTTGCGAATATGGTACCTGAGACTGGTGGATGGCCTTCTGTAAAAGGCGCTTGGCGAACATAGCCAATTAGAAGCTCAAAGATTATTGAGTAGAGTGTTTGAAGTTTTCGTCTGCTCCTCTGTCGACTATCGGATGGAGACTTTCTATCTTTGTTTGAGTGATCAAACCGATGACATTTTCATGGTCATAGAGCTGTAAATTTTTCGAGTCAGTCAAATGCAATAAAAGAAAAGAGAAAGAAAAAAGAGAGGCGCTTAGCCGTTGTTAAACTCATAAAGCTGTACCCGATACGCTGCGTTTTGGGCACGCAATCAGCAATCTGTCCCCAAAGGCTGAAACGATGTCGTTTGCGTGTCGCTTTGCCTTTGGTTGGTTACAAATGGAGTAGTTGAGAGAGGTGGACATTAGCACATTAGTGGATTGGAGAAGCTTAGAAAATATATTTAGCACAAAATTGTTGACATCCTTTTCTGATTTAGTTGTTGATTGAAAACATTATTAATATATGCAGAAAAAAGAAAGTTGATTGAGATGGCATTTTCTATATCATATAAATATCACAAACTTTCTTTTAAATTTATAATTTTATTAAATAGAAAATGACTAATTTGTCCTTAACGTGTCGGATATGTGATTTTTTTTTTTAAAGCAGAAAATTAGATAAAATATAGAAAAATATAAGAGTAGAGGGAATTTACTATATTTAATAGTTCAAGTCCTAATGATTCAATTTTAAAAAAAAATTGTAAGTGACAAATTGAAATTGACCTACAAATTCAGGGATTTTGGCGAATTAATCCATTTTATATAATACAAATTTATAAATAAACTCAATCCTAGACATGTATTTATAAAAAAACCCAAGTACTATTTAAACATAGAAACACACCCAAAATCAACTCCAAAGTCAACTTTTTGGGTGTGTTTATAAATGGGTTTTGAGTGTGTGTAATGATGGGTTTTGGGTGTGTTTATAAAGTGTTTTGGGTGTTGGGTTTTTTTTATAATTTCAACCTCCATTTTGGGTGTTTTAGTGAAACTCCCTTTATATAATCTCATTATAAGGACTCAAAATATGGAAAAATAAAAATCTCTATAGATTATGGTCCCGGGCCAATGGACCTGACCTGACGGACCAAAAGGGAAAACAAACTTTAGTTATTGTGGCCCTTTAGCATTTACGTAAAGTTTTGGGATATTTTGGCAATTATTGATTTGATTTAAGGATAATATTATAAAACGCACCATTTATAGTTTTGCGTGCCAACTCTTTCTTCCTATTAGTGATCCGCCACAATAGTCACACGTAAGATCGTTTCCGCTTCAGCACTATCGTCCCCTTCCCCGCTCTATTTGCTGCTCATTTTTTTTCGTTGAAGCTCCACCGAAAGAAAACGAAAAAAAAGAGAAAGGCCTCCTTTTTCTATCCCTCATCGTTTTCTCTTGAAGTTTCACAGCCATGACAGTACCTCCGAATCAAGGTACGTTGGTAGCTAGGGTCAGCTCAATCGTAGTTTCAGCTATTTGGTCCATTTTTGTTTCATTTAATTCGATTTCTTATTGCTTGTTTGAACGATCAGAAATGAAGGATCAAGCCAAAATATTTTGAACGAAACTCAGAAAACTGTAAAAGATCACTACTTTGTGGCAGTTATATCTAATTTCTGATTGTTATGTATAAATTGACATAGAGATTAAGACGGGCTTTTTATTTTATATAAATTTCCTTTTTGGGTTTTAGTCCTTAAGTTTGGTTTAGAAATGAAGCCTCTTTCTTTCAACTTGAAGCTTCTTGTTGTTGATTTGGTTATTCTGCACTTGTTGCTAAGCTTCTCTATGGTTGTGATTTCCAATGGGTTGACTGTAGGTATTATTTTGCTCATGTCTTGCAGATGATGTTAACAAGAATGAGAGGACTAATTACTTCAATTCACCTGCAATGGATGTCTCACTTGCTTTTCCGCAAGCAACACCAGCATCTACCTTTCCTCCCTGCAGTAAGAATATTAGACTTATTAGTCCTTCACTGTACAAACATCTCGTATAAATAAATGTTTATATGTGAATGGAGAAATTCTCTCTTGTCAGTGTGCTGGCATGTTATGTGAATTTAGATAATTGATTAAATGGATTCTTGTTTGAATGTATGGAGTCCAGATTGAGTCTAACAACATAAGAAATTGGTGTGTAACACATGTTCATGTATACGTATAATATACATTGTAATTATGCATGCATACACTGTACACACACATGTACATCCATGTATGTCTTGATATTTCTGTTTCTGCATCCTAATTTATTTTCCCTACCTTGTTTCTTTGTGAATATGTTGTACACTTGAAGGCTTTAGTTGGTTGCCGTTTCCATTTGTAATTTGAAGTCAACTGGGTAGCTTCAGATATTAACTTCCATATTCTTTTCTCTTGGCCTTAAATATTTACAGCTTCAGACTATTATCAGTTTGATGATCTATTGACGCCTGAGGAGCAGGCTGTCAGATTGAGAGTAAGACAGTGTTTAGAGAAAGACGTTGCTCCTATTATGGCAGAGGTATTCCTTTTCATTAAACTCTAACCATTTGGAGGTGTTTGTGTTTTTTTTCATTAATGCTAAAACACTTAGTATGCTTATGATGATTTAATATACATTTACAGACAATGAGATAGATCTTGGAATTTTGTTTTTTCAGTATTGGGAGAAGGCAGAGTTTCCATTTCATGTTATTCCAAAGTTTGGTGCATTGCGTATTGCTGGTGGCACGATCAAGGTACTTGATACATATCTTAATGGTTATTTTTGAATCTTGAGTTTGACAATTTGGTGGATGAGGCTGTTAAACTTGTTTTTGGCCTTCTTGCTATCAGGGTTATGGGTGTCCCGGTCTTTCTATTACAGCAATGCTTTTGCTACAGCTGAAATTGCTAGAGTTGATGCAAGCTGTTCTACTTTCTTCCTAGTTCATTCCTCACTTGCAATGCTAACTATTGGTTAGAATTTGGATAATCTTCTACTTTTGAGTTTTTGTATTTTAAATTAACAACCCTTCACTCCACTAACTAGAACTAAATATTTTTTTTCTTTACCTTTAAAACAGACACTTTTTATTTTCTTGTACCGAAATACCCCTAAAAGTTAACAAAAACTGAAAAATCTGATTTCCTCCTTCGTTCATCCTTATCACTGTTGTGAAGAGAGAGATGCCCATTCTTATTGTTTCCCTGAAAAGAAAGTTAAGCATCGTACCCATTTGATTGTGTTAAAATTTTAATTTATATAAAGTTTGTGATTGAAAAATATGGTGTTATGTGGTGGGTTTGAAATGGAAGACACAACTTCCTTTAAAAAAAGGACAAAACACCCAACATTTTAGCTCACCTCAAATGGGCATGATGTTTTTTTTTCGCTTCATGCTGAACGGCGAATGACGAGAATGGTTCCTCCTTTTGTGACAATGAGAATGGATTTCTAGCTCTCTTGCTGACTGAGAATGGTTTCTCCATGAAAATGCAAGAAATAGTTTATCTCCCTTAGCAGCATAGAGAAGGAAGATTCTGAGATTGATGTAGGAAGGAAGAAGTGACAGAGTTAAGGTTTTTTCATGCTGGCCTTCAAACGAAAGGAAGAAGAAGAGTTTTGGTTGTATTTTTTTGCTTTTGGGGTATTTTGGTCAAGGAATATAGAAATTTAGTCAGATATATTACTCTTGAAAAATGAGTTAAGTTTGTTAGTGGGGTTGAATAATGGTTACTCCTGGTGAAAGAAAAAGACCTAGACTTTTTGTTACATATTATTTGTTGGAGTTTCTACCGATAAGTCATGACTTAATGTAACTTTTCTGTACTGCCAAGAATAGCATTATGTGGATCGGAGGCTCAAAAGCAGGAATATTTACCTTCCTTGGCTGAATTAAAAACTGTAGCCTGCTGGGTAAGATCCTCTATTATGAATATTTGTATTTGATATCTTTTGTATGCTAATGTCAAGATCTCAAATCTGCTCGTCTGCATGTTAAAGGCTTTGACTGAGCCTGACTATGGAAGTGATGCAAGTGCCTTGAGAACAACAGCAACAAAGGTGGTTTCAACCTTTCGATCTGCTTTATTTCTGTTAAACGGAAGTGTCATGATTTTTGTTTTTGTTTTTGTTTTTTGGGTATCATGGCTATGATCTCATGCTATGTCACGTTTCTTGTTTGTTTGAGGTCATCAGGTGGAAGGTGGTTGGATACTTGAGGGCCAAAAGCGCTGGATAGGGAATAGTACCTTTGCTGATGTATTGGTTATTTTTGCTAGGAATACAACAACAAATCAGATTAATGGGTAGGAAATAGCATCTGTGCTGATGTATTGGTTATTTAAATAGCATCTGTGCTGATGTATTGGTTATTTTTTCTAGGAATACAAAAAGAAATCAGAGTAATGGGTACATAAAACATAAAAATGTATAAAGTCTCTCTATATGTGTTCGAAACTTGTTTGTTAAGCTTAAAATATGAATAATCTCTTTCTCATTATTTCTCTCATTGCATTGGTATTGAGATGCTTAGGAGTCATGGAAAATTAGTGTGATGGTTTTCCATAGCAGCTTCCTCATGTTGAATGTATTTCTTTTCCCTTCTGTTTCAGATATATAGTAAAGAAGAATGTCCCTGGACTGACTGCTACAAAAATAGAAAATAAAATTGGTTTGCGAATTGTTCAAAATGGAGATATTCTCTTAAAGAAAGTCTTTGTCCCTGATGAGGACAGGTTACCTGGTGTTAATTCTTTTCAGGATACTAGCAAGGTATGCTGCAACAAGAAGTGATTCTTCAAATAGTTTATTTTGCTATGATCTCTCATTTTTTTTGCACGTGTCAAAATGGCTCTATGAGTATTTATGATTTAATGTTGCCTTAAACTACTGAAACAGGTTCTTGCTGTTTCACGTGTCATGGTCGCCTGGCAACCTATTGGTTTATCTATGGGAGTCTACGATATGTGTCACAGGTAAAAGACGAATACCTATGCCTCTCTCATCTTCCATCAAGTGTACTTTCCAAGTTTCCAGTGTTTCCTAGTCTGAGTTCTAAGTAATTGAAAGGTATCTGAAGGAGAGGAAACAATTTGGAGCCCCCCTTGCAGCTTTCCAAATCAACCAAGAGAAACTTGTTCGTATGCTGGGTAATGTTCAAGCTATGGTACTTATAGGTTGGCGCCTCTGTAAGTTGTATGAGAAGGGTAAAATGACTCCAGGTCACGCTAGCTTGGGGAAGGTAAGACAAAATGACATCCTGATGCATTCAGTTATCTTGTTGCTTATCCATTCTGTAATGAACTTTTGTAATTTTCAGGCATGGATTACTCTGAGGGCAAGGGAAACGGTTGCTCTAGGGAGGGAATTACTAGGTGGCAATGGAATTTTAGCTGATTTTCTTGTTGCAAAGGTTATCATGCTCATCTCTCAATTAATAGTTTTTATTTCTGAACCTAGAGAAGGATTGTATCATACAAGGATTTGATTAGTCGCATTTTCAAGCTAGGATTCGAAGGCAGTGTTAGATTTGAGTCTAAATTTGCTCTCTATGAAATTGACTTTTATACCTAATCCTTATCTTTGTTGGTAAAAGAATTGGCAACGTTTGCTATGTATATTTCTAAGTGAGAATCTGGTTTCATGAGATTTCAAACCTGCAACTGATTTTTGTTATATATGTACACCTTTCAGTCATTTGTGTCACATGTTAATGTTTTCCTCTTTTGGGTCGCTATGCAGGCTTTCGGTGATTTGGAACCCATCTACACTTTCGAAGGCACTTATGACATCAACGCCCTGGTGACTGGTAGGGAAATCACCGGCATTGCCAGCTTCAAGCCAGCTGCATCAAGCCAACGAAGCCGCCTGTAGCGGTGAAGCTTCTCTGAATTTCCACAGCTCTCGGGACAACTTTGTTTAATTAGTAACAGGGTTGGCTGATGCCAAGGTGGTTTTAAATAAGAAACAATCATGAGACATGGAGTGAATACATTAATCGGCGACCACAAATAAATTTGCATTATAAATTCTTCTTGTTGAACATTGTATTCTCATAGTTATGAAAGAATAAATCTTGGCAGAAACAAATCTCCCGTCACCAAACTAGAGTTTACCCAGAATCCTTTGTAGACTTACACCTTGCAGAGTTGTTATGTCTCACAATATCTTGGGGAGTAGTAAGACGGGCCGGCGCTTCGCCATAAGTCCGAGTCAGGACATGTTCTGCGATGCAATCAACTTGGTGTTCTCATCTTTTCACCAAAATGACATAAAGAAATAGAACTTTATGAAACTTGAGCTTAAAGCTTGCTGAAACAGGGTCAATGGAAAGCTTGCACAGGCGTTGTATCGTATGGACCAAAACCTCTGATGACCCTAACCAAAGCAAATTCGCACGAGAAGTCGTTGGTTTGGTTGGGTTTTTGGAAGATAAGGCTTAAGGGGTAGCTAAACGTCACAAGCAGTTGCAACTAGTATCTTTGATTGCAACTTCTAAAGTGTCTTCTTCTTCCCATCAATAGAGCCGTTGGGGACCCAGTTCTCAAAAATACCAGAAAAAGAAAATAAATAACAAAGTGCACATAATTCAACTCCAAATCACCATGATTATATTCCATTTAGCTAAATTAAGCAACATTAAGCCTCACCTTAAACAATTTTTCATGGAAGCTACAATGGTACTAATTAACCCACCATTACTTTTTCTTCAAAAATAACAAACTCCATTTCCTAATTAACTATACACACTTCCCCTTTCCTTTTTTTACCAATTACCAATTGGACTCTTACCACCACCACCGCCATTCAATTCCCTCTGTTCGTCCGCGTCTCGCTCCAAACCCAAACTCCTAATCTTCAGCTGAAACTGCGCCACCGCCGCCAAAAACCTCACCGCCTGAGCCGAGCTCAGCATATCCACCAGCTTTGTCGCCATCGTCGTTCTCAGAAAGTTCGAATTCGCCAGCACAGACTCCAATGCCGATTTCAACTCATCGATCGCCACGTCCTCCTCCACGATCTCGCCGTTCGCGAACCTCCCGTACCGCCGCGCCACATCCACCAGCGGCGGCGCTGCCACGCTCTCGTGAATCTTCGCCAGCTTGTCGTTGAGCGCGCGCTCCTCCACCCGGGTCTCCTCCATCAGCCGGCCCATCCTGACCCGCTGCCCGTCGCACAAATCGGGTACCGACTCGGTCAGGAGCCGGAATGCGAGACCCGGTTTGTACCCGGCGATCCAAAGCAGGGACCTTTCGAACGAAGTGAACCACGGGGGAGAAAACACTAGGAAAACATCGCGCTGGGCAATCCTCGATTTTTCGTCATAGTACTGCTGATAATGAAGAAGAACCCGATACACCAAATCTCTGAGGTCTTCGTCTCGGGCTTCATTGATTCGTTGTTGGGCCGAGAGAAGTTCGTCTAAGAAATGTTCTTGGCGAACCAGCCAGGCTTCAAAGAATGCCCCGAATATGTTTGATATTGAGCCGCTGTCGGACCTGTTAGTCATAGAAAAGAAAAGGCCAAAACAGGGAAGGTGGGTTGGTTGTGTGGGATTTTAAGACAAGGAAGAAGAGAAGAGAGTGAAGGGAATGTTTAAATAGGAGCTGGGATTTCAAAGGTGGAATGTAAAGTTTGGGTCTTTGGCTGTATTTCGCTTTGTGGGCAAGTAATGGTAATGGTAATAAAGGTACTTCGAGAGCAAGGCTTATGCATTTGGTTTTGTACTGGGTTGAGCCCTTTCTAAGAGACGCGTGTGAAGATGAACGCCATTATAGAAGAGAGATTTTAGGACTGCGTGTGACAAGTGAGTGGTGCGTGATATTAAACGGTGGCTTTCAATTCAGCCACTAAAAAAAACACCGACCGACTGATGAGAGAGAGAGAGAGAGAGTGAGAGGATGATCTCGGTGGGTTTTGTCGTTTAGTGTATTCAGAGAGGTGCGAAGAACAAGTGCAGAAGAGGAAAGGAAAGGAAAAAGGCTCAAAAGAGGCTTGTGATTATGAATTGTGATTCTTTGTTCATCGCATGTGTTTTTGTCAGAGGCAGCTTTGATTTGACAAGAAAGGAAGGGGTTGAAGGGTTGAAGGGCAGAAGGGTTGGAGTGGGGTTGGTTTTGTTTGATGCGAAATGAAATGAATGGCTTCAATTCAAGGCTCAAGGCAGAAATGTGGCTTGGCTGCTGCCATGGATAGATAATTGGCTGAAGGGGCAACACGTCTCAAGGCCGCAAAGTGGAGAGATTGTGTGAAGACAAGTCATCCATTTTGGGAAGAAAAAAATAAAGTCATCGTTTTTGGGGAGTTAAAAACCCTCAAGGGAAGGACGCCTTTCCAACAGACAAATGTTTTTTTGATGCAAGTGGGTTAATGGCTAGGAAGGGAAGGGGGCATAGTACCAAAAAAGAAGTTGAAGGGTGCTTAGGCACAGGGTTTGTGTGTGTGATGATGGGACAAACTAAATAAAGGGGGCAGTTCCAAGTGATTTTGCATGCAGTGAAGTTGGGGGCCAGGTGGCAGTTGGCTTGACTTTTAATGACGAGAAATTGGCTGTAGGATGAGAATTTGAGCAACAAGCTGTTAATTGGTCTTTGTTTTGCTCCTTGTTTACGCGTACCAATTGATGGGGGTGGTGATATTTTAGGAGAAGCTTGTTTTGCCAATTGGCCATGTTGATCGGCCAACGGCGGTAAGTGGTGGCTACTACATGGCTAGGAATTTCCAATGAGGTTTAGACTTGTGTCATCTTAGCAACAATAAAACCATCTGTAACACCAACACAAATAGATTGATCACTAAATTGCATCTGAACAAAAATTACATCTCAGCTTTATGGAACCACCAGTCAACAAAAACCCATTTCACAGCTTTGGTTTAAAGAAAAAAGAAAGAAAGAAAGGCCAAGTTCATCTATGGAATTTGAAATCACATATGGAATGGGGATTAACCGAAGCTTTTAGACTCCCAAGTACACAAATTACGCGTGAGAATTACACATGTCAGAAATTCCTTAACTAGACTTGATACAGATAGAGTGAAGGTTTGATCATGGAAACATATCCAACATACAACAAAGACAACCCATCGCATCGGTTAAATATGAAGAAATACAAGCAGTAAGAAGCACATTTCCTAAGCAAAATCACCTTATAGCAATATAGGCTAGCCTCAATGTTGAACAAAACAGAGTGATTCATGAAGCTAAGCGAAACTTGCCCTGCTAATGATCATCTTTTCTTGAAACCATACTTTTTCCGTTCGTAGAAAAGATCTGTTTTGGCACTTCCCAGATTCACAATTTTCGGACACCCATCTCTATCTTTCTCCTGCTGAGTACACTCTTTGCAGTAATAAGCATCAGAAATTCCAACCCCTCCGCAGATAACACACCTTCCCTGGAAGGATCCATAGTTGCACTCATCGCAGACCCGAACAAGCGTGCATGGACGCACATAAGAGTCGCAAATTACACACTTACCATCACACTTTTCACACAACCTTCCAATAGCTATTCCTGGTTGCTTCCGGCACATAATCAGATCAGGATGATGCTTTGCCATGTTCCTGCAACAAGACTATGCTTGTCCTACAATAGATGCACCCTGAATCATCCATACATGGGTGTCAGTGATCTCCCATAGAGAAGAGAACAAGCAGCAGCATTGCAGTTTATAAATCAACAAGATCAAAACTGAAATTGACTAGTGCAACTTGGTTATAAAATCCACTAGATTTTGTGCCCAAGTTCAGATTATTTACAAAATCAATTGCAATGCTTATGATAATGATAGTTCCAAACAACATATTTCTTAATTAATCATGTTGACGGGGATAAAACCAACAAGGCTTTTGTGTTTTGGTTATGTTTATCAATAAACTTCAAAGCTGATTCCAAATATTCAAAACTAACCCATTTTGCAAATCTGCATAATTTCAATAATCAACAGGGCAAGTAAAACAAGTAAAATGAGCTATCTGCTACAGTTCATGCCAAAGTGGTAGCATGCCAGAGTGTTCATATTCACAAGTCATGCAACCTATGGTGCAAATTAACATGGAAAATCAATCGACTATGATGATTTGCAAATTATTTTCTGTAGCAATACTCACTTATACAGAGAAACAAAAATAATTACAGTGGTTTAATTTCATAACATGAATTCATCACAGGGTAACAACTAACAGAGAATGTAGCTAAACCACGAAAATATTTCATTCACAGTCAAGGAAAAGCAGTTTATTGCCCCATCATTACAAAGGATGAACATGTCTCATTTTCTTTTGGTTGAATGTTTCCTTTTGGGTCTAAATTTTCTTTCAACTTAGGGGTGATTGTGATGTTTGTCTAATTCCCAATGTCAATTTTTTTACAGAAAGCAAAAATTTGGGCTCAATAAGAGTGTAAACGAATCTACATAATTTGAACAGAACAGAACAACTCAAAGGGAATGCGGAAGATAATGAGATGTAGAAACATGGTAATCAAATGCGCATTTGGCCAGAACTTTTTAATATTAGTTGTATAAATCAAATTAAGCAGCGGTTTCTACAAACACGAAAACTAGAGATGGAGAACGAGAAGCAAAAGAAAAAACCATTCCTTACCGCTGCTGGAGAGGAGAGGAGAGGAGAGGACTGATGAGAGCGAGGATAGCTGGAGGGGACTCGGAGGAGGGGCTGTTACTGTTCGAGATGAGAACAGAACCGGGGGATTGGCCCGATTCGGAATAGGAGTTGGGCACGGCTGACTGAGAGAACGAGAATAGGGTTTATGTTATTTCGTTCCTCTTTCTTATCGAGTCTCTTTTTTATTTTTGTTTTTTTGGGGGTATATAAAGACAAAATAATGTTTAAAACAATAAATAAAAAAAGTATTTTTGAGTGTTTAAACACTAATAAGTTAGTAAGTTAATTAACTAATTCAGTTTGGCTTGCTTCACAATATAAGTAGAAGAGGCTCACCCACCCACTAAAAAGTTAGTAATGGTGGTGGTGATCGCAACAATAGTGATGGTGGTGGTGGTAGCGGCCGTAGCGATGGTCGTGTCCATGGCAAGGTGGTGGCAGTGGCAGAGCCAGACTCAATTACATATGAGGGGCTAATTAGAATAACTTTTTCAATTTTTCTAAATTATTACATAATTAGATGTTAAATGATGAATGAGCTATATGGGGTTGGGGAGGCCATGGCAACCTCAGGCATACACCTAACTATGACTCTGGTTGTGGTAGTAGAGGTCATGATGGTGGAGGCGGTGGCGATCATGGCGTTGGGGGTGGTGGCGTTAGTAGTGGGATTGATGGGGAAATTTTACCTAGTCGTTTTAAAATTGTCACCCATGTGGAATTTTAGAAATGACATCTACTTAGATGAATTTTAAAATTGTACTTATTGAGTAAATGTATTTGAATCTCAAATATACCACTTCTCCACCCTTCCCTAACCCATTTGAGCAACAACTCATGTCCAAATGTATTGAGTACTTTAGCGGCTGCAAAGAGAAGTAGACCTGAACAAGTTTTTTAAGTAACTTAAATTACGTTTAACCATAAACCGCTTGCAATCAACTTGTATATATATCTCATGAATTACAAGGTTTAAAACAACAGTAACATAGTAATACATTTTCCACCATTTTCCAAAACTATCCATTTGAAGAAGTTCACAATGATGTTGTTAAACAAGTCTGCACAAGCGAGGCCTAGAACAGAATTGCCTTCCATTAGCTTTCACCACTGCCGCTATTCCAGCAGTCACCCCAGCCCAAAGCACTGAAGACATAAATTGCTGCGCATTTCGCCCCGCTGCGAATAGGATGTAAATTTTTTCATGTCTTAGTGAACATAGAATAAAACTCGCACACAGATTCCATTGTAATAAAGATTACAGACAGAAATAAAAGAACAGCAATACCTTGCTGAAGTGTTACAGATGTCAGCGTCAAACCTCCAATTAACAAAGCTGATGCCACCGGTAGATACTGCAATATTTGTACTTCCATTAAAACTTGACTATAAATTCAATAAGCCATCTTAAAAGTGGCAACAACAATCAAATGGCATGCAGGCCTCAGCTAATACACTCCTTCCTACTGTTTTTATGCTTTGGTAATTTAGTAAACAAAAGGAGAATCGAAGCATAAAATAAAATGAGAGTCTGAACATCGCTACCTTCACCGTAAAGTGAGGAGTTAATATGAAGATGAAACGAAAAGATTTTCTTGTTATATTGAATGTTGCAGGACTTGAATAACAAATTGTAAAGAGCTGAAAATGGACAACAAAATTATTCGGGCACTAAAATTTCTCAGAAAGATTCCAAATACTTACAGAAAAAGAATCAGTCTGGAATGGTGAACCATCCCTTCTAACTGTATAGCGGCCACTAATAAGATCCATAGCATCCTGAACACATTTGAAACTATTTAAGCAACTATGATTAACTAGCAGTTACTCTCTTCTATACAGAAGCGATATTTCATATTGAGAAAGATAGAGGCAGGCAGATTACCTGCCGAATGCCATCATGAAAATTATTCAAATAATATCTTGAAAGAGCACTCATCCCATCTTTCAGTATTCCTCCAAATGTCTGTTTTCCATATCTGCGGTAATGTGGACCCAGTGTATGATACAAAAAGGATATACATAGTTACCATAATTCTTGAAAATTATAGCATAAGTTGAACGCACCTAACCAGGTCCCCTTTCAGGGCATAAGTCCCAGCATATTCGAGGCTTATCTCGTCACCTTGCTCAGCCCACACTAAAGCAACAGAGTTCAGTATAAGGCTAAAAAATAACTACAGACATCGTCTGACTCATTATGGAATATGGGATATAATATAATAAGAATTCCATACATGCTCTAAATTTTTGATAATCTTCAGCAAACACAGAAATGCATTCAGAAGAATCAAGCACTCCAATCCTCTGCAACTGTGCATCTAGAGACTTCTGAGCCAAGTAACTCTGCATAATAAGATTTGGAGGAAGCAGTAAAAAATATTAAAGCTCATTTTAATCATGGCCAGCACAAATCATGAAAAGCAATTACACTAGATAATTCTCGTATAAACCTGAGTAACATTCGTCCTATCAAGGCAATCAATGCAGTTAGATCTGACAATCCCTTTCTGCTCCTCCAGTATGCTTCCTTTCGCATCTATGAGCAAGTATCTGCTCCGCTGGAATAGTAATGATTAAAAACAGTATTACAGAGAGCCAGCATACCTGGATATGGGCATAGTTAATTCAATCTGATATTAAGCTTTCATTACCCTTGCTTTTCAAATTGCTCCGAGATTTGCTCATATAGAAGCTTTAGGTTTTCAAAGTTTGAGTTCCCACAGACATGATGAAAGTCAAATGAAACGTATCTGCAATAAACACAAAAACTATTAAGTCAAAAACAAAATCTCAATTCCAGACGATAGATTATTTATAACAAGAAAAACAGAAACATTAAGCTAGTGATATAATTAGTAGCCAATGGGTGAAGATAATGACAAAATGGAGGCTTGAATACGTAAACAGAATAACAAAAAAGGAATCTACTTGAAGTGGGAGAGTGACTCAGTTGGGGATCAACATAATTACATACATAAAAGTGCAAATTGTCACCTCACATTTGGCAGATTTTGTGCTTCGGCAGAAAATGCCATGCTTAGTTGACCTTCATCACCATGCTACAGATAAAATAAATGGAAACTGGTATATAAACTGGAAACATATGAAACAACATAAATCTTGCATAACAGTTAAACTAAAAGGAGGTCAAACTTGTGTAGCACATATAACTAGAATTTAAAAATAAAAATAAGTAAAAAAACTGTCATATTCAGCAAATCCTGGAGCCACAATGGTGATTATGTCTTACGAACAAAATTTGTAATCTTTTCAGCTGGCCAAATTCTTCCTCTTCACAGATATAGTAGCTTAACAGTGAAGCTAAATTAGTGTGGAAGATTTATTCTTTCAAAGTATAACATAAAAGAGAAGAAACCCTTACTTTATCAGTTAGGTCTACAGCTATTATCTCTCCATATCTTTGGAAAAGATCAAAGAAATGGCGCTCCACAACATTTGACTGCAGATAGATGGGAAAATTCAAAACACAACTCTAACAAGGGAGCTGCACCATGAAGCCAGAAGAAAAGAGAAAGGAGGGGTGGTTGCATATTGGACAAAATTTACCGTCTGCTCATGATCAATAACTTTAAGTCGTGGTTTATAGCTCAAGTCAACAATTTGCTCCCAAAGAAGTGGAATTGAACCTCGAATCTGAAAACATATGAAAAAGTATAATGCATTTTTTTTAAAAGAAAAAGAAAAAGGAAATAAGTCTTCTCATATTAAATGATGACAATAAATGCTCAAAACCTCCGGTCTACTATCAATCTAAGGATTGATTGTGAAACAGCTTATGCCGTTTAGAAAGTACTTTATCTAGAAGTGTCTAGATGCACAAAAATTGGAAATATGAATCCATCCTTGTTAAACTATACATTTGTTTCGCTCATGTGAGGGCCAGTTCATAAAGATTAGAAAAGAAAAAAAAGTTCTACCATTATGATTTTGCTCAGATAAAAAAGGAGCACTGATTATACTTTTTCAAAAAGTTTCATCCTCAGCCAACTTAGTTGATCATGTGTGTAATGAGCCCAAGATATAAGCTGATGCCCTATTAAACTTAGGAACATAACGTAAATGTACATATTCAGTTACAGAACTGCTAATACTATTCCCTAAGCACACAATTATTTTCTGAACCTCCAAATTGGGATTACCTGCAATAATGAGGACCTGAAACCTTCACACTCCACCAACTGCTCAGTTTCAATAAAATTAGCTACATCTCCTTCAAGGTTAGCTCCTCTTCTCCACATTCTTGTGCCTGGTGACCACATTATAGTATCTCATGCTTAGATCTTTTATAACTAGTTGATACAGACACAAAGTCTACAAGAATCAATCATCTCTATAAAATTGTACCTAGACGTCGCGTACATCTCCTTGAGAATATCGTAAGTGTGGCAGGTGAGCCTTTTAGCTTAAGCTGTGCAGCCTGGAAGCTTAAATGTAGGTTAAAGAAATACCATACCATTCCCCAATTGAATATATTACAAACCTAATTTCAGAATCTTCATCCCCCTTACATGGGCGCACATATGAATAGCACAGAGAGAGAGAGAGAGAGAGAGAGAGAGAGAGAGAGAGAGAAATCTTAAGTAATAGACATAAGGAATCAGTAGCTTCAGGATATTTCCTTGTAATATAGGAATAATGAACCCATCAAGCTGCCATGAGAGAATAAATGTGAATCAGCGAAAAGTTTTCTGAGTTTGAAGAACTGACAACTTTTGGAAATGTCTTTGTAACCTTATACTCAATAAGTTCGTCCAAAAGATTTCTGTTCCAAACAAATCGAGGGTCAGCCTGGAAACAAAAACAAAATTAAAAGCTCAACTCCTGACCAAGCAATTAGTAATTATAGATCATATTGTAAATGAGAAAAACATTTGACAGAGGCTAAAATAGCATAAGAAAAAGATTGGAAAATATCCATGAAAAGTAACATTTCTCTCCTCTATCTCCTTCTCTTTCTTCCATCTCTTAAAATTCACTTCTTGGTTTATGACCAAGCATTTCCCCCTTCATCTCTGTTCTATCCCTTTCTCTTTTTTCTTCTATTCTTTCTAGTTTCCTTCTCTCAAAGCTCTCCTCTTGGTTCTATGCCAGCTAGCCCTTCTTTTCCCTTTTTTCCCTCTCACTTAGACAGAGTTGAGAATACCTGTAAACTAAACCCGAGGCCTAATATCCATCATGTTACATATATGGGACAATAGCTTATATGCACCTGATATATCTGACATGGATTACTTCCAGGAAATAATCAGTTCAAGATAAACCAAATACTCCACGTTTCCAACTAACCTGCTTCCATATTGGTTTGGCCATCCATCCTTCCATTAACTTACGTCTTCTTTGAAAACTGGTAGAAATTATCAAATATGTGTAATTAGCGTAAATTGACATGATACTTAACCAAAAAGAAGCATAAACTTACATGATACACGTCTGAATGTAATCACAGAATAATGACGAAAACAGCGGTAATCTACTCAAACAGCACCCTAATAGGTATGAAAACTTTTAAATTGTGTTTGATCGCTAGGTATAAGAATTTACTTTAATGTAATATCTGTTTGGTAAGAAAAGTACAGCCCTGGAGTTGATTGGACTGTTTTCAACAGAGCCATGAAGTAAGCCTCATCTTTTTTCTGCACAAAGACATCAGAAGCTTTCAGACAAGACTCAAAACTTTAAAAAATCCCGAGAGACGCTCAAATTAGCTTTGTATAATCGATTAAAAGAAGTAAAAATAAAAAAACTTCACCTCTTGAAGAGTTGAATTCTTCAAAACCTCATTGCAGGACAGAAACTTCATAGAGGTTACTCGGTAAACAGGGAAGCCAAGAAAGGCCCCGACTTCGGTCCTCGAAGTTATTACAAGTACATAATTTTCCTGCACCAAATACATGAATTATTCAAAGAAACATCATTGCATCTAATAGCTCAAGCTGAAATTCAAGATGCAAGTTTTCAAAACAAAATCCAATACACAAAATCTGCCAAGCAATTAACTACCTGCAAGCAATCTGATGGTTCCCGCCACACCATATATCGTAGAGGTTTTGGTTGGTCTTGCAGAAGAAGAAGAAGAATCACCTTCTAATAATAAACAACAAGCACATGAATTCAGAAAAATTAGAAAAAATTGAAATTCCATCAACAAAGCTAAAAAATTTATACCATTAAGTGGTTCAATGGTCCCGTCACGGCGGTCGATCGAGAAGCCTTGATCTGGAGCCTCGACGGATTTGATCACGAACTTGTCCTGAAACTCTTGCAATTCTAACTGCTCGTAGAGCTTGAATTTAGCGCTAGGACAAGATCCACCGTCCATTTCCGCAAACACAATAACTCTAGAATTATCGTTCTATATTGATCGAAGAAGAAAATGGTGGTTGCCAATTTGGAAATATCCAATTTACAGACTCCTCCCTCTGTTTTAGGCTTCAGCTGATAACCAATGTCGAAGACGATGAAATGTATTAAAAGACGTTATTACCCCTAATGACTTTGTGATTGTTCAGGGATTTGGAGACAATTGAGGGAACAAAATCATAAGTTTGTAATTTATCGTCTGTGAGCAGCTGTGAGATGCTTGGTTTTCTGCGTTTATGCAAGAGCTATGATTCTCTACGTACAACTGTACCGTAATCAGTTACAACAGATATGCTCGAGCTCGAGGTGACAGGAGTGGATGACGTGGCAACATCTGGGTCGCGTCAAAGAGTCAGTGCGCTGAAAATGAAAGATATATATTATTGTGCAAGCAAAAACACTTTGCATTGCGTACGCGTACTCTGAAACTTTTTCTTTCCTGTGGGTTGAGTAAGACTTGGAAACAGGAGATGGACTGCCTTAAATATTACGGCCGCGCGGCTATACTCCTTAAATATATTATTATATTTATGTTTAAGGGATATAGCCGAGCGGCTATACTGAGGTATTTTGTTTTTTCTTTTAAAAAGTTTTAAGGGGTATAGCCGCCTGGCTATACGGAGGTCCTTTTTTCAAAATTTTTTTAAACATAGTATAGCCGCGCGGCTGTACTATAATATTATAATCAGCCGATCGGCTATACTCCTCAAATATATTATTATATTTATATTTAAGAAGTATAGCTCGCTACAAAGGCTATACTTTTTTGTTTTTTTTTTTTTTTTTTCTTTAATTTTTAAAAATAAAAAAAATTAAAGCAAATTCCCACAATAATAATATTCTTCTTTTTGGTTTGAACTTCAAGTGCTTAATTTGGAAGCTATTTGGCAGGTTTTTAAAACTATTAGGTGTATAAGATTATTATGACTTGGGTTTGTTTATATATAGCCTATTTATTTATTTTGGGTAAATTTCATTCTAATTCGTGGAATAGGAAAGAAAGCAAAGCCATGGCCTTGTCCTGACTTGCTGATTTGGGCCTCAATATGCTAATTTCTAACTCTCATTAATTTCTAAGAGAATGCCGGTGTTGATGCCTTGTTGCAAATGAACTATAATGAATTCTTGAAGATGCGAGTTTCTTTTGAACTGGACTACACAAAAATGCGGCAATTGTGAGACGAGTGGCAGGCGCTCTGGATTCGAAAACAATGAATTTGTCACAACCGGCAGTCATGCCAAAACCTGCTTCTTATTTTTATTTCATTGCAGTTTGTTATTTTTAAAACTTTTAGTCATATCAGTATAATTTTGGATTCCATATAAGAGTCATATTAGTAGATTCCCCCACTCAAAATTGGGTCAAGAAACAATTTTTGCTTGTGTTGAACCCAAATTTGGATTTATTTCGTTTCCCTCTTTGTTTGGGTTGAGCTTCAGTTTGTATATATATATGTACAAAAACTCCAACCACACACTGAGATTGTTGAGACTTGTATTCATTTTCCATTTCAATAAATATATGCTCTTGGAAACGTTGTTGTGTTATTTTTGGCAGCAGCAGAGATGTAAGATTTTGCGGCCTTGTTCCAAGATGAACAAACAACTCTAAAGCGAAGAACGTCAACGAAATTAATTGAAGCAAGCTTTTCGAACATCAGCTCTAACAGCTCACGTTGGAGATCAGACCACTCTCTCAGATCTCTCTGCCTCTCTGGGTTTTAATCTAAGGTATGAAAATCCCTAAGCTTTCGATGTTTGGGTGTTTCTGATTTGGTGTTTTTGGATTGGTTTAATTTGTCGGTATTTGATATTTGGACTATTTTTGGTTTTGATGTTATCGTTGCTAGTATAGGAAAGAGAAGTTTTGAAAGAAGAAGGGGGGAGAAATAAGAGGGAAGGTATTCTATTGTTCTGTTCTTGTGCATTTGATTTGTTACTGTTTCTCTTTTATTGGCACCTGTGATTTTGTCTGTATTAAAATCATGGGTTGCATGAACTATACTAGCAAGACAACAGTGGGGGGCTTTAGTTAATTAATTGTAACATATGCTACATATTTGGAACCATTGCAAATTAACAAGACATTAATTTTGGGGTGATTCAATCAGGAACCAATTAATCTTTCAAAAGAAAAACAAAACTGAGAAGTGGGTTTTAGTCATAATTGAACCTTGGAATTTACATATATTGAAAGCAGAGTAGTCGTAGCTAGGCATCATTGTTTTACATATGCACTTAAAATTTACTTAAGTAATTTTGTCATCATTGTTTTAATTACTAGCTAGCTTGAAATTTTGGTTTGCAGTTTAGGTCATCAGGGGATTGTATTGTCCATGTAGCGGTTGATGCCAAGTAACTCGTGCGTATGTTACATATTGGCTCTGTGGATGTGCTTGAAATAGGTACGTAGTGCCCTGCTCTTGGTTTGCTATCATTCATTACAAATTGTGAATCCTGTGGCTCTTCTTGTTTTGTACAATTAGACTTGATATTTGCAGCTGTTGAACTGGATCCTTAATGTTTTGAGAGCGTTTTTGTAGTTTTATCAATATAATCTCATCCCTAGTTGTCGATGTTTTATAAGCAGTATGCAATTTTGAGACCATCTGTAAGGTCTGAGTATAAGAGAGTGAGGCAGTTGTCTTGTCTCTTCCACTTTTAGTGGATAGACAATTGCCTAGTTGAAATTAACTGAAAACAATGTTCTAAAACAATTTCTTTCAAATTTTATATTTGGATATGTTGGTAGTTTTAAGAAGCAGAAGATGTCTGATTCATCAACCTGAATCAGTACAAGTCAAAATCCCCCCTCTCCACTTGTTGTTTAATTTGTTTATGTATCATTGATTGCATTAATTCTTTCTGCGAGTCTAAACTTGTATTACTAGATTTATATATCTTATCATCATATCATGATGACTTTGACAAATTAGGTGCTGGTCTGGATGCTGACCTGCATTTTATAATTATCACATATAGATTTATTTTGTGTATCATTTGCCTAGTGTGGTGGCTATTAGAGTTGTTACCTTGGGCAATTGATTGTTTTTATGCATATTTGGGCAGAGGAACTTACCCTTTTGTTCATGAATTCTCATGTCTGATTTTTCCCCCTTCATTACTTGTGAAAAATGTGTTTCAATTGATTAAGTTGCAGTTCGTACAAAGCCTCTAAAGATTGACCATAACTCCGTCAAGGTAAAATCTTATGTTTTGGCTCAATATTTGTCTTTTCCAAACGCTTTTCTCCTATGTTTTCTGCTGCCCTATGTAAAGCATGTTTGGAGGATACCATTTTTGTATCTAATTGAGTAATTCCCCTGGTGCTGCAGAGGAGGTTGATGTTTTAACCTTCGGCCTATATTACTCTTGTTAGGGACTTCATGGTTATTTTCTTTATATAAAATTTTTTTTCCCTTTTTGAACATGCTATTAGTGAGCAAGGATTGTTAAAATGACAAGAAATTGAATCGCTTCTTGTTTGGTGCTTCTGCTTCTCTGATATAATAATTGTGTAGATTTTGTATTAAACTAGATTAAGGAAAGGTTATTTCCTCTTCTTTTGGTGGATTGTTTTACAACCCAATAACTTTTGCAGGAATATAAACATATGTTTACCTTTGTCCTTGGGATCTACACTCTTGCTGTTTCAGAGGCTTTATCAGAAAATTGCAAGTAACACACAATGCTTTTGCTATTTTGCTTGTTAGTTATACAAATTTCCAATAATTGGGTAGTGGCTTCTCGTTTTTTATTTTCAGGTTGTTTTAAATTTGGTGCATGAATAATTTTGACTGCTTCGAAGTATGCATGTCTTTTAGCTAGTATGTTGTTTGGTCTTTAACCAAGCTTTATTGGGGAAGTGATGTTTACTTTATTTGTTTTTTGGTTGAGAGTGTCATTGCCTCAACCTGTGCTTTTTAAATTTTTTTGTTTTTAGTGTGCAATTAATATTAAGTCCTTAACTAGTATCTTCATATATAATATTTGGTTCAAAGGCAATGGTATTTGTTTGTCGATGATATTCGATCTGCATAATTTTCAGGCTTGCTTACAGTAAGAAGGGCCCTACTCCTAGGCCAATTAATGATGAAGCGGCAAAAGTAAGTTATATTAATGCATAATGTAGTAATTAAGTGGAACAATCAAATAAATAATTATTGCCACTAGTCATTACCATATGATGGATGTTGTGTGTTTTATGTAATGGTGTTTTGTAGGATGAGTTGGAGAAACTTGAGTAGAGGGAGCGGGATGCAGGGCGGAAGATGATGAATAAACAACCATGAAGGAGCAAGAAATGCTGCAGAGGTACAAAGTCCATTGTTGAATGTTTTGGTTTGGATGCAAATAGGTGGGGAAGCTAATATTTTCATGTGCTGGTGTAATTAAATTCACTTGTTGACCATAATGGCATGCTCTGGATTTTGATGCTTTTGTTCATGTTCTAATTGTACAAGAGTAATGATTGAATGTGCTATTGTAAAATTTCTTTGACCTAACTTCGTTTTAAAGGACTAAATATATACTAGATTCTACTATTTGTTGAATACATTAATGCAACTTGGTAAATATGATTGAATTGTGCCCAATTAAAAGGGAGTTTCACTAAAACACCCAAAATGGAGGTTGAAATTATAAAAAAATCCAACACCCAAAACACTTTATAAACACACCCAAAACCCATCATTACACACACTCAAAACCCATTTATAAACACACCCAAAAAGTTGACTTTGGGGTTGATTTTGGGTGTGTTTCTATGTTTAAATAGTGCTTGGGTTTTTTTATAAATACATGTGTAGGATTGGGTTTATTTATAAATTTGTATTAAAATAATGGGTAGCAGGTTTTGAGAGAATGAAAAGAAAATTAATTGGAAATGGGAACAAAAAAAAACCATAAAATTAATTAACTCATAGGAATAATAGCACGAGACACATAACTGTACAACTTGTAGAGACTTATTATTAAAAATTATTTGTATCATAAGCCTACCCCTTACATGTTCAACAGAAACAAAAATATGATTGATGCCAACATCACCAAGGACTAGGCACAATCCAAACGGCTGGTGAATAACTAAAGTTATTCGCTCCAGTTATACAGTATTGCTTAACAACTTTAGTTTCAAAGTTGAACACTCCTTGAACATGAATATCAATAATATCACCACCATGTGAATGCTCATGATACTCATCTGCGAAGTAAATTGAGTTTTCTTTCAATCTTGGCAATTTCTGGGTGGATAATGACATTGCCGGTTGATTTTTGGCCAAAAATAAAGCACAATCACGCAAACATTCCACCTTCTCCCACGTTTTGGCAGCAATGTTTAACTCGTAGACATCAAATTTCTCTGTTCCTCTGCCATTGTCCCCCAACCATTCTCGCTCCACAAGCAAAAGCTCACCCATTGACTCCACCAACCATTTTTTATCCCCCATCATGGTTCCGTGAAAACCATTCCGAGCCATGGAAGGTCGAAAATGCATGATCTTCGTGGGATTATTATTATTATAGGTGTCCCCGAAGTCCCAAACTTGAATTGAGTGGTCTTTGGACAGTGCAAATAAATGACTATTGTTGCGTAGTAGGATATCAAAATAATGATCATGTGAACCCTCTAATTCAGTCCATGCTGTAGCGTTTTCTCCTCCTCTGCCGTGCTGATAGAATGCTAACCTTGTCGGTACGTTCAAGGTCTCATGAATTACCACAACGACAAAGTTGTTGTTGCGAGAGGGGTCTGAGGAAAGCACAATTTTACGGATTGGAGACCCACGCGGCAAGGAAGGAAGCGTCCTGCTTTTTCTAGAAATTGGATTGAAAAGACGAATTTCGCCCAATGTCCAAGCCCTCTTCCCCATCACCAGCCACCCATGTGATGAACCCAAAAAGGAATCGACTCCAAGAAAGCCTTGAGACGCTTCCGTCTTGTAAACCTTCTTCTCTACAAGGCTAGAGAAGCATATGCCATTCCCAATCCAACCCCATCGCGTGGAGGGGTACATGAGCCCTGGATATTGAGGCAACGGGGCGGAGGTATACGATCTTGCAGCGCGTATTAGGTGTTAGTTTTAAAAACCTGCCAAATAGCTTCCAAATTACGCACTTGAAGTTCAAACCAAAAAGAAGAATATTATTATTGTCGGAATTTGCTTTAATTTTTTATTATTTTTAAAATTCAAATGACCAATCTGCCCTGAACAGTTAAAGTAAAGAAAAAAAAAGGACCTCTGTATAGCTGAGCGGCTATACTCCTTAAAAAATTAAAAAACAAAAAACAAAACACCGCAGCAAACCAAGCATCTCACAGCTGCCCCAGAGCCGTTAAATTACAAAATTATGATCCTCAATTGTCTCCAAATCCCTCAACAATCACAAAGTCATTAGGGGTAATAACGTCTTTTAATAACAGAGGGAGGAGTCTGTAAATTGGATATTTCCTCATTAGGAGGGGAAAAGATCTCTTTAAATACAAATCCTCATTAGGAGGGGAAAAGACTCTATATCCTAATTCAAATAGGAGGGGAAAAGACTCTATATCCTAATTCAAATAGGAATTATATCATAAGCGCCACCTATAAATACATGTAAATACTTGGGAATCATATCCCAATATCATCATCAGCAATCGCTATGGCTTATACTTATTCCACCAAAAGGAGGAGGCTAAAATATTCAAGCACAACACCAAATAAGTGGGCTGATGAGCTCCCAACTGAGCTGTTAGGGTTGATCGTGAAAAAGCTCGCTTCTAATTTCATGGACATCAGTCGCTTCAAAGCCGTCTGTTCTTCTTGGAACCGCGCTGCAAGATCGTATACCTCCGCCCCGTTGCCTCAATATCCAGGGCTCATGTACCCCTCCACGCGATGGGGTTGGATTGGGAATGGCATATGCTTCTCTAGCCTTGTAGAGAAGAAGGTTTACAAGACGGAAGCGTCTCAAGGCTTTCTTGGAGTCGATTCCTTTTTGGGTTCATCACATGGGTGGCTGGTGATGGGGAAGAGGGCTTGGACATTGGGCGAAATTCGTCTTTTCAATCCAATTTCTAGAAAAAGCAGGACGCTTCCTTCCTTGCCGCGTGGGTCTCCAATCCGTAAAATTGTGCTTTCCTCAGACCCCTCTCGCAACAACAACTTTGTCGTTGTGGTAATTCATGAGACCTTGAACGTACCGACAAGGTTAGCATTCTATCAGCACGGCAGAGGAGGAGAAAACGCTACAGCATGGACTGAATTAGAGGGTTCACATGATCATTATTTTGATATCCTACTACGCAACAATAGTCATTTATTTGCACTGTCCAAAGACCACTCAATTCAAGTTTGGGACTTCGGGGACACCTATAATAATAATAATCCCACGAAGATCATGCATTTTCGACCTTCCATGGCTCGGAATGGTTTTCACGGAACCATGATGGGGGATAAAAAATGGTTGGTGGAGTCAATGGGTGAGCTTTTGCTTGTGGAGCGAGAATGGTTGGGGGACAATGGCAGAGGAACAGAGAAATTTGATGTCTACGAGTTAAACATTGCTGCCAAAACGTGGGAGAAGGTGGAATGTTTGCGTGATTGTGCTTTATTTTTGGCCAAAAATCAACCGGCAATGTCATTATCCACCCAGAAATTGCCAAGATTGAAAGAAAACTCAATTTACTTCGCAGATGAGTATCATGAGCATTCACATGGTGGTGATATTATTGATATTCATGTTCAAGGAGTGTTCAACTTTGAAACTAAAGTTGTTAAGCAATACTGTATAACTGGAGCGAATAACTTTAGTTATTCACCAGCCGTTTGGATTGTGCCTAGTCCTTGGTGATGTTGGCATCAATCATATTTTTGTTTCTGTTGAACATGTAAGGGGTAGGCTTATGATACAAATAATTTTTAATAATAAGTCTCTACAAGTTGTACAGTTATGTGTCTCGTGCTATTATTCCTATGAGTTAATTAATTTTATGGTTTTTTTTTGTTCCCATTTCCAATTAATTTTCTTTTCATTCTCTCAAAACCTGCTACCCATTATTTTAATACAAATTTATAAATAAACCCAATCCTACACATGTATTTATAAAAAAACCCAAGCACTATTTAAACATAGAAACACACCCAAAATCAACCCCAAAGTCAACTTTTTGGGTGTGTTTATAAATGGGTTTTGAGTGTGTGTAATGATGGGTTTTGGGTGTGTTTATAAAGTGTTTTGGGTGTTGGATTTTTTTATAATTTCAACCTCCATTTTGGGTGTTTTAGTGAAACTCCCTTTTAATTGGGCACAATTCAATCATATTTACCAAGTTGCATTAATGTATTCAACAAATAGTAGAATCTAGTATATATTTAGTCCTTTAAAACGAAGTTAGGTCAAAGAAATTTTACAATAGCACATTCAATCATTACTCTTGTACAATTAGAACATGAACAAAAGCATCAAAATCCAGAGCATGCCATTATGGTCAACAAGTGAATTTAATTACACCAGCACATGAAAATATTAGCTTCCCCACCTATTTGCATCCAAACCAAAACATTCAACAATGGACTTTGTACCTCTGCAGCATTTCTTGCTCCTTCATGGTTGTTTATTCATCATCTTCCGCCCTGCATCCCGCTCCCTCTACTCAAGTTTCTCCAACTCATCCTACAAAACACCATTACATAAAACACACAACATCCATCATATGGTAATGACTAGTGGCAATAATTATTTATTTGATTGTTCCACTTAATTACTACATTATGCATTAATATAACTTACTTTTGCCGCTTCATCATTAATTGGCCTAGGAGTAGGGCCCTTCTTACTGTAAGCAAGCCTGAAAATTATGCAGATCGAATATCATCGACAAACAAATACCATTGCCTTTGAACCAAATATTATATATGAAGATACTAGTTAAGGACTTAATATTAATTGCACACTAAAAACAAAAAATTTAAAAAGCACAGGTTGAGGCAATGACACTCTCAACCAAAAAACAAATAAAGTAAACATCACTTCCCCAATAAAGCTTGGTTAAAGACCAAACAACATACTAGCTAAAAGACATGCATACTTCGAAGCAGTCAAAATTATTCATGCACCAAATTTAAAACAACCTGAAAATAAAAAACGAGAAGCCACTACCCAATTATTGGAAATTTGTATAACTAACAAGCAAAATAGCAAAAGCATTGTGTGTTACTTGCAATTTTCTGATAAAGCCTCTGAAACAGCAAGAGTGTAGATCCCAAGGACAAAGGTAAACATATGTTTATATTCCTGCAAAAGTTATTGGGTTGTAAAACAATCCACCAAAAGAAGAGGAAATAACCTTTCCTTAATCTAGTTTAATACAAAATCTACACAATTATTATATCAGAGAAGCAGAAGCACCAAACAAGAAGCGATTCAATTTCTTGTCATTTTAACAATCCTTGCTCACTAATAGCATGTTCAAAAAGGGAAAAAAAATTTTATATAAAGAAAATAACCATGAAGTCCCTAACAAGAGTAATATAGGCCGAAGGTTAAAACATCAACCTCCTCTGCAGCACCAGGGGAATTACTCAATTAGATACAAAAATGGTATCCTCCAAACATGCTTTACATAGGGCAGCAGAAAACATAGGAGAAAAGCGTTTGGAAAAGACAAATATTGAGCCAAAACATAAGATTTTACCTTGACGGAGTTATGGTCAATCTTTAGAGGCTTTGTACGAACTGCAACTTAATCAATTGAAACACATTTTTCACAAGTAATGAAGGGGGAAAAATCAGACATGAGAATTCATGAACAAAAGGGTAAGTTCCTCTGCCCAAATATGCATAAAAACAATCAATTGCCCAAGGTAACAACTCTAATAGCCACCACACTAGGCAAATGATACACAAAATAAATCTATATGTGATAATTATAAAATGCAGGTCAGCATCCAGACCAGCACCTAATTTGTCAAAGTCATCATGATATGATGATAAGATATATAAATCTAGTAATACAAGTTTAGACTCGCAGAAAGAATTAATGCAATCAATGATACATAAACAAATTAAACAACAAGTGGAGAGGGGGGATTTTGACTTGTACTGATTCAGGTTGATGAATCAGACATCTTCTGCTTCTTAAAACTACCAACATATCCAAATATAAAATTTGAAAGAAATTGTTTTAGAACATTGTTTTCAGTTAATTTCAACTAGGCAATTGTCTATCCACTAAAAGTGGAAGAGACAAGACAACTGCCTCACTCTCTTATACTCAGACCTTACAGATGGTCTCAAAATTGCATACTGCTTATAAAACATCGACAACTAGGGATGAGATTATATTGATAAAACTACAAAAACGCTCTCAAAACATTAAGGATCCAGTTCAACAGCTGCAAATATCAAGTCTAATTGTACAAAACAAGAAGAGCCACAGGATTCACAATTTGTAATGAATGATAGCAAACCAAGAGCAGGGCACTACGTACCTATTTCAAGCACATCCACAGAGCCAATATGTAACATACGCACGAGTTACTTGGCATCAACCGCTACATGGACAATACAATCCCCTGATGACCTAAACTGCAAACCAAAATTTCAAGCTAGCTAGTAATTAAAACAATGATGACAAAATTACTTAAGTAAATTTTAAGTGCATATGTAAAACAATGATGCCTAGCTACGACTACTCTGCTTTCAATATATGTAAATTCCAAGGTTCAATTATGACTAAAACCCACTTCTCAGTTTTGTTTTTCTTTTGAAAGATTAATTGGTTCCTGATTGAATCACCCCAAAATTAATGTCTTGTTAATTTGCAATGGTTCCAAATATGTAGCATATGTTACAATTAATTAACTAAAGCCCCCCACTGTTGTCTTGCTAGTATAGTTCATGCAACCCATGATTTTAATACAGACAAAATCACAGGTGCCAATAAAAGAGAAACAGTAACAAATCAAATGCACAAGAACAGAACAATAGAATACCTTCCCTCTTATTTCTCCCCCCTTCTTCTTTCAAAACTTCTCTTTCCTATACTAGCAACGATAACATCAAAACCAAAAATAGTCCAAATATCAAATACCGACAAATTAAACCAATCCAAAAACACCAAATCAGAAACACCCAAACATCGAAAGCTTAGGGATTTTCATACCTTAGATTAAAACCCAGAGAGGCAGAGAGATCTGAGAGAGTGGTCTGATCTCCAACGTGAGCTGTTAGAGCTGATGTTCGAAAAGCTTGCTTCAATTAATTTCGTTGACGTTCTTCGCTTTAGAGTTGTTTGTTCATCTTGGAACAAGGCCGCAAAATCTTACATCTCTGCTGCTGCCAAAAATAACACAACAACGTTTCCTCAAGCTCCATGGTTGGCGATCCCTATAGATGAAAAATACGACGGGACGATACTCCGCGCTTCGTTAACCTTGCGGAGAACAAGGTTTACAAGCTCAAGAACGCTGCATTTAGAGGCTTTCCGTTCGAAGGCTTTCACTGCGGAACAAGTTATGTGGGATCGTCGCATGGGTGCCTGGTGATTTGGAAGGAGGATGATGTTGTGCTACAATCATCAAACTAAAACTAGAAGTAAAGGATCTCTATTTTATTAGAAGATAAAATAATTTAACATAGTTTTTTAGAATATTTAGAAATTTATTTGATATTTTTTTGGAATAAAATACGAATTTTAGAGTATAAATTACCTTAGTCAAAAAACGCAGGAATAGTAAGATCGGATGGTGGTTGCCCATAAATTGATGGTCGGAAAAGCAGGATCCCGATGGAGGTCTCTAAAAAATATGTAAATACACTAGGAAAAAGAGAAGCTTCGAACTCCAACTGTCACTTTGGCTCTTGGGGTCTCTGAAAAATAAAAATAAAAAATCTTATTACTACTAGCACATAATGCATTATGACATTTGGATGTTTTATATTAACTCCTTGAGCCACCAGGACTGGGACTCATTATTTTATTTGCTGGAATTTGGTATATGGTAGAAACAATGCCAGTTCGTATACTAAGGGAAATGATTCTGTTTAAATTTTAATATTTTATATTATTTTTATTCAGTAATATGTGAAAATTAGGTGTATAATATGTGAACTTTTTTATGCATTATTGAAAATTTTGTAAAAAAAACACATGTATTAAATATAAAAAATATGGACGTATTTTACGTTTGCTTTTTAAAAAAAACTTGTATTTTACTAAGTCTTTAAGACGTATAGGGGAAACATAAATATGATTGAAAAATGCGTACGTAAGTGTACAATACGAGTATTAAACTGAAAAAATACTAAATTCTTCATACGGATAATAACTCTTTAAAAGTCAAAAAAATAAAAAAGGGATAATAAAGACTCGGGTAATGGATAATGCTTTAAACTACTCTTACGAAAAATCCGGGAATTTTTTATTTATTTATTTATTTAAAAAGGACCCCAACGGCTATACTATTGATTAAATGTATTTATTTTTTTAAAAAAAAGGACCTCCGTATAGCCGAGCGGCTATTAATATATTTAAGGAGTATCGCCAAGCAGCTATATGCTTTAATTATAATAATATAGTATCGCCGCATAGCTATACTATTTATTAAAAAAATTGAAAAAGAAAAGAAGGACTCAGTATAGCCACGCTTCTATACTCCTTAAATATAAGAATCAATCTAAATGCTAACACTACTACAAAATAACCCTTGCGCGACCAAATTTTGCGCGACGAAAAATTAATCGTCGTGCAAAGACCAAATTTTGCGCGACGAAACTCAAACTTCGTCGCTAAAAACCTTGCGCGACCAACTTTTGCGCGACGAAAAACAATTCGTCGCTTAAAGTGACTTTGCGCGACCAATTTTTGCGCGACGACAATACGTCGTCGCTCAAAGTCTTGCACGACCAAATTTTGCGCGACGAAAAAAAATTCGTCGCTCTAAGTAACTTTGCGCGACGGAAAACAGTTCGTCGCGCAAAGTCGCTTTGCGCGACGAAAAACAATTCGTCACGCAAAGCTACTTTGCGCGACGAAACAATTAACTTCGTCGTGCAAAGTCCTTATAAAAATAAATAAAATAAATAAATTATTTTTTTAAATCTTTGTTAGAAAAATATATTATTGTTGTTTGGATTGTGTTTTTATTAGAAAATATATTTTTTAAATTGACGATCGAATCAGTTCATTGTATTCATATAGGGTCAAAGAGTGTAGCTATAAAAAATCATCAAAATCGGAGTTAAAATAACCGTTAAATCGTGATTTTTCATTTATAACCGTCGAAAAGTTTTGTCCCATTACTCCTCCACCATTTTCTCAATGTCTTTCTCTACTCTTTCCTCTCCTCCCTCTTTCCCTCTCCCCAAATCCCACCATTTCTCTCACACTCACTCCTCTCACTTAATCTCTCATCATCTCTCTCTTCACTATCTCTCACTCTCACTCACTCTCTCATCTCTCTTTTCACTATCTCTCACTCTCTCATCTCTCTATCACTATCTTCTCTAATTCTCAGGAATAGTAATCTTTTGTTTCTACTTTGGTTCTTGTGATTTCAGCATTTTGGTCCCTGGATTTTAGGGATATTAGAAGGAAATTTGACAGAGTGTGCAACGTGTCCTTGATAAAATAAAAAGATTGAGGTTTAAAAGTTGCTTCTTAAATCAAAGATACAAGCGTATAGTCATCCACGGTTCATCCTCATTCTCCCAATTGTATGATTTGTTCAATTCACATGTCCAGATCAACTCTATCCATGCTATTATTTTATGAAAAGAAGCAGCTCTGCATGGAAAGATTAAGTAACTTGAATGTTGAAGCTACACAGATAGCTAATCTAAACTATTTAAGAAACCAAATTCTTTCATTGCAGGCCAGCTATAACCCAACCCAAAACTACATGGAATTCTTTACAGCTAACGGTTTTTGTTCAAGTTAACTCATCCAGGGCTTTGCCATGCAAATTGCAATTAAAAGGAAGACTTTAAACTCAACAAGTCAAGCCAACCACGAATCTCGTGGAGGCCTTTTTGCACGATATTAAAGCCACATCATTATTTTAATTATGTCCTAATTTTCATGGTTACTACAATATTAGATGGTGAAAGACTTCAACCTAAGCAAAGTATATCCATGCCGAAAGACCAATGATAATTATCATGCAAGAACTTCTCAGCCCAGTTCAAACCAACAGCATGCATTGTCCTTAACAACTGAATGTGTTCTTTATGTACATCTGCCAGACAATCAAGACCTTCATATCGTGCCACCACCAGGACATGCCTTTGTGCCTGCAAAATTCCAAAGTTCTTTAATCAGCTAAGAAGTAGAAGAGGTTGGTGAAGGATATATTAAGGGAGATTCACAATTATACTCAATATAAGAGCCCAAATTATTAAAAAAACCCTATATAAAATGGACTTTAGAAACATACCCAAGCCCAATTACAATATAACAAAAAAGCTTTTAACTTCTTTTAAATTACAAAATTGTCATTGATTTCTTAAAAAAAACCCAACCCCAAATCCTCATAAAAAAAAACCCAAAACACTCAATGAGGCATCAAAGTAATTTAATAATCAAAATTAAATTCAATTGGGCCAGCTGCCATTTTTTGGGGTTTGTTTAGAGAAATTAAATGGTATAGGGTTTATCTATAATATTAGTGCTAAGAATTGGTATATGACTAAATATTTCATATATTAATAGGTGACATTACGCTACGACATATTAATTTAAACATATGCCATTACGCATCATTCGTGCTTCATTCATAAAAGAAGAAAGAAAAAAAACTTCAATAGATGATACCCAAATACACCCTTTATACACCCCTTCTCAAATGCATGAAGATTACTCTACCCAAACCAGTAATCATCGCGCTCTACTACCCAAATAAATCACATCCCTTTGATGCCTCACTTGTTACCCAACACTTACCCAAGACAGATACTCTTGAAAGTTGGAAAACTCATCACCTAACATATATACGTCCCTCTCTTGGATCATACTCTTGCACCCAATTTAATTCCCAACCGAGCAATATATACCCAAATGACCAAGGCCTTCACCTTCAATTTTTGGGAAATAAACTCTGTATGAAACCGAAACAATAGAGCAAAAGCCCAAAACCATTATTGGCAGTTAAAAAAACTGACACACACAACTTTGGATAAAAGCCCAGCTTCTGAAAAATTCACACCACTTAGTCTCTACCCCAAAAAAGGCAAGTCAGTAGATCTTTTTCTCAAGAGAACCCCCACGCGACTTTCTAATTTGAGAAAAGTCAAAATTTTCAACTATCACAGAGGAGTTGATAGGGAGTTAATGAAGGCAGGTCTTACAGGAGGACTTCTCCATTTTTGCAGCCAAAGAAAGAAGATCAAATCCCCCCTTTATATACATAGAAACTCTGCACCAAAGCATGTAGCCTTTCCAAGAGATAAGCAGACTACATTTTCAAGAGATAAGTAGGGAGCAAGGAGGTTGTTCATCAGGAAAAGCAAACTAACCATCATGACATATTGTGTTTTTTTCTCTTTACAAAGAACAAATGAAGAACAAAGAGAGTTGGTTTTCTTTCAGAAAAAAGTAAGGAAAAGACCTCCATGAAAGCTAATTGTTGATGGTTCTTCTCTGCCAAAATAAAAACTTCCTTTTTGTGGCATTTAAAAAGAAAGATCTTTTGAAGGATCTGCCACCGATTATTAAAAGATTAAAAACCACACTCTAGCATTTCCTATAAATATGAGATGAGGTGAACATATCAAAAGACAACCAAAAAATCAATCAAGACAAATAAGGGGATGAGGAAGATACCTGCAACTGAGTAAAAGGAAAACAATCTTCATTAAAAATAACAAGCCTAGATGTGTAGACACGGCCTATGGATGGGTCAAGGCAATGATAACCCTTGTGATGGAGGCTATAGCCAATGAAAATACATTCCAAGGAACGACTCAATAACTTGTGATTAACATAAGGACCAAGAAAAGGAAAACAAGAACATCTAAAGACATGGAGATTTTTGTCAAGAGCAGGAACAAGGAAGACATCACTAAGGTTGAGTTTAGAAGTCCCCAAAGAGAGGGGTATGTTACCAGTATGAGAGATGGGAAAGGAGTCTCCATTACCCAAAAGTACATAATTATTACCATTGTAGGGTTGGGGATTGGAGAGAGAATTGCCATTACTAGTCATATGGCGGGTTGCTCTTGTATCGGGGTACCACTTGTTGTCAGGCAGATGGAGGGTGTGGGAGCCAGCAAAGGATGGAAATGAATGTAGCGATGAGGGCACGCAGCAACAGTGTGTTAAGTAGTAGAGCAAGTGGGACACCAATTGGAAGGAGGAGGGCCCAACACACCTTGGCCAGCCCAAGGGGGCAGTGAGCTAAAGCCACGACCAGCCGAGGGTTGTGAAGGCCTATTCTAGGGAGCCCAACTAGGTGTCTGCCACGAAGAGGATTGAAGGGAGAATGCACAGGGCCCCTAATTTTTTAGGGCCCCCAAATTTTTTAATGTATATATTATATATATATATATATATTGATATGTTAAATATTAGATATATAAAATCCGAGTAGGGCATTTACACAACGACGGGTTTGGCAGCCTTGTGTTTGGTGCACCATAACTTCTACTTATGGCGCGGGGTCGAGGCCCACTTGTGTACATCAATGATTGCAGTTTTACCTTGGTTTTGTTTTGTTTTTTTTTCTATTGTAACAGCAACAATAAAAGAAATAAAAATTCATGTCTCCTCCTTTTTAAACTCATATTTTCTAAGTAATAATAATCATCACCAATCTATCACTTTGGCTCTTATTTTCAATCCTTTAATTTATTTTTTTCCAATATCAAGGATTTCAATATCAAAAATCAAAAACACTAATTCCTAAATTCATAAAGGGAAAAAAAAAAAAAAAAAAAAAAAAAAAAAAAAAATCAAAAGAAAGAAAAACACTCAAAATCAAATAGTCAAATTGAAATCTCAATTTAAATTCAGATATATATCTAAATTTCAATCTACATGACTTGTTTCATTATGCTGATTGTTTACAAGTATTTACATATCTAACTTATAATATATACAAGTCTTTATATAGTTAACGAGCACTGAAAGGAAAACTTAGTCTTTATACTAAACATACTGGTATTTAAGTTTCTCAAATTGAAATGTCAAAATTTTTATAAATTTGATTTGTGATTTGCATGCTAATTGATGATGATTTTTTACTTAAAAAATAAAATTGTTGTATGCCACAAGTTTGTGTTAGATTATCTGAGAGTCTGGGTATAAGTTTCGCACAGGGCCCCGAAAATCTCAAGCCCAGCCCTGTCTAGATGCACAGTTGCAGAGGATTGGAGTGCTTGATTCTTCTGAATGCATTTCTATGTTTGCTGTAGATTATCAAAAATTTAGAGCATGTATGATGTATGGAAGTCTTATTATTTATATCCCATATTCCATAATGAGTCAGACGATGTCGGTAGGTATTCTTTTAGCCTTATACTGAACTCTGTTGCTTTAGTGTGGGCTGAGGAAGGTGACGAGATAAGCCTCAAATATGCTGGGACCTATGCCCTGAAAGGGGACCTGGTTAGGTGCGTTCAACTTATACTATAATTTTCAAGAATTATGGTAACTATGTATATCCTCTTCGTATCATAAACTGAGTCCACATTATCGCAGATATGGAAAACAAACATTTGGAGGAATACTGAAGGATGGGATGAGTGCTGTTTCAAGATATTATTTGAATAATTTTCATGATGGCATTCGTCGGGTAATCTGCCTGCCTCTTATCTTTCTCAAATATGGAATATCGCATCTGCATAGAAGAGAGTAATCGTAGTTGCTTAAATAGTTTTAAATGTGTTCAGGATGCTACGGATCGTAGTTGCTTAATTTAATTTTTAGTCCGGATAGGACTAGGATTTCTAACTAGTAGTCTTAGTAGGAATCCTACTCCTAGTAGGATTAGGTTTTCTTAATTATAAATAATCTTAGTAGGAATCCTACTCCTAGTAGGATTAGGTTCTCTTAATTATAAATACTCTTAGTAGGAATCCTACTCCTAGTAGGATTAGGTTTTCTTCACTATAAATACTCTTGTATTTCAATTTGTATGAACATCATCCATCATTCGAGAATTCAATTTATAGAATTTGCATCCCTTCCAGTTCCAACTTGTTGTCATAGGTGCACCTACCTATCTTCATAATTCAATTTATAATGGACGGAAGAGTTGATGCTATGGCTAAGACTACTCATGAGAAGTTAATGGACGAAGCTAAATTCTTTGAGGAGTTCCAACAAAAAATGATAGATTATATTAAGGAAGTGGAGTCAGAGGTGGAGAGGGTGGGCAAGAAGGTGGAGAGGCTGGGCGTGGGCAACACTGGTTGTAATTTTTCAAAGCAATACCTTGAATTCAGGGTACACGAATTGAGTTCGACAAAGCATCACCTTGATATCATCACAAACTGTTTGAATCGGACGAGGGAACAAATTGCCACTCATCATGACTACTACGTGCTGCCGCCGCCGTCGCCAACCGAGGAGGAGGAGGAGGACTCTTCTTCTACTTGTAGCAAGCAGCACTAGTACTGTTGATAATACTCTCATCGCTACCAGTCTTGCATTATTCTGGCGATGTTCAATCTACTGCATGCTCATAGTAACAATGTATTTTGACTTTAATCATAATAATTTTAGTTTTTACCCTTCGAATTTCAAATGTTTGTGTTTAGGCCTCCGGATCGAATGAGGAAAAGGCCCAAGTGTGCATGGTTGTCGTTTTCTCCCATTTGCTTTGACTTTGCTCTTGATATAGTTAGAATTAACATTCAACAAAATATAGCTATAAGAAAATACTACTAATAAGCTAAAAAGTACATATTCCAAAAATGAAATGGATTTTGACTTTAATGATAACAATTTTAGTTTTTATCCTTTCAATTTCAAACGTATGTATTTTGCCAAAGTCACATCTAAGGCAGGTACCATATCCGTCAATTTACTTAATTATAAAATAATATCATCAAATGCGTCATTAGGGCATAATCTTATTACATTTAAATTAAATATTTTTTGTTAATTAAGTAAACTGACAAAACTGATGACCAAAGTACAGACAGAGAGAGGCTCGGGCCATGGCCACGAATTAGAATGAAATTTACCCAAAATAAATAAACAAACCCAAGTCATCATAATAATCTTAAGGAAAATTAGGAATTATACATAATTAACTTTAGTAATTTGGATTTGAGATATTAGGTATTTTGGTTTGGGTTTTAATACCCATAAAAGAATATGTATTTTGGATTAGGCCAAAGAGGAGGCTCAGATTCGTTGGCCCACCTTATATTAATCACTGAAAAGACAATTATACCATTTTTATTAAAATATTTATTGGTCTCCCTTTTTTATCAGATTAGATCTCTCTCTCTCTCTCTCTCTCTCTCCGCAGCAACGACGACCACAACCTTCACTTGCGGCTGGGATGGAATTCTCAAGCTGCTCATCCCTTCGGCCTTCACCGGTAACTCCAAGGTCTTCTAAATAAAAATGTTTACCGTAGAAAAACTTTGGGCCCAAGTAAAATAGAACAGCTTCAATTACAAAAACTCCTTTTCCTTCTAGGATTGAGAAAGATTTACCCTTTTTCCTTATAGAATTGAGAAAGATTTAGGCTATAAATAATAGCCGGGCACCTTTTATTTTCTACCTTGAGTGAGTGAGCAAGCCAGTAGGAAATCAACTAGGTTTTGCTTCTGGGCAAACGTCAATTTCCATATTTGACGAAAGCTCTTGAGTTTCCAATAACAAAGAGAGAGTTTTGTTGGATTTGTGTTGTTTTCTTGAGATAGTTTGAATAGAGAATTATTGGTTCCTTAAGCCGCTCGGTGAAGGAAGTTTTGGGGTTGTATGGAAGGCTTTGCACAAGGTGACTGGTGAGATTGTTGCAATTAAGCAACTGAAGAATGAGGTATCGAGGTTGACTTCATGGGAGGAGTTTCTCCAAATGGCGGAAGTTGAGTCAGTTGAAGAACCACCCGAATATTGTCAATTTGAAACAAGCTATCATGGAAGTTGATGGCACGGCTTCCCTTGTCTTTGAATTCATGGAGGGCAACGTATCTCAATTTATGCTTACAGCATTATATTTCTTTATTTTTCAGTAGGTGTAATTTTATACATGTTATACATTGCAGTTTTGGAAACTACATTGCAGTTTTGGTAATTATAATTGGATTTTTGCTCTTTCCTTGGCCTTCAACCTCACCAATTTGAAGAATAGAGGCTACCCAGATGAGGAATTAGGTGGGCAAGAGAAGAGTAGAACTACCCAAGAGAAAGGGAACTCAAAATTGGACTTTTATAAACTGGAAATTGCATTGCAGTATTGGAAACTGCATTGCAGTTTTTATTTAATTACAATTTGATTTTTGTTCTTTCCTTCACCTTCAACCTAACCAATTTGAAGAGTAAAGGCTACCCAGATGATGAATTGGGTGGGCAAGAGAAGAGTAGAACTACCCAAGAGAAAGGGAACTCAAAATTGGACTTTTAAAAACTGGAAACTGCATTGCAGTTTTTATTTAATTACAATTTGATTTTTGTTCTTTCCTTTGCCTTCAACCTCACCAATTTGAAGAGTAAAGGCTACCCAGATGAGGAATTGGGTGGGCAAGAGAAGAGTAGAACTACCCAAGAGAAAGGGAACTCAAAATTGGACTTTTAGAAACTGAAAACTGCATTGCAGTATTGGAAACTATATTGCAGTTTTTATTTAATTACAATTTGATTTTTGTTCTTTCCTTCGCCTTCAACCTCACCAATTTGAAGAGTAAAGGTTACCCAGATGAGGAAAACCAAAACCAAAACCAAAACCAGAAACTGAGATGTAGAAAACTGCAGAAAACCAAAACCAGAAACTGAGATGCAGAAAACCAAAACCAGAAATTGAGATGAAGAATCGGCTTCGATCGTTGGTGGTCTTTGATGATGGTCGCGCGAATGGGTTGGTGGTCTTCGATGATCGTTGGTGGTCTGGAGGTTTCTGGAGGTGAAGTTGAAGAGGTTTCTGGATGTGAAGTTGAAAGGTCGCTCGAATGGGTTGTGATTCAATTTTGGTTTCGGTTGATGTCGTTTTGGTTCAGTTTTGGTTTAATGTCGTTTTTCAGCTTTGGTTTAAAACTAAATAATGAAAATGGCATATATTGTAATTTTCATATTTTGTAATGGTATTTTTGTTACATTTTGGTTTTTGGCCTTTTGCTAATTAGACTAAATTGTATTTCTTTCTACTAAATTAGTAAACTATATTATGGTTTAAAACTAAAGCTCCCGAGGTGTATAAGATTATTATGATGACTTGGGTTTGTTTATTTATTTTGGGTAAATTTCATTCTAATTCGTGGCCATGGCCCGAGCCTCTCTCTGTCTGTACTTTGGTCATCAGTTTTGTCAGTTTACTTAATTAACAAAAAAATATTTAATTTAAATGTAATAAGATTATGCCCTAATGACGCATTTGATGATATTATTTTATAATTAAGTAAATTGACGGATATGGTACCTGCCTTAGATGTGACTTTGGCAAAATACATACGTTTGAAATTGAAAGGATAAAAACTAAAATTGTTATCATTAAAGTCAAAATCCATTTCATTTTTGGAATATGTACTTTTTAGCTTATTAGTAGTATTTTCTTATAGCTATATTTTGTTGAATGTTAATTCTAACTATATCAAGAGCAAAGTCAAAGCAAATGGGAGAAAACGACAACCATGCACACTTGGGCCTTTTCCTCATTCGATCCGGAGGCCTAAACACAAACATTTGAAATTCGAAGGGTAAAAACTAAAATTATTATCATTAAAGTCAAAATACATTATAAATTGAATTATGAAGATAGTAGGTAGGTGCACCTATGACAACAAGTTGGAACTGGAAGGGATGCAAAATCTATAAATTGAATTCTCGAATGATGGATGATGTTCATACAAACTGAAATACAAGAGTATTTATAATGAAGAAAACCTACTCCTATGGGTCTCTATGCCAGGTGTTTTGCCTGTAGCTTCAGGGGATAGGATTTCTATTAAGAGTATTTATAATTAAGAGAACCTAATCCTACTAGGAGTAGGATTCCTACTAAGATTATTTATAATTAAGAAAACATAATCCTACTAGGAGTAGGATTCCTACTAAGACTACTAGTTAGAAATCCTAGTCCTATCCAGACTAAAAATTAAATTAAGCAACTACGATCCGTAGCATCTTGAACACATTTGAAACTATTTAAGCAACTACGATTACTCTCTTCTATGCAGATGCGATATTCCATATTTGAGAAAGATAAGAGGCAGGCAGATTACCCGACGAATGCCGTCATGAAAATTATTCAAATAATATCTTGAAACAGCACTCATCCCATCCTTCAGTATTCCTCCAAATGTTTGTTTTCCATATCTGCGATAATGTGGACTCAGTGTATGATACGAAGAGGATATACATAGTTACCATAATTCTTGAAAATTATAGTATAAGTTGAACGCACCTAACCAGGTCCCCTTTCAGGGCATAGGTCCCAGCATATTTGAGGCTTATCTCGTCACCTTCCTCAGCCCACACTAAAGCAACAGAGTTCAGTATAAGGCTAAAAGAATACCTACCGACATCGTCTGACTCATTATGGAATATGGGATATAAATAATAAGACTTCCATACATCATACATGCTCTAAATTTTTGATAATCTACAGCAAACCTAGAAATGCATTCAGAAGAATCAGGCACTCCAATCCTCTGCAACTGTGCATCTAGACAGGGCTGGGCTTGAGATTTTCGGGGCCCTGTGCGAAACTTATACCCAGACTCTCAGATAATCTAACACAAACTTGTGGCATACAACAATTTTATTTTTTAAGTAAAAAATCATCATCAATTAGCATGCAAATCACAAATCAAATTTATAAAAATTTTGACATTTCAATTTGAGAAACTTAAATACCAGTATGTTTAGTATAAAGACTAAGTTTTCCTTTCAGTGCTCGTTAACTATATAAAGACTTGTATATATTATAAGTTAGATATGTAAATACTTGTAAACAATCAGCATAATGAAACAAGTCATGTAGATTGAAATTTAGATATATATCTGAATTTAAATTGAGATTTCAATTTGACTATTTGATTTTGAGTGTTTTTTTTTTTTTTTTTTCCCTTTATGAATTTAGGAATTAGTGTTTTTGATTTTTGATATTGAAATCCTTGATATTGGAAAAAAATAAATTAAAGGATTGAAAATAAGAGCCAAAGTGATAGATTGGTGATGATTATTATTACTTAGAAAATATGAGTTTAAAAAGGAGGAGACATGAATTTTTATTTCTTTTATTGTTGCTGTTACAATAGAAAAAAAAACCAAAACAAAACCAAGGTAAAACTGCAATCATTGATGTACACAAGTGGGCCTCGACCCCGCGCCATAAGTAGAAGTTCTGGTGCACCAAACACAAGGCTTTCAGGTCATTCCGCGCCATGTATGAAGTACAGATCGAGCAACAAATAAGGGCCTTACAGATCGAGCAAGAAATAAGGGCCTTTGCTACTAAAGAAGCCAAGAACCAAAACAGAAAGAGAGCAGACCAAACCAATATGAGAGATTCACAGACAACTTTTCATTCCCACAAAATCAAATTTCCTTCACCCAACTTGAACCATTTATTTTTTCTATCCAAATAGATGGAGCTTAAGAATTACAAGGCTAAATCTAAATACACTGCCTACACTTAATCACTCTGGTACAAGTTTCAATATTACATCCCTGCTCAACTATGCCATCTACAGACACCAAAAATACTTGAACAATTCACTTTTTAAACACACTGGCAAGCTCACCCTTCTCTTGCATGGAGGTTAGAATATCACAACCCCCAAGCAGTTCTCCATTCACAAATATCTGTGGAAATGTAGGCCAGTTGCTATACTTCTTCAGAGTCTCCCTCAATCCAGAATTATACTCTTCATCAAGCACATCTACACTCTCATAATCCACCCCTTGGTTTTCAAGAATGCCAACAACCCTCTGCGAGAAACCACACAATGGGGCACTTCTTGAACCCTTGATAAAGGCCACGACCTTGTTCTCCTTCACCAACCGGTCAATGAGTTCCTCCAATGGCACTGTCAGCTGCACATGGCGACCGGGTGTTAGCCGGAGATCAGGCTTCTTCCTCGGTGGCTGTCGGACCCAGGTGGCATTGCCTGATTCATTACCTGGAGGGACCTTCCCAGTAGCTTTTATGTGTTCTTCCATCCATGATTTCCAAGCTTGCGTTAGGACAGCCCTATCTGGTTCATCTACTACCCCAACCTACAGAACAATATAATCACATTATTAGCAGAGTAATATCATAGAGTTCATTATTCATATACTAACTTCAACTTTGTAGTAATTGACAATCTTTCAAACAGAGTATGCCTTACCCAGACAAATAAATAATAACCTGGATTATGGCTTAATCTCATTATACTTAAATTCTAAAGGTGCATCATTTATTTCATCAATATAGGCATTGCTAGGCTGCTAGCACCTCCTTTTCATTAATTTCTTTTGGTATGCTATTGGGGTTAATTGACTTGAACTGTTCAGTTCACTATAAATTCAATTCAACCCTTGAATCAAACTTTTTTTTTTTTAATACATCTTTTAGAGTTGAAACAAAAATCAAACATGTAACCGAAGAAGAAGAAAAAAAAACCACAAAACAAACACAGATTTTGGGCACCAAAATGAACCTTTAGTAACAAATGAGTAGGACCAGAAAAACGTTCATACCTTGACGGAGTAGCATAGCTCCGGCAACGATTTCCGGTGAGTGAGAACACTTGCCGCTATGTTCCTCGATAAGCCAACGAACTGAAGCTCACCGTTCTGGTCAAAAACGGCGTAGACTCCGGTATCCGCCGGCAATTTTCCAGCGATTTCATCAGCCTCCGCGGGCACGGGGACCAGCTCGGTCTCGGAGAGGCTCTTAACAGCCGAAGTGACAACCAAAGCGCGAGGCTTGGCTGTGGTGTAGGGTTTGAGAGAAATGGAGGGAAAGGTGAGGGCTTTGGCTGGTAAATAGAATGAGAGGCTAGGGGTATTTTGGGAAGAATGAGAAGAGAATATGCGGAGAGAGGGCGTGTGAATTGGAGAGAGCTGGATGATTGTGGCCATTTTCAGATTGAGTCAGCGTGGAAGAGGTCGGGAAGATGCTTCTTGGTCAGAGCTATCAGATATATTGAAAACGAATGTTATTTCTGACCCGACCCGACAGTTTGCCCCCAAGATAGTAGGCTGGGTTTGAATATCCGGTCCAATGAAATTGGGCTATTGACCAAAAGGAATAGATTTAAGCATCGAGCCATGAGCAAGGTCACATTTATGGAAGTAGAGGATGAGATTAATTCCAATTTTGAAAAGAAGGTTTCATAGAAAATGTTCACTTGTAGCTTGTTGGTTTTGTGACACAATTAAAGGTCAATATGTTTTGAGTTCGAACGATATTCGAATCAGCGAAATTATGTCTCCAATAAAAATGATCCCTAACAAAAAATAGTTACTTCATTTATTGGGTTCGATTAGTATCCGAGAAAAGAAATTTCATGTCAATTATAATTCTTAGGAACAATTTTAGTTATGATCAATTTGAAATAAATGGCAAAAGAATGTTGCAGCAAAATTGTCTTGCAAAGGCCTAAGAAGGATATAATATACTCCCACTCCTCCTAGGTAGGTTGGGGGTCTATGCAAATGATTGACTTTTCAAGTTGATGCTGTTAAAAAAATGATAATTATTGAATAAATGCACAATCATTTGAAAGGTTTGGAGTAAAATTGCAGCTAACTTCAAATTCTAAAATGCTACGCAATCGCAATGATAGATGATATGAAAGGACCGTTGTCGCACACGAACATGATGTAATGTTAGGTTGGATCAATTTTCCAAGCAAACAGCATCATAACATCCACAACTTGTCCCCTCCCCAAAATTCAAGTAGATTTGCTTTAGACTTCTTCATCAGTCAAAATACTCAAAAAGGAAAGAAAAAAAAAATCATGTTCTTTGCATTTTTTTAAACCACAAACCCAATTGAATATCTTTTGGTATCTGTTTTTCCTTTTTTTGTTCTGTCAGGATCTTCAGGTTGGTCAATCAGTTTCAGAATGACCCAATTCAATTTCTATTTATTTGATTTGAAATTGCTTCGTCTAGGGGTTACCATGTCCATATCAACTGCATATATAAAAACATCTTCACAACCAGAAAACCATTTCTGCAAACCTCAACCATCTGGGCCTCTATAAGTTGAAGTGGCTTGGATTGAAAAGCAATGATGATGTACAAGAGCAGATATGTGGTTGCTGATATACTGCTGCAACAATCTATAAATCAGTACAATACTGCATACCTCAGCAGCATGCTCTCATCATTTCTATGAAAAAACCTTAACAACCTGAAAATGAAATATTTCAAAAAGAAACAACAAAAAGGCATTTGTTGTTTTCGCTGTTGAATATTTAGCAGCAGCAGAGTATAGAGACATGCAGTCTTTATACAGTTCAAGGTACGTAGTTTTCAGTCTTGTAGGAATTGAACCAACTTGAGTCTACATAATGGGGTCAACTGCAACGACGGAATCATGAATTTTTATAGGGGTGGTCATGATGTTTTTGATTGGTTTATTATAATAGAGACAGCATGGACTGGGCTAATACTGCACCAAGTTTCAAGGACATAGCGGGCAGGGGTGGGTTAATATTTGTTGGGGATGGGAATGGCTTATAAAATTTGCACCACGTTTTAGTATTTTACAAATCTTGCACTGGGCTGGAGGCTCCAGCCTGTACATAGTTCAACTGTCAACCATTTTGAACTGATACTTGCCTTCAACAGATACCAATTTTTCATAAGGGTCAGGGTTTTACTGCATATTATATTATATCTATCTATTTTGAAATGATGTCCTAGAAATAAGTCAAGTCATAAGAGAGAGAGAGAGAGAGAGAGAGAGTGATTTATTATCCTTTGTAGAAAAATTAATGAAGCTTTTCCCACCTAATAAAGATTCTTAAGTGTTTATGTATATGAAAGCAATGGCACAGTTGTTGGAAGATCATACAGCTTCCACTATATGCAGATGACACAAGGAACCCAGGATGTTAGCCTTGCAACTTTCCCCCCCACTAGCCTAACCTCCATCAAATACTTTTTAAAAATTAATTTCCCAACCCACCCAATACATGGCTTTAGCTTTACTCCTACTCAAAAACCCATTAAATATTTCTCAAAAAAATAAGAACCTCTCACTAAGTCCTCATCATTCTGTTGCACACCAATGCATATATCCTCCTTTTATCTTTCTTAACCCACAATCAAGCTTCTCCACTCTCCACTCTCCACTGCCATGAGCTTAGCACCTTCCACTTCAGGCACAATGAAGGCCTTTAGAGGAAAGTTACATTTCCCAATTATCATGCTCTGCACTATTGCCTTCATCAGTTTTCTTTACACTGAAAGAATTAGTATACTTCTTTCTTCAAACCCTTTTTTCAAGATGAAGTCCTGTTCTAAAAGAGGTTCTGTCATAAAAAATGGTAAGTCTCCTGCTGTACCTATTCTAATTATTGATTTTATTTTTTCCATGTTGAAATTTCCACCAATAATTCTTTCTAATTAATTTTGTATATATATATATCTAACAGATGATCATAGAAATGCTACAGAGGATAAGATAGACGGTTCTGTAGTAGATGACAGATTTGTGTTTGACCCAGAGGAGTGCAGTGTTGAGAATGGAAAGTGGGTGTTCAACCGTTCTATCAAGCCTCTTTACACAGACAGAAGCTGCCCATATCTTGACAGGCAAGTTTCTTGTCACAAGAATGGACGGCCGGATTCTGACTATCTTCACTGGGAATGGCAGATAGAAGACTGCACCTTGCCAAGGTTGACAAGTTACAATTCATGTCAAATCACATCTATACTTCTGCATGAAGTTCTGTTTACCTAACAATTATCTTTGACAACTTCATATGTAGATTTGATCCAGAAGTTACTCTTGAGAAACTTAGGGGCAAGAGGCTATTGTTTGTTGGGGATTCTTTGCAAAGAGGTCAATGGCAATCTTTGGTCTGCACGGTTGAATTCATCATACCTGAGGACCAAAAGTCCATTCGACGAGGGCGCGCTCATACAGTCTTCAAAGCCAAGGTATATATAGTTCTTAGCTTTCAATCCAAGAATTGAATGGCCATTCTTAATGTCTACGATTTCAAGCTAAGTAATGAAATGTTTCCATGTTCAGGAATATAATGCTAGTATTGAATTCTACTGGGCTCCATTTCTGGTTGAGTCGAATTCTGACCTCCATATAATAGGAAATCCGAAGGAAAGAATACTAAAAGTGGATTCAATTGCCAAGCATGCCAAACACTGGGAAGGAGTTGATATCCTTGTGTTCAATACTTATGTATGGTGGATGAGCGGCTATACCATCAAATCATAGTAAGTTTCTCAATCAACCAAAGAAACTTTTTGAAGTATTGGCATTTTTTTTTTGCCATTTAAGATTGATTGGCAAGCAATGTGTAATTTGAACACAGCTGGGGCTCATTTCCAAATGGGGAAGAAGGGTATGAAGAGCTAGAAGCACCAGCTGCCTACAGAATAGCATTGAAAACATGGGCCAACTGGGTTGACTCAAATGTCAATCCCAACAAAACTCGAGTCTTTTTCACTACCATGTCCCCTACACACATGAGGTCTCTCTCTCTCTCATCACAACACACAAACTTATATAGTAAAAAAAAAAAAAAAAAAAAAAAAAAAAAAAAAACCCAAAACCAAACAAGTCAAATTTGTAATTTGCAGAAGTGCAGACTGGGACAACCCAGAAGGGATGAGATGCTTCAATGAGACAAAGCCATTCTTGAAGAAGGGGTTCTGGGGAACTGGTTCAGACAAGAGGGTCATGCGCGTCGTGGCCGAAGTGTTGAAGAGAATGAAAGTTCCTGTTTCAGTCCTGAACGTAACCCAGATGTCAAATCACAGAGTTGATGCTCACACAAAAGTTTACACCGAGACCGGAGGCAGACTACTAACAGATGAGCAAAAAGCTGATGTGCTGCACAATTCAGATTGCATACATTGGTGTCTTCCAGGAGTTCCAGATACATGGAACCAAATATTTTTGGCACATTTGTAGCCATACATGTTTCATGTTTGTTAAGCAACAACGAGAGAGGTATCAATTAAAAGTACCACCACGCATAACTTCTTGCTGTTCAATATGAGTTCTTGTTTCATTTGTTTACATTGTATTTGAATTGAATTGAATTGTACAGCCAAGCTGCTGAAGCAACTTGTTAGTGTGGTCTTTGTTGTCAGCTCTGTTTTGGTAAACATAACAGCTACAATATAGCGATGTTTTAAATTCATCAAGAAAACATGCATCATATTTGTGAGCCTGGAGGACTTGGCAGAGCAAAAGGAACAGGTAAATAAGAGGTGTGTGCTTAGCATGAAATGTACTCGTTCAGCTTTCTGGTTGAATTTCCGTATGTTGTTTGTTGGCCAAGTAGAATGCCCTGCAAATCTTATTTCACAACAATAAACAGTGAAACCCAATGAGTTAATAACAGAAAGAAAAAAGAAGAACATCAAATGAGTGAATACATCAAAGGATCTCTTAAGTCGATAAAGAGCCCGTTTGAAAATGCTTCTCTAGAAAGCACTTTTGTTTGTAAGCCATTTTTATTAGAAGCATGTCGAAATTTTAAATAAAAATCCCAGTGTTTACAAAAAGTGTTTTTTTGAATAGTTACTTTTTCCAGAAAGCACTTCCACACGCTTCTCCCTAAACCCTAAACCCTTTTATAACATGGAAACACTTTCACCTTTTTATGTCAAACAATTTTGGTTATGTGAAAGTGTCTCTAGGAATTTTAATTGCACTTCCAAACATGCCCTAAGAACTTACATGCATACATGAATTACCGTCAACAATATGCCTACATCAACTTCCAAAAATGTCCTAAGGCTCCGTTTGGTTCATGAAAAATGAGACTTAGGAATGGGAAATCAATTACTTTCCCAAGTTTGGTAAGTCCAAGTATGGAGGAAATTGTTGTTTGGCCCATGGGAAAGTATGGGGGAAAGTGAAGTCATCCTCCCAACTTGAGTTTTGTTTTCCCTCCTCATGGGAATGTTTAGGGAAATGAACCAACATTAAATATACATTTTTCATGATCATTTTGTCCCCATTAACAATTTATAATTACAATATATCATTAAATGCATTCTTTTTTTATTTAATTTAATATGGGTATAATTGAAAATTTATACAAACTTTATTTTCCATTCCTACTCAAAACAAACATTGTAAATGAAATAAAGTGTTATCTCCCGATTACTTTCCTATCATTACCAAATGTTGGAAAGGAATCTTTCATTTCCTATCCCTTGGGAAATGACATGAGAAATGATTTCCCCTCAAATTCATTCTATGAACCAAACGGAGCCTAAGAACAATCGTACATGCATACCTGAATTCCCGTCAACAGTATATCTATGTGAACATCGCCGTGAGACCGGCATCCATCTTTCGGTCTCTAGAGTATCAGTCCAGCCCAAGCCTGTGGGCCTTAAATCCAGCCCAAGCATGTGGGCCCTACATTCAGGCCCAATGTTGTGAGCCGTACAACCCAGCTGAAAGCCCGACTAGAAGATTGTTCTTTACTGTATCCCTATATTTGGAGGCTCAACGATATTTTCTGATCACCAACGCTGTTCAGGTAAAAATTCCAACAATTAGGGTTCTCTCAGTCTCTTATCATCTTTGGGATTTAAATCTCACTCATTATCTTTAAAGATCAAAGCTGAGGTTTGCGGTTAGGGTTTAGTCAAATATCGCGCCTCTTTTCTGTGAACCTGTTAATTTTCTCTCTCTGAATTTATTTTTTGGGTCCGATTTTTCTCTCACTGATTAGGCAACGACAATATACAACCATGGCGGGAGGTGCGAATTTCATGAACAGAGTTGTCTCCTACCTCGTCAATGAGGTTCTGGTTAATAGCCTTGCCAACAGGTACCTCTCGATCCTATAATCCTATTTGATTACCTTTTGATTTGTTGAAAGCTTCTTTCTCTGGCCACACGGACATCACTCTGTTCCCGATTGGCTCGTTCCCTTGAAGCAAAATTATCTCAAAGCTTCAGTCTTGTTTCAGCTGTGGCGCGAAAATTTTATGCGCTATGGAAATTTAGATGCTTGAGGAAATTTTTCCCCGCAAAAGAACATTTTTTTATGGTTGTATTATGATTTTCTATGATCTTGTATATGTGATTTGTTCCATTTTGTCGCTGCTAATGAGTATTGAGCTAGTGAATAAAGCTTCTTAATAAGCCATTAAATTCCTGATTGGTATGCTCCCAGAAGCGAAACAAATTCAAAACCTCTAATTTGGAGCGTTGAGAATATTTTGCCACAGTTCTGGGTGTTGTTTTAGTTTAAGATTCTATATTTTACTGTTCTTTTCTTGTTGTTTTACTTTCTGGTTTGATGCATTCTATGTGGGCATGCTATTTACAATACTGGTGATGCATACTGGTTTGAATCCTGAAGCATTCTAAGTAAAGCTTTTTTTTTGTGGCCTTGAGGAATATTCGCTACCACAATGGATTGCTTATTCGTTGTGAAATTTTTGTTAAACTCTCTCTCAATGACCGTAGTTATGTGAGATAAATTTCTTTCTTTTTTTGCATGTATGTGTGCCCCCTTGTAACAGAAGTGTTGTTACTTAGACCTGTAATCAGTCCTGCTCAGCACCAGATTTACTCCTGCATCGTCACTCTGTTTATAGTGTTATGCTTATGATGACTCTGTGTAGGATTGTAATGATTGTGGAGATGACTGCACAAACTAAGAAACCAAAGATATTGGGCCTTTTGCTTTCTTGAAAATTATGTTCTGCATTCTTTGAGCTATGCTTGTAATGGAACTGATCTCTTACATGAAATTTGTCTGGTCTTTTCAGCCGTGCATTCCAGAGGTTTGCTGTGAGGACGTCAAAGAGGATTGAAGATATTTCAAGCATTGGTAATGTTGCGGTGTATTGTTCAATAATATTAGTTGGTCACTCTACTACACATTTGAGTATATTGTTGTGATATTATTATACAATGATTTTGCTTATGCAGCTGCCAAGAAGAAGGAACAACTTGCTGAACAGATGAAGGATTTATCTAGAAACATGGATGTACGTTTTCTTTCTTGTAAAATTTGCTTCCTTTGAACATTTGAGAATATATATATATATATATATGTGATATTTGTTTCTAATGCCTTGTACTTTTTTTCCCCCGGCTGCAGTCTTTCAAAGACCGTTGATACTTGGGTGGTGGTTGTGGGCCTGTTATTGCAGCATCTGTATATGGTGAAATGGAATGCTTTTTCTTTCTCCGCCAGCGTAAAGAAGTTTTGTGTTTCGTAGATGTGCTTTTGAATGCACGTAGCATGTTGTTAGTTTCCAACTTGTTTAAACTCTGGTGATTCTTAACCTTTTACAATATTGTAATCAGCAGCTGAGTTAGTAGCTAATTAGACCCCTTTTATGTTGTGCATGGTGAACTCAAACATCTATTTCCAAAATTCTTCGCATATTGACGTGAGAGTAGGCCATTCTTGTATTCTTGGTGACTTTCAAAACTCATCCTGTGCCTTAGTCCACATTTTTCTATGTAGTTAATGCAAGATAGCCAATGATATATTACAACGAATCGAATGAAACATATCAAAATTTAATACAAATTAGAAATAAAATTATAATTAAATATTGCAGTAAACTAATAGAAACATGTAAAATGGCAGAAAGAATTAATTGGATTGATTCGGCTGTTTTGGATCGGTTTGCATTTTCACGGTTTTGTAACCCAGCAAGAGGAAAAAACGCAAAAAAAAACAAAAACAAAAATTTAAGGAAGAAGAAGAAAGCCCATCAATTTGTTAACATGCCCGCAAGCCCACTATCACTGTTACAGACATAAACCTCCAAACGCTATTGCAAATCAAATTTGACAAGAAAAGAAAGAAAACTTTGCAAGGGGTTTTAGCATTCTTCACCAGAAAAGGGAAAAGGGTTTAGCTTTCTCCACACCGCTACGATCCATGGCGACCATCATTTCCAGGACCGTAAATCATCTTCGTTACGTCAACCGCTCTCTGGTCCGATCCAGGTTGTGGATTTCGTCACCACCGCTCGCTGAGTCTCTTCAAATCGGCATCTTCCACTCCTTCAACAGGTTCGTCTTCTTCAATCGTATATCATCTCTGGTACTCTTTTCTGTTCTTTCTCCATTTGGCTCTAGAGAATAGAATTAGTAAAGTTTCAAAATTTCCTCTCCTTTATTCCCGTTTTGCTTCTCAAATCGAAATAGCTGGAGCTTATTTCATTTTCTGTTGTTTCATCTGCTTGGACCGCAGTCGCTGGCGATTTATCAAAGATGTCTTCTTTCAACCACAACCAATACTGCAGCAAATGAAGGAAACGCAGAATCAAAAACTTCAGAAAATGCAAATTCTGATAATTCTGGCGATGGGAACAAGTCTGGGGAATCACACGAAAGTAATAATGCTGGCAAATCTGTTCGAGGAGGGGTAATCGTATAGCGCATGTTCTTAGTTATTCAAATGTGAAAATGTAATTGAAATATTGATTTTTGAGGTTGTCTTTTGCAGCCGGTTTCGTGGTTGAGTTTTCTGCTGCTGGTAGCAACTGGAGCTGGAATTGTACTCTATTACGACAAGGAAAAGAGACAACATATAGAAGGTAGACTACTATGGTGAGTTGGATGTATGTGAGTCTTGCATGTTGGAGTTGAAGTCCATGAGTCTGCAACTTTGTCAGTGTCTATTTTTAATCTTGCCCCATGCTCTGTTTGATGTGTCATGTGTATCAATATGCTGCCAATGCTGATTTTGAGGTTAAATTTGTAGCCTTTTGCTCTGTTAATTAACTCCTCTCATTCTGTCTAAGGATGCTTTCAGCTTTGACTCACAAGATGCTGCTTGTGTGCGTAAAGGGTTACATACTCTGTTCACCCAAGGATTAACTCCTCTCATTATTTTGCTGCAGAAATATTTAAAGCATCCAAGGAAGTAAAACAAGGACCATCTGTGGGAAAGGCTGCCATTGGGGGTCCATTCAATCTTATCAACCATGACGGGAAGCGAGTAACTGAAAAAGATTTTTTGGGGAAGTGGACATTGCTATACTTTGGTTTCACTCACTGCCCTGATATCTGCCCAGATGAGTTACAGAAGTTAGCTGCTGCAGTTGATAAAATAAGTGAGTAGGATCTGCCTTCTCATTCTTTCTTTTCCCGAAGTTGGTTTTACCATTTTCTGATAGTGCAGATCAGACCATTTTCTGATCTTTTACTTTATTATTTGTATTCTCAAGCATGCAATTCCTTATATCATTGATTGTGTCTGCAGAGGAAAAAGGAGGGATTGAGATTGTACCCTTGTTCATATCTGTTGATCCTGAAAGAGACACCGTTGAGCAAGTCCGTGAATATGTCAAAGGTGCTTGTCAAGATTTTAGTGTGCTACCCTAGATCTCATTGTAATAGATAAAAATTACATGATGTAAGTTCATACCTGATATCTTTTCTCAACTGTCTCAGAGTTTCATCCGAAGCTGATCGGGTTAACTGGTAGCTCGGATGAAATACGGAGTGTGGCTCGTGCATATCGAGTATATTACATGAAGACCCTAGAAGAAGACTCAGATTATCTTGTCGACCATTCCATAGTCATGTATGTATCAACATTTTCCAAAATGTTCTTTTACCATATTGATTCCTTCTTTCGTATTCATAAAAGCAGCTTACTTATGTGAGCATGTGCTAGTGTGAAATATCCCTGCTATATGAACTGAACTGTCCCTTAACCAATCTTTAAATTTGTTAAGTGCGTTCTGAATTCTTACTGATCGATAGCGTTTCGTAGAACAAATATGCTATACATATTGAAATGGTCTTCTACTTTTCTTGTGTGTGGTCGTTTGTTCATTTTGTTGTTAATATGAGTCTTTTCTCTGTTGGTCTCGTGATGCTTGTTGAATTCCATTTCTGTGCAGGTACTTAATGAGTCCCAAAATGGAATTTGTTAAATTTTTTGGGAAGAACAATGATGTTGATTCACTTGCTGAAGGTATAACGAAAGAGATCAAGCAGTACAAGAAGAAATAGAGGAATAGTTTTCCCTTTCATTCCTAGTGAATAACATTTGTACGGTTTCTTTTGAATTTAAGAGAATGTGATGAGCAGCTACTTATATTTGAGAAATTAATTTCAATCCAAGACATTTTCATGGAGTGACAATTTTCAGGAAATTTGTCTGAATTTCAAATTTCGTTGTATTTTTCTCGGAGAGAGAGAGAGGGAGAGAGAGAGAGAGAGAATTTTCAGGAAACTTGTCTGAATTTCAAATTTCGTTTTTGTTGTATTTTTCACAGAGAGGAGAGGAATGTTTGTTTATAGGAGTCTTGAATGAGCATCATATTGTGATATCTCTCTGGCACAAAACTAACTGCGACAATACAATATTCAATATTCATGTTACAGCGAAGTTAATTATTAAACCCTAGTAATTAACTTCAGTAGTACAAAAACCACTTCTTATTTCACTTAGGATCGAGTGGCATTTCTTCTTTCTTGTCTGTATTTCTCGAGTCCAACTAACTCTAGCTGAATCTGAAATGACGCACTTCGTAACCTCGACTTTGGGCATGTACATGTCCACCTCATTCTTAGAACCCCCAACCATTGCCTCATGCTTGCATATGGCTTCTGGCACTTCCCTGGAATGTATGGCATATCCTTTAAACAAGAATCGCCAGCCAGTAGTACCTCTTATCAGATTACTCTTCAAGTATGGCTTAAAGTTGCACATGCCTTTCGACATCACCTCTCAACTTCTTTAGGAATCATGGCCTTTCCGAGATAAACTTGTTGCATCTCTTCTCTCCAGATCTGCAAGCAGTTTGGTATATTTCTTAGTTAGTTCTTTCAGTATTCTCCAAGGGTTGTTCATTTACAACAGCCAAAGAAATTGAAAGCTACTAGATGCTCATTGGCAGTTGCACCCCTATGTTAGGGATTATATGCATAATAATAAGATGATATAAAATGAGGTATTCAATTGTAGCGTGGTGGTGTGTGTGTGTGTCTGGGAGAGAGTGAGAGAGATGAAGCATAACCAAGCCATGCATGGAAGAAATCACAGAGAGAACAGAAAAAGTTCCCCACCGTTTCACGAAATTCCACCCGGATATGAGGCACGTTTGTTTTGTGGATGTCATTTCCATCTGGCCCTCTCTTATAGTACTCTCTGCCAATCCAGTGTGACTGAACCAGAAAATTTGAAGACTCAAGTTCAACACTATCAACCAAAACTACTCATACGTCATTTCAGAGAAATAAGCTCATCAAGAATAATGACTCATAACATTACAAACCAAGTGCATGTGTGGGAAATCAATTGCACATTCAAATCTGGTATGTAGCTAGATGCAGTGACTAGATTATGTAATGCAATAACATAGTAACGTACCTTAAGTGCGTGTGAAAAACCAGATTGGTAGACAGAATTACGGGCAATTTCACATAGGTCACATGAACTCAATTTCCATACCTGTAAAGGAAGAACTTCTCAGTAACTGGGCCTTTACATACCACTAGCTAGAGAGAGAGAGAGAGAGAGAGAGAGAGAGAGAGAGAGAGCTCACAGAAGCAGCTATACTATATTCTTCCACCAAAGGTTCTTTTGTTAAGTGGATTTGGAGAGGATCATCAGTAGAAAGAGAAACATTAAGACCTCGTAAGAAAAACATAGGAAAAGGGTTCCGATGGTAGTCCAAAAACAGAGAATTGTTGCTCAGGGGTGACATAGCCAAGCCAATCTGGTAAGATAAACAAGCGACTGTAGAGAGTCAGAAATTGCATAAGGCAAAGTCATTTATCCTATAAATAAGAATCCTTTCTCCTAACCTGGGCTAAATAATACAGATATTGAAGCACAGGAGATTTTCTCAAATTGATTCCATGTGCAATATTATTTGCGGTAAGAAAGGTTGCAGCAAGGTGGTCAATGTCACCAGCCTGAAAATTATTGAGCATATGACTTCACATTATGCAATACTTGTATTCAAAGAGAGAATAAATCTTTAATATATATACCTCCCCAGAATGCGGACGAAATTTGATTGTTGTCATGCCTTTTGATTCACGAAGCTATAAATAAAAATCCAACAGCTCAGCATTTGATGACAATATATGGCATAAACAGATATTACGTATCGCAATTAGGAGAACTACAGAAAACTAAAAGCGAACACCAAACATTTTAAATAATAGGAATAATTTTACTATTTCTTAAACTTGTAAAGATTCTGGTATTTTTATGAGATCTAGGCCCTGGTATGCAAATGAGACTTACAACAATGAAAAAAGAAAAAGAACTAAACCCATTTGACTTTTATGATTATAAACAAGGAAAATGCGTAAACAATCACAAGGGACAAGATGGATACGATAGAAGCTATACTACCCTAATCACAAAGCTGTTCTTCAGATAGTATGGGGAATAGATCCAGAACATCGTAAAGCGTAAAATTGTTTTTGACAGCATACCTTGTTTAATGTGTAGAGATTAGCATAACAGTAGTACACGTAGTATGAAAATGCAGGATTGAATACATTGGTCCATTGTGCTGGTGTTGGCATGTGTTTTGTGGGGCGTCTTTCAGGTTTGCTTTCGTCATCCACCAAATCTAACCCCACAACCTGGAAATTCAAGCATGTTTAAGTTAAGCATCAAAGCAAGAACTTCTTCAAACCTATACATATATGGAAATTCTCTTCTTCAACGAGGAGAATACTTAAATGTAAACCCAGTAATGGTAGCTTGACTTACATATTAATCAGACCAACGTTTATAACATATGGGGAAAAAGTATAAGAGAAGAAGAATTTTTTAGGGTCCTTTTGAGATTCTAAACATGTAAACTAACCTAATTAACCTACATAAACAGAAAAAATATTGAAGATTTTGCAGACAGGGTGACAAACCTGTTTCAGGAAAACATGCAGTTGTGGATGAGAATCTGGATCTATGGTAACCTCAAATAGTGGAATAAAGATATTGTCAAGAATGTTCTGAAATGATGTTACTATTCCCATTTCCTTGTATATATTGTACAGTCGTGGCAACTGAAAGAAGGAAGAAAATTACAAGTAAAAACCAACACATGAGTAACATTCAAGATTTTTATCTAATACAAGTGCTTGTGGAATAGTACCATACAATTCCACTAATCTTATGAACATTACAGAGAAGAACAATTCTTTTTTTTTACCTGAATCAACCAAACAACATTCTCACTGTATAATTCATTGTTCACTATCCAACTAGCCATTTGGTCCCACTCACTTTGTTTCCTACCATATATTGATACTCTGTACTCAGCCATCTGCAGCAGAAAAATGGAGCATCAAGCGAGGCTGATCTATCTAAACATGCAGAAACACAACAAAGACACGCAATGAACATTCACACATGACAAGGCAAGTATAGCTCAGAAAGTGATTAAGAAGACAAACAGAGACCAGATCATGTATAAAAACCTATCTGCAAACAGAAGAGCAAGGAAGCACCTGATATTTACTGGCAGACAGATCAGAAAACACTTGCTTGGTCAGCTCAGCAAGGAAACGACCTATTCAATAAGAGATTATCTAAGACCACAATTTATATATTGATCGCTGATTAAAAAATTAAGCATCGTGATAAATTCTTTAAAATGGATAGAAACGACATCTCAAAGCCATTGCTTAAGAATCTAGTTCTTCACTATAACACAGTAACTTTTAATAATTGAGCAAACAAAAAACAATACCTTGAATAAGATTATCCTGCTTAAGGAAAATCTCACGAAGCCTACTTTGACCACAGGGGTTGTACTTGAGATTAAACTTATCAAAACGATGAAATGTGCTCTTGTCTGCATGAACATCCAAAAGGTCAACATTTAGGTCGTACCTGTTGAAACAAATGTGAGAGATTATTTCCTGCTGCTTAAAATAAATATTTTTAATACATGAACAAGAATTGATAACAATAAGATATTCGAATACGTATATTTTTTTTAAAATAAAAAATGGCAGAATAAAATACCCAGTCAAATCCAAACTCTCAAAAACCTCTTTCAAGGTCAAATAGGTTCCATCTCGAAATATCACAACCTGAATAGAAGTACACAGAACTCGAGAATAAGTGAATATCATGCAATAGTCATAACTATTATTATAATAAACCTCTTTTCAACAGTTAAGTGACTATTTGCATAGCCCCTTAGGAAACTATCAAGTTTGGAATGATTATGCACAGTTGATAGAAATAAAGGGAAGAAAAATGAGAGAACCACTTAACAAAATAGCAGCATAAAACTTTTAAATTACCTCATCAGGCTCTTTCCTCAACTTTGATTTTATAAACCTCAAAAGATGTTTCTGGTTCATGCATGCCGAATGATGAACATGTGTATCAACTTTTCTGACATTATAAAAGTCACGATGCGGAGCACTTTTCTGAGCCAGAAATTCCCTATCCGCATTAAGCATTAAATGAAGATTGAATTTCTGAATGACAGACAAATAAACACATTGTCAAAGAACTATTACTGCTCCCACGTAGAAAAGAGCATCAGCAGGCATCTCAATGACTAATAATTATCAACAAAGGTCTGTTTACTTGTTCCAGAAGATTCAGTCGATGATGGCATAAAGTTCTGATATTCCCTGCTGCTATAACTCGAAGTATGTGATGTAGGTCAGTGAAGAAGGTTGTTGCATCGGCAACAGGAAAAAGCTCTTCTCTTGCTGCAAAAGAGGGGGAGGGGGTAAATGTGCATTAAGATCTCTACAGAGGAACAAATGTCCCTCAACTATGACAAACAAGAAAGATACACAGCAACAGCCTCTTACAATCTTTATTAGGATACACATGAACAACCCCATCTTGCATTTCAAAATAATGCTGCAGAACAAAGGAGAAGTGTGTTAATTGGACCCCCAAAAAAAAACTACTTTTCTGAGTTAGAGCTTAGAAATTAGAATACTAATTTGGAAAGTACAAACTCACATCAGACTTCCCCTCAGAAGTATAAAAAAATGGTGCTGGGTTAGGCTTTGGGGTACTGGGGTCAGATATAATTTCTTTCTCCCACGGAGCAACTGTCTCGCTGAATACATATCTTTTTCGCAATTCAAGGCATTCTTGAAGAACCACATAGACCTCCACTTCATCGGTAGATGGCACTTCTGGAAAAGTTATAGATGAAAACAGAACCAAGTAGATGTCATTCCCACTCTCCAGTTTCAAAATTACAATTTAACATCACGTACTTAAACTAGTTGAAACACAATCAGTAACTCGTCAAAAACCAAATAATAAGAAGCAAGAATATGGTGAACAGGGGAAGTTAGTAAAGGAACATTGTTTGGGCTTCCACCATGAATATTTACACATACAGAATATACATGCTTCTTTGACCTGATATCAAAAGTTTAATGGAATCAATTATCTTGTTAAAACCACTGCTATCTTTAATATTACCCACTCAGGTTATGCAGTTTTTTGTCAATGTTTCCCAAGAGTTGAAAATGTGCTCCTTGTTCTTAATGTTTCCTAGAACTTCTTATTTGTTACAATTTGTATTAGTATCTTTTTAGTTGGCAGCAACAAGTAATGTTCAATGATATACAGCAAGTCCATACAAAACCCTTCAAATAACACATCTTCTTAAAATATGCATGAAATTGTAACATCTAATAAATCATAAATAAAAAGGAAACAACCACAGAAGTGTACTTCTGGGTGAAGAGAAAGAGCTCATACCAGTAGGAGTAATTTTAAGTTTAGCAAAAGTCTCTTGTTCTGGCTCTTTCCTTAAAATATCAGCTGCAATTGGATCAGGCTGAACACCATGCAGATCACCAGATACACTATGGGACCGAATCATACTTGAAGGAGCTATAGGAATTTGCTCTCCATTGGCATTAACATGGTTCGGTAAATTCTCAAAAAGGATTTTACCATCTGGCCCCTGAAAGAGATGTCCAAATCCAATTCCAGATATCCGTAAGAATTTTTCAAGAATAACGAAGCAAACTCAGTTTCCCTGAAGAATAAACTTCAGGTGCACACATTCACTGGAATGTGCAATAATAATGTGAGGCCAAGGACAATGTGCAAGAACATCATGTTACTTTAAAGAAAGTGAGATTATGGAGGTTTGCACCTCCCTCTCTCTCTCACTCTGACACACACATGCTGCACAGGTGCTGAATAAACTCACCACAGTGCCTAGTTTAGCATTGTCAGTCATATTATCTTCATCATCTGATCCTTCTACACTCTCAAAGGCACTGGCACTTGCAACTGGAGACTTGGGAGAAGTTGGTCGTATAAGATTACCAGTTCTCTTAGCTGAACTCGCAAGCTCAGTAGATTTCCCTGAAAAAGAAGAAGTCTGTACTTTAACAGCAAAGGAAACTGGCATCTATCACACTGTTGCTTTGATATAAAAAATTTGGTAATGACAGAGAGGGTAAAAAGGAAACTTCGTGAAACACTGCGCATTTGCACAATTCATATTATATCCAAGCCTAATAACAACATCAAGCACAAAGAAAATATACATTGTGAAAGAAAATCTTTCATCATTATTTGCATTAATTTCACTCTTTACCACCATGTTCCAGCCCACTTAAGGTGTCAAGAGGAAATGGAAAATCCATTTGCCAGTTTGCATGTGGATAACATGACAACATAGAAAACTTGTCGCATCCGATTTGTGTCCTGTATATTTTAGTATCTTTTCCATGTTCGACATTTACAGATGAGCTCCCGCGGAGTATCTTATTTGTTCCATTTGTTTGTTACTCTTTTCATGCCCATTTGAGTCATTTTAGGAATCAAAGTAGCCACCAAAACTCTATGAATACAGCATACCTTACTTTCAACAAGTAAGTTCTAATTCCATTTTGGTTTATTCTTTGGTTAGGCTAAAAAATAAATGAAAGTAAATGAGTGTCATGCTTACTGCTTCTCATCATACAGAGATGCCATATAAGGTAATATCTATAAGTATTTCAATTAGTGCAGACTTATATTATAAAATACCAACACACTGTAGTTTAGAAGGAGCTATTGAGGCATTGATAATCCTAAAGAAAACCATATGTCCAAATGACGAAGCCAATCCAAAAACTACGCGGCACGACTATATGTATCAAATCAAAATTATGAAATTAAAGCGAAAATTGATTATTCTGGTGACAAATCCAGCCGAGCCGTACCTTCCGGAAGCGTGTGCAGCCTCGGCAACCCGGCAGGAATACCATCAACCGGAAGCAAGCCGTTGCGCCTATGATCGTCACCGTCAATCCCGCCGGAGATCGCCGTCACGTCCGGCAACGACGCCGAGCTCCGCCGGTAATAGCCGCTGCCCTTGCGACGCGCGTGGCTTCTACGCTTTTTCATGTGCTGCGGTGAGTCACCGCCATCGGAGTTGTCCTCTCTCTCCCTCTCCACCGTCTTCGCAAACTCAAGAAGCTGATTAGGGTTTTGCGGTGCATATAGTAGGCCGACACAGCCACCAGCGAAGCTCCAACCAGAGCCGCCATGGCCAAATGTATCGCATACGACTCCATTTCTCTCGCCTTCCGTATTCTCAGAAGACTATCAACGTTAGGAAAATGGTGGTTCCGATTTCAGAGAGAGAAACAAAACCCTACTGAAGAGCTCAGCAGAGAGAGTCTACAGATATAGTGCTCTCTGTTGTTAATCGGGACAAGCGAGACTTGCTTCAGTATTTATAGGGAGAACGAGCGAAGAGCTGAGACTCTGAGGACATATTCTCTCTGTTTTTCTCTATTTTTATTATTTATTAATTTCTCTGCGGTGATAGTCTAGTAAAAAAATTAAAATTAAAATTAAAAATTAAAAATTACGAAAATGATAAGTGAGTGCTGGCTGCTTTTTATCGCCGCTTTTGCAGATTAAATTTTAATAATTATTTTGGTAATTATTTGTTTTGTTTTATGTGTTATTTTTGGATTGATTAATTAATTAATTAATTAATTGACATGGAGGTGTGGGCCATGGGTCCAGCCAATGTGGATTTGGATAGGAAGAGGAGCATTTCGTGTACATAGCAGTGTGGATAGTTGAGTCACTTTCATTATCCACGCACATGCCACATATGCTAAGGGATTTCTGGGCACATGTTAAAGGAGGAAGCAAAAGCTTAAGCCTTTTTTACCCAAAAAAAACAAAAAGCTTGAGCCTTAAACCCTATGTGTTCCATTTTAAACAAATTAATTGTTGCGTGTGAAACCCGCTAAAAACAATATAGAATTATTAACTACTTTTTTTGTCAAAATATTAGTTTTTTTTTTAATACAAGCGATGGTATAAACTACAGAAATGGGGATTTCTCACACGTACACAACTAAAATGTCTTAGGAGTTTGATGTTAAAATACGAAAGAGTGCTGCTAAACGAATCCTAAAATTAACTCAGTACACCCTAATATTTTAATCAAAATGTCAAATTAACTAAGTACAACTTATAGAACTACCAAAAATATCCCTAATATACCATAAACCCTCGACATTGATAATAGCTAAGTCAAAAGCACCCTTCTAAAAGTTGTCCAAGGCTAGCTTCATCTGCTCCAAGCGATTCTGACTCGCATATCACAAATATGGGCACCAAGTAATCTCTTGATTAGGGTTGAATATTGTTAGGATGGTGTACTTATTAAAATTATATTTGTTTCACAATTCCATATATCTTTTTTGGTCATTTTATATTAGAGTAAATCAATAATTCAATATATACTTTTGTAGTATTTTTAGGGTTCGTTTAGCAGCACTCAATACGAAAACTTAATCATTTCTTTGGTTTCTAGTTTCCATCTTGAATACGGAAAATGAAAATTGGAAAATATACCAAATAGAAAATGAATAAATATATGGGATTTCGTATACGAAAATAAAACTTCTATAGTCAATATTACGAGGCATAGAGCTAGCTAGCAATTAATCTCATAAAGATATTTTCTTCTCACTATTAATAATTTTCCTATTTTTTATTTAAAACCCTAACTATGTTCATTATTTTTCTAGTGCAAATCTGAGCAATAACGGAAACAACGAAAAACTGCACAACAATATAGGAAGATACAAGTACAACATGTATAAACGCTTGATTATTCTTTAATTCGGTATCATAAGTTTCCCTTTTCACATAATTTCTATTGTGTATTAATGAAACCATGATGGACTGAATTAGTGGAAGATAATCGTTTTGCTTCCTTTTTTCTCTTTTCAATTAGGAAAAGTGCATGATGAATATTTTGAAGTGTCAATAATAAGAGTCATAATAATTAACGAGATTCTAATTGCCGATCAAATTAAATGTTTCTATGACCCTTGTAGAACATTTTAATAGGGCACTTCTAATTAGTTTTTATTTTCTAATGTGTAATTGAATTTGATACAATACTAAAAGCTTATATATTCCTCTATATAATATATTTTGTTAATTTCGACCATAATGCTTAATCCTTTTCTGTTTGGTAGTAGAAAGAAACACCCCACGTTCACAAATGGTGCATGGCAATAATTATCTGGAATAACTAACCTTTAATGGCCCTTCTTGGAGCGATGAGTCATTGATGTGATCGTATTAGGCGATTAACACTATTTACAGTCATTCTCTCAATCTTGTTGAAAGCTAAGCAAATTCAGCAAATCGAAGGAAATAAAAAACTATTAAGAAATCATCATCGGTCATGTATTCATATGTTCATCCAAGTCGCACTTTCTTGCAAAACCATTAAGCTTATGACACAAAGCAAATTATATATATGTGGCAAACCTTAAACGTAATTAATCAGCATAATGAGTTCTAGTTGTGGCTTAACATATTTTTCCATGGCAACTAGTTAAGAGACTACATCTAACTAAAAGAAATGTATTGTCAATGGATGATTTCACAATCGTTGATGCACACGTGTTCAAGTACGAAAATAATGTATAACTCCAAGAAATGTTAACATCAATTTTTTATATATAACAGTTGTATGGTTGCAATCACGTTAATTTTACCTAAATACAAGAACATCTAGGCTTAATTTCCAAATTTTTTATGCACATATGGCAAGTTATAAGGAAAGGTTAACTACAATAAATGCTAATGTTGTTGGTTTCACAATCGTGCAATACTCATATTGCTTGGGTTTTAGTTGATGAAAAAGAACGACATGTTTGTAAAACTTCAATCAAAACACTTAAAAAGGGCATGTTGGTGTACTGCAGGAGGGTTTTGAGTTTTCCTTTACAAGAACGTATGCTATAATCACGTGCTCAGAGATTGACATAGAATTTCAAAGAGTAATGCTACACTTATCACATTTTTATCCCACAATTCTATACCACATGATGTGGCACGTCCATATTATATGCCACATCAATTAAATCAATGAAGTATATTTTAATTAAGGCAATTACAAAAACAAATACGGGAATAAATCATAAAAGAAAAGAAAATATTAAATAATTTTAATTGATGTGGCTGTTCACCTCAGCTGCCACATAAGATGGTATAAAGAAGTGGTATACAAATGTAGTAAGAGTAGCATTATTCAATTTCAAAATATGGCTGATAAAATTTACCTTATGTGAAAAGATTACGCTTGAATAAGTGTTATGAGTAGACTTGAGTGGGCTGTATTTGTCTATGTACGTACTCAGCACACATAAAATAATATACTTATTGAGTCATTATGACCCATTAAATGATACAATTGACTCTTAAATAGTGCTACACCACTTAATGAGCTAAAGGTACCAATGAATAGATCACCATGACCCAACAAATATTATATTTTTATGTATTATAGTAGCCGGACCTAGAAATATGATAATGTACCTTTAATTTGGCTAAAGAGCTAGTGCATGCCATCAAGGCTTGTCGCGACAAAACATCGCTTGTTGACAGTTTGACATACCTGTGACCCTCCCTATCCCATCAATTTCGACCCAAACAAATAAAAACAAGCCCATCACTTATGCAGTACATGGTAATTACTAATTAACCGTTAACGCATGGACCACAATTTTGTATAAGTTGGTATGACAAATGACAAAAGGGATCGATACCTTTCTTTTTCGTTCCAAGATCATTTGAAGGAAACAAGATCTCAGTAACTCGACCACACATCTGGTGACACGTCATTGGGTAAGGTAGAAAATCACTATGGAACTTGAAAATCATGACCAATCAAACAACTTGCTAGTTTATTTTGCTATTTTACGTCATAAATATGAACGATGATTGAACGTGTTACTCAATGGATAAAGATGAATTTTTGAGGAGTCAACAAGTATGGTATTTCCAAGTTTTTGTATTGAATACGAGTTTGAATTGTTATCAATCCTCAAAATTTGCAATCTCTTGCTTATTATTGTACAATTAACGGATGTGTCTTCCACTTTGAAAGTAGGTTTGGAATTTCCTAAACCTTTTGATGTTGTTTAACCATAAAAGTACCATTTACAAAGGTGAAAAGCATATATAAGTATAGATCTAATGGACACGTTAAGAATAATTTCAGCTAGCTAGTGTAAAAGTGATTGGAAAATAATTAAAGAAATAACTTTTGCTGTTGTTTTTAGTCACCAATATGTATTATATTTATTGCGTACTGATGTTGAAGGACACGTACCTTTAAATAATTTTCACTCTCTTTCGCCTAGTGCCCTAGTGGGCTGGGCGCAGACTAAACAGTGTTGAATGTTGATGGTAACAAATACTAAATACCAAGCATATAGCCTCAGACCACACAAAAACCTAAAAAGCATCTAGCCGAAAAAGAGAAACATAACAACTTGGGGAATGATCTCTGTTTTTTTTATTGGGTTACATGATTTTTCGCTTTTTATTATCAGAAATTAATTAAAATTATGATGAACCGAGAGTTCGATGCTCGTAACCAAAAGATAATTTAGATGTATATGCAGTAAGATATTATGTCATTGCATCTTATGCTGGTTTGATTCCATGAAACAATGGCGAGCATGAATGATTACGCAAAGGATTGGTGGGTTTGTTTGTTGGCAAATAGTGTTAGCATAAGGTCCTTTTAGTTGGGAAAATTCCCATAATATTCCTCTTTTTGGGGCTCTGGCTTGTGATATTCCAAACTGGTATCAGATTATTATAATTAGGCAGGAGGTCCTGTGTGTTGGGTGGAATTGGAATCACATTCCCTTGAAGCACATAGGGAGGTTGTTAAAGAATATATAGGGGAATGGGAGAGAATTTCTGAAGGATAACTATTGCTAAGTGGATTTTGGACTGAGGATCAAGCATCTTCCTTTATGCTGCCAAGTTTTCTAAATTAGAAAGGTACCTTTTTTGGACTGATCGGTGAAGTCTTATTCACAGGGGACTTTGAATTTTTATGACCCAAAAACTGAGATTGGGATAGAGAGATGGTAGCATAAGGACCGGATTATTCTTTTGAGGTGAGTCATATGCTATGAGGACAACAATTATGCCCTAAATAATACTAGTGCGACAAAATTTTGAAAAGTCCTTTGATACGAATATTTGTTTGTCTTATTAGTGTAGGGGTAAATACCTCCATATACACTTGCTTTATTAGTTAGAGGAATTGGCATATTGGTTTGTGTTGAGTGATATTCCTATAACTAGTGTGTATGCGTTTAATGAGATTCTTTGTCTTTTGTGAAGGAAGATTCGAACTTAGGACCTCTTTCAACATTGAAAAGAGAAGTATCACTAAACCAAGAATTAGTTAATAAAACTATTTAAGTTAATTGATGCACGTAAGAGTGACAACCATTATTCGTATTCTTATTTCATCATATAGAATAAATTTGTGCATGTCCACTCATGATTTTGCCTCCTTGGGACCATACTGGAGCCAAAGGGTTTTGAGAGCTAAAAATTATATGAACAAGAGAACCACTAGGATTATTACTTGACCTAGTAGGAGAAATCTTTGTAAGAATCCCCAACAGTAGACTTTGTTTTTTTTTTTTTTTTTGGGGTCAATGTAGACAAGCATTGCTTGTACAATAATGTAATCATTCTGTATCCATCTATCCTTTTTCTTGATTCATTGTTAACGTAGAATCCAAAAATCCTTTTCAATAAAGATGCCAAATCCCAAAAAGTTAGTGGACTACGAGCAACTTTTTGGGTCAGAATTCCCGGACCACTTTTTTCGTCTGTTGTAAAGAAAGACATCCATACCGGCCCTTTTTTGGGCGTAACATGTGCGTGGGCTGGAGTTAGTAAGTGCTTACTCTTTATGGCCCATAGCTAACAAACTGATCCTTCATGGGTCATTTACCTCAAATATTATCTCTCTTCCTTTTTTCTAAGCGATAGTCAAAATCACTCAAAATTAATCTAATTTATAATGATGGGAACTAAAACTTGAGTGCAAAAAGGCGAATTGACTGCCATGGTCAATTGGCTTAACCCACGTATGTGAATTAGTACACTTAAATGTAGGCATTCCTTCTCTCCAATACATAATTCTCTATCCCCCTTCCTTTTCCAATAAAGTGTTTTCTTACAATTGCAAGTATCTTCCCCACTTTCAATAATGTAACTTTTAATTGTCTTTCTCTATGCTAGGTATGTCGACAACAATTATTGTAAGTTAATTACAAGATTTAACTTTAATATAAAGCATGAAACAGACTGGAATTCAAAGCTTCCCTCAGCTACTGACCTTGATATAGCAACTATAAACCAGGTGAATTAATTATGAAATTACTCATCTAAAATTCCACCAAAAATAAAAGAAATTTCCTTTAGCTTCGATCACTTCGACGCGACAGACCGCATCATTTGTACTATGTCCGAGGATTTATTAATCAACCTGGTCCCAACAAAAGCCAGTAAGGTACTAAAGTATAACCACCAACCTCACGTCGCCACGTAATCAAGCGCAGCTTAAACTGCGTATGCCAAAGCACACCGTATCTGCGCTCTTTTCTCCCCTTCGTCAAACATTTATCACAGGTAGTGTTATCGGCTACTCCGCGCAATTGCTCTTGCTCTTCCTCTTCTCTCCTGCTTGACCAGTAAGCTCTTTACAGCTTCAATGGCGTCCGTACTGAATACGGTGTCGTCCATTAGATTATCGAAACTCAACGCCAGCCGAGTTCGAACTCAGTCCAATTTGGCGCCGATTTCTGTTTCGTTTACCAGTGAGTTCACTCGTCTGTCAAAATCCAGCAAACAATGTTTGGAACACTTTCAAGCTGCCTATTCAATTATTTCATATTTTACTTCCATTTCCTTTTTTATTTTCTTAGCAATCTAATGACTAGTGAGATTTACTGATTGAGCTTCGTCTTATCTGTTTTTCTTTACACTGAAACGAGTTTGTAAACTTTTCAGGAAGAAGGCTTACGGTTAGGGCTGCGGAGACCGATACAAACGAAGGTATATTATCATATTGAGCTTCTGCATTTCTTTTTTCTCGAGAATTTTGATAGAGTGGAAGTGGATTATGGTGAGAGCTTTTGGGGATTTATGGTTGCTATTTTTGTTTCTTTAGCTGTTGAACCTCAGGTACCCGATAAGGCACCGGCTAAGAATGGTTCGAGCTTCAATCAGCTTCTTGGTATTAAAGGAGCTTCTCAAGAAACTGTAAGTCGTCAAATGTTGGCTCATTATATAAGTTTTAGTACCTTTTCTCTGTGCTCGGAATTTAGTTTCTTCAGATGATGCTAGAAGCTTAAGTTTATAATATACTTAACACGATTAAGGCGGATAATCGGAGTTTCAGATTTTTAGTTGAAATGCATCTTCTAGTAGATTTTAAGTTGATAGAGTTATAGTTGCAAGAATAGATGACACAAGATTTGAATATTTGCTTTGAACTGTACAGAATAAATGGAAGATTCGTCTTCAGTTGACAAAGCCTGTAACTTGGCCTCCCCTGGTATGGGGAGTAGTTTGCGGAGCTGCTGCTTCTGGTACGCTCCTTGTATATACCGAACCATCTGTAGTTTCATAGTTTCTAGTTGCCCTATACTGTTGGTTTCATGATTGGAAATTGTCTATGGAGCTAATGAAGTCCCCTACAACTTACAATGCACATCAATATTCCTGTTTCCCATCTCCTCCCAATTTGCAATTTCAAGGGCTTACTTTGGAAGTTCCTGCAGTAGTACTGCCATCTTATCGGGGATGTGCTGTTCTCCATTAATACTTTCTTCCTTTTTAATACTGCTACTAAATTTCATGATTTGTCTCTGGCTTGGTCCGTTAAGCCTATAATGTTATACTAACCACACATTTAATGTTTATTGCTGATTTAAAGATTACACGCCACTGCCAGAATATTTTCCTTTTGTAATGAATTTGGTTAGGATGTCAACTTGGAGATCCATTAAGAATAAAGAACTGCCACTTTACATTAATTTATTGATGTTATGAATTTGGTTAGTATATGGACTTGAAGATTCATTTAGGATGTATTACTGCCAGTGCCAGTGATGAGTAATTTATTGATTTGAGACAACAGCACGGTGTGGGAGTGGTCAGAAGTTTTTGACAGGTCATCTGATATTAGTGGAATTCATTATACTTCTTGAAATATTTAATGTTTGCAATTCTAGTAATATTTGCTACACTTCTTCTCTGTCCATAAATTACTTTTGAGGCAATTCTTTCATGTTGCAGGAAATTTTCATTGGACTTTTGAGGATGTTGCCAAATCAATAGTTTGCATGTGTATGTCTGGCCCTTTTCTCACTGGCTATACCCAGGTATGCTTTACTTGGAATGCGAAGTTTGGTTTTGCTTTTGATCTAATGAGGTCTTTATATTCCAATAACTCCCTGGCCTTTTTTTAGACACTAAATGATTGGTATGACCGAGAAATTGATGCAATTAATGAACCATATCGTCCAATTCCCTCGGGGGCAATATCTGAGAATGAGGTAAGGGTGTACTTAACTGTGTTTTGTATAAAAAAGAATGGATGACAACTACATTTTTAATCCTGTTCTTTTGTTGTTAAATTTTCCCTCAGGTCATTACTCAAATCTGGGTGCTGCTTTTAGGAGGCCTTAGCTGTGCTGGTGTATTAGATGTGTGGGTAAGTAATTGAAATGGACTGGCTTTTTCTTACCAATGTAAATATTTAGATCAATGTCAATCATGAATTTCTGTCCTTTTTAGGCAGGACATAAGTTCCCCATAGTTTTCTACCTTGCTTTGGGTGGATCCTTTCTATCATACATTTACTCCGCTCCACCTTTAAAGGTAAGTTTCCCCCACTATCAACAAATCAAATATTCCAGAAGAAACATTGCTTAACCCCTGACTAAGCTTCATGAGTTGTTGCAGCTGAAACAAAATGGATGGATTGGAAATTTTGCCCTTGGAGCAAGTTATATCAGTTTGCCATGGTGCGATATCCTCTACATGATCTATTTTTTGTGAATTTTCGAAAATTGAATGATTCATATAAGGGTTCAGAGCTCGCGATTTGATTTAGGAATCCTTTAGTAATTAAGATTGACGTGATTGTTTATGGTACCTAGATTTTCTTGAAATTTAAAGAAGTTTTATCTGGTATGCTACATGCAGCCAAGAACTGCATTGAATTGAATAATCATCATCCCTGCTCATTCGTTGAATTGGATACCTCTTAGGAATCTTGTTATAATGTAGCTCCCATTAATTAAGAACCGTCACCAATATATTCTTGTAGTTTGGTTGACTGCTAGAAGCTGTTTTAGATTCACTGTGTTGGGTAACGTATTTTGGTTCAATCTTTTATTGATAGGTGGGCTGGTCAGGCATTATTTGGGACCCTTACACCTGACATAATTGTCCTCACACTCTTGTACAGCATAGCTGGGGTATGTTTCTGAAAGAAGTTCAAGTATCTTAACATGTGTTTACAAAAGATGATCTAACTGGCAGTGCATATTTTTCTGCCACGTTTCAGTTGGGAATTGCTATTGTAAATGACTTCAAAAGTGTTGAAGGAGATAGAGCAATGGGACTTCAGGTCGTTTATTTTCTGTTTTACAATATTGTAAACAATCTTAGATGCATACTTTGTAACATTATTGTTGCCATGCTGTTTGCAGTCACTCCCTGTAGCTTTCGGTTCGGAAACTGCCAAATGGATTTGCGTTGGCGCCATTGACATCACTCAGTTATCAATCGCTGGTATGTTGTGTTCATTATGCAGAGCAATTTAGGTAAAAGATATTGTAATTGTTGAAGCTGGTTTTTGTGATCATCGGACGTGCGGGTTATGTTGTTATGGTTGCAGGTTATCTGCTAGGGGCTGGTAAACCATATTATGCTTTAGCTCTCGTTGCTTTGATAGCTCCCCAAGTCTTTTTTCAGGTAAATCACTTTTAAAAGATTGTTATTCTTTCTAAATCAGTTTTCCTTTTATTACCACAGAGAGATAGGTAGCTGTATATGTTATGCTCTTGCATTTAGATTGCGAAAATTTCGGCATTGCTTATGCTAAATTTTTTGCTCTGCAGTTCAAGTACTTTCTCAAAGACCCTGTCAAGTATGATGTTAAATATCAGGTATTGCTTCAAACCCTACTTAACATAATCTAATTTTGCACCATCAAAGAATCAGATATTCAAATATGCTCTATTTACATTCCAGGCCAGCGCGCAGCCGTTTCTAGTGCTTGGTCTTTTGGTAACAGCATTAGCGGTGAGTCATTGATATTTTGAACGCATGGCGCTTGGGCACGCGATGAAATAAAAGAGAGATATAGAGTGGCAATCACACAAATCACCGAATGCAGTACTTTGCCAGTCGTGTAAAACAGCTACTGCTAAAGTATGTCTCCGTCACTTATTGTACCAAAGTTTTGCTGATTGATTGAGAAACAATTTACTGGGAAGTTGCTGTTGTAAATATGCTTCTTTTAGCAGTGTCATCTTTAGGTGAATGGTGGATCAGTAAATTCATTCGGTTAAAGCAACAATCTGTTATTTATGCTCTTGAAAGGAATTTGACTGTTTGTTACAATTTTGACTTAATGTTACGTGCCTCGCTTGAACATAAGAACTAGATTGTTGAACTTAAGCTATGAGATTGTAGTTGGACCTTTCGAAACCCTAGCAATTAGGATTATTATAGCAATCTGAACCCTAGTAATTAGAAGTACCATTGAGACCTGGTCAGTGATACAGTGAGACAGTTAAAGAAGAGAGAGAATTCCAAGCCCAACTTTAGATACAAAAGAAAACACAATGGTCACACACATAGGCCCCTTCTTAGTTCAGACTATATTGACAACATACTTGGGCAACAAGTAAGAAAACTCCAACCAACTAGGAAATACAAAGACAGTAGAAACCATCCTACAATTCTAGTTAGAACAAAAACACTAGAAGCAAAAAAAAAAGCCAAAGTGAGAGGCCTTGAGCTTGGAAAGTCAATAATGATCATATCAGCGGCTCTTGGTTTTGTACTTGGACTCATCAATGGGGATGCCTTCCTCAGCAGCACGCTCTCCTCCAGACTTGTCCTTGGTGCTGAGCCCTCCTTTTTTCCCCATCTCACGGTACCCTTCCTGGCCTATCTGCTCCTTCCTAGTCTCGCCGCCACGCTGGCCCAACTCCTGGTACCCTTCATGACCCACCTGCTCCCTCCGTGTCTGCCCTCCGCGGCTCCGCCCTTCACCACCACAAAAATACAGAATTAGACAGGTTAATAATGTGGAATTACACTAAACCCGAGAAACAATTACACAAAACAAAAGCCATGGAAAGATTGGTTTTAGTTTACCTTCAGCAAGGTGCTCTTGAGCCTCGAGGCTCTTGCCACCAGTTCCACCAGGTACAACAACCTCTCCCTGCCTTGCCTTCTCGTCTAGTTCTTTTCTTTTGCTTAGGTCACTTCTTTCCTGCTCTGATGCCATCTCCTATGAACTTCGTCTTTCTCACAAACTCTGAACTTACTATATATTGGAAGTTGAAATGAAATCTCTGCTAATATAATATGCGAAGTTGAATTGGAGGGAAATGGGGTGTTTATATAGAGGGAGGCTTGGAAAGTGAGTGAGGAGGCTGAGAGAAGGAGGAGGTGACACGTAAGAGCTATTGAACTATGCTGTGATGACACACAGGTGCTTTCGCCAGTGAAGATGCAGTGAGAAGGACGCGAGTCCATAGCTTCATGGTCATCACTAATTCTCTGTCTTGTTTCTTTCCTTTTCTGTTATTTTCTTGTCCCAGCTCATACTCAGGCTCCAGTGCAACCGCACGGTTGCCAAGAGATTCGAGATGATCCTTTCTTTTAGGATGGCTCTGAGATGAACTTTAAGATCAGTGTAACTTTCCATTTATAATTAGACTTGAATGGGCTTTTAGACTAGTAACTAAGGAAAGTTAAGATCAGTGTAATTTTATATTTTAATTATATAGGAAAACCCTAATTTATATGCTCACTTGTGTTTTTTTATGGGGTCAAATAAACTAAGAAGTCTGCAACATTGTATCCCTCTAATCTAAGTTGTGAAACGACTACATGATACAACAATTACTCTGCATTTTTTTGGTTTGTTTTAACCGTTTTGTGGAAAGACCGACAGACTCACGCCGCGTGGAGATATATGAGGAATTTTATGTACTTCCCGAGTACTAGGTTTTGTTTTCCATTGATGAGGAACAAAACAATAAGAAACAACTACTTAACAAAGACCGATTGGCTATACTCACAAACCACTTTTTTTCTATCAAAATCACCAAAATTAATGAAACCAAAATTTCTTACAAGAATCCACGGAACTCTGCAACTGCCTAACCAAAGGAAAGCTCGTGATCTTGATTATACTATATGATTCTGATACCCACTACATCTTGTATCACAATCTATGTAGGACCCCAACAAATAAAGAGAGAGAGCGTACACTGAATGATGATATTTTATCAAGAAGGATCCTTACTATGTAAATAGGAGTTCTTACATTCTTGCCAATAGCAGTGTGACATGCGTACAAAAACAACTTTTCTTTTTGTGCTTTTGATAAATTATTTTTGCATATGTCTCAAATTGTGAGGAAGATAAGGCCCCGTTCGGTTACGTTTTAAGGGGTTGTTTTCATTTTCAGAGAACAAAAATGAGACAAAAACACATTCGGTGGACCAAAAACACTAAGAAAGTTTTCATAAAATGAAAACAAGTTCATGTGTACTTGTAGACAGAAAAAGTGATTTTCATTTGATATTTAAGTGTTGTAAGTTCTTTATGAGAAACTAATTTAAAAGTCTTACTAGTGACATAGATGAACCTAGCCCAGATCAACACGAGCAATTGTTGGACGATGATTTAGAACCAGAGGACGATTATCCAGATCCATATGATGATGAGTCAGATCCAGTTGATGGATGGTTTGACGATGATCAAAGAGTCAACCATGAACTCTCAAGGTTAGCATTGATTTAAAACACAAGGTTAGAATCTCTATCACCATCTTTGTATAGCTTTCTATAATAACCCAGGAACCTTGCTCGAGCCACACAAAAATGGATTTGTAATGTAAGACTTTCAAAGGTAGTGGAAGTGCACCTAAAGACCCAACCCAATAGTCTTCGTACAAGATGAGATTAGAGTTGACTTATTGATACCGAGACTGAATAATCTTGTACGAAGACTATTGGGTTGGGTCTTTAGGCGCACTTCCACTACCTTTGAAAGTCTTACATTACAAATCCATTTTTGTGTGGCTTGAGCAAGGTTCCTAGGTTATTATAGAAAGCTATACAAAGATGGTGATAGAGATTCTAACCTTACGTTTTAAATCAATGCTAACCTTGAGAGTTCATGGTCGACTCTTTGATCATCGTCAAACCATCCATCAACTGGATCTGGCTCATCATCATATGGATCTGGATAATCGTCCTCTGGTTCTAAATCATCGTCCAACAATTGCTCGTGTTGATCTGGGCTAGGTTCATCTATGTCACTGGTAAGGCTTTTAAATTAGTTTTTCTCATAAAGAACTTACAACACTTAAATATCAAATGAATAGTTTGCTGACCAGCGCTTTCCCAAATAGATTCCCTCAACGGTCATTTCCTTTAGTGGTCGGTGAATACAATTGTGGAGGCAAGCCTGAGTTCCATCTGGAAGTTTCTCTGACCATTCTCTGACCATTTTGAATAGAACGTAGAACCGGCCAGTGATGTCCCCATCAAAAGCAATCACCTTCAGCTCATACTTGAGCTGATGGTAATTCAGCAGCAAATGGCGATCTACATCACCAATTAAGTCACCAGCTTGCCCGCTCATGAGATAGACTGGAATTAAAGCCGCATGGTCTTGATCTGCCTGTAAGGTCCTGGGTGAGAGAAAAGAAGACATTAAAAGGTTACTGTCATCTATGAGAAAAAAGTAATCATTTCATAGTACAATCGTTCTACAGCTAAGTTCAGGCAGGCTGCATGTGTGTAGTTGGTGCTGAAGAAGCAAGCCACAGTCACAAAATTAAGGAATCAAGTTTTAATTAGCATCAAGACAGTTACAAGTTCGTTATACCAAAACCTATCAGAAATAACCAGCTGAAGCATAAATATGCTTGAAGAATACAGACCAAATATTTTATTCGAACTAATTTCATAATGTGCATTTTGTAGTGATTTCTGAAAATTTGCATCATCCAGAAACAATTCAAGAAAACTGAAAGGGTACACTAGAGAGTCCTATATTGATCTTGAAAGTTCCTCGTAAGTTTCTTGAAATTGAGAAAGAAGTAATCATTTCATCGTACAATCGTTCTACAGCTAAGTTCAGGCAGGCTGCATGTGTATAGTTGGTGCTGAAAGAAGCAAGTCACAGTCACAAATTAAGGAATCAGATTTTAATTGGCATTAAGACAGTTCCAAGTGGTTATACCAGAAAACCAGCAGAAGCATAAACACGCTTGAATAATACATACCAAATATTTTATTCGAACTAATTTCATAATGTGCATTGTGTAGTGATTTGTGAAAAATTGCATCATCCAGAAACAATTCAAGAAAACTGAGCTCACTAAAAAGGTACACTAGAGTCCTATTAATCCTGAAAGTTCCTCATAAGTTTCTTGAAATTGCGTTACATATAATAATATGTCTCATATATTATCTAATGGGAAACAATTCTGGTAATGCTCAGAAAACTGTTTGATAGGGTTGCTAGGTAGAATCCTATAGAAAAGTTAAGATTTTTTGATACCCTGTAATGTTAGTTTATAATTACAAAAGAAAATCAAAGAAGAAGAAAACTGAGCTCACACTAAAACTTTTAAGAGTTTTTGATACCCCAAATATTTTATTCGAATTGTTTGATTGGGTTGCTAGGTAGAATCCTATAGACGTATAAGGCCATAAAACTATTATCTCATCTTTAAGGAAAAGTTAAGAGCTTTTGATTTCCTAGGGGCATGAAGGAAAATTACCTTGGTGCGAAAAAATTGATCGACGTTGGAAAACCAATCCCATCACCCACCAGAGCATGCGCACCACCGTAAGAAACTGGCCCCATATACCACACCTGAATCACTCATTGTTAATAGCTCCTTCTGATAACCTATGAAATCAACAAAAGAAAATCAAAGAAGAAGAAAATCAAAACCCATATCTTGAAGCAGGAGTACTTCAGAAAATAAAAAATAAAAAACTATTTCTTGATTGAACCAATCTCATAAAAAAATATTTCTTACAAGAACCCTAATAATCCATGGAACTCTGCAATTAGGGAAACCAGGGGAAAGCTCCAAATCTTGATTTACTATATGATTGAGATACCGGTACATTTCTATCACAATCTATGTAGGACCAACACAGAGAGAGAGAGAGAGAGAGAGAGAGAGGAGAGAGAGAGAGAGAGAGAGAGTACCGTACAGTGATTGTTTATGGAAATTGAAGAATGAGGAGGGTTTTGCCTTGCCAGGGAAACGAAGGCAAACAAATTTCGAAATTCTGAATCAAATCGAGGTGAAATATTCGCACTAGTAAAATGATGAGCTCCAATTGGGAGAGAAGTTCTCTATTATAAGAGCACCTCCAGCGCATGGACCAGCCTGGGGGAAAGGCTGCCAGAGGGAGCCCGAGGCAGCTCAAGCGCAGGGCCCGTAGCCTGGTTTGGTGGTGGGTCCCACGAGCCCGAGCAAGCCCAAGGGCAACTTCTGCTTGGGCTGAAGCCCGAGTTTTGTGACGTCAGCGCTAGCATCACGCTGACGTCAGCGCACAGTAAAACAGTTTTTTTTTTTTTTTTGCCAAAAAAATTCAAAAAAAATTCGAAAAAATTCTGAAAAATTCTGAATTTTTTTTTTAAATACCAAAAAATTATGTATTTTTTCCCTATAAATACCTAACCATTTTATTCACTTTCTACACCAAATCTTCATAAAAACTCATCTCCTTCCAATATTTTTCACTTTCCACATCAAAATCTTGGAAAAAAAAAAAAAAAAAAAAAAAAAAAAAAAAAAAAATTTTTATTCAATTTAATGTCTTTTTTTATATATATATTTCTTGCATTTCCAATTTCTTTTTTTTTAATAGATTAGTCAAGGCAAAACCAAAAATGTTATTCGAAAAATTTTATCCAAAAATTTTATTTGAAAATTTTATTTGAAAAATGTTATCTTAAATTTTAAATGAAAATTTTATAATAAATAGTGACACGTGACAACCGAAAATATAATCTAAAAAGCTTATCAAAATTAATAGTTTAAAGTATAAACAAATAGGAAATAAAGTACAATGAATAGTAATTGCCTTAGACTTGCCCTAGACTTTGCCCTCATGGGTGGAACCACAAATGCAAAGGCTGACACTATTCACGTGAATAGTGGCAGCTCTTGCTTGCCCTTGCCTTAGACTTAGCCCTTGTGGGTGGAGATGCTCTAACAGTCAAATGGCCTTATTAGGTTGCTAAGGGCCCAGATATAATCCTATAGTTTGGGCCTTAGGCCCACCAAATTTCCAAAATTGATCTCTGTCTCTCTTTTTTCGTTTATTATTTTGTCAGAGTGTTGTGGACGCATGTGATCTGGGAGTTTGTGATTGGAAAGAAATAATTTGATTGTGTTGTGACTTTCTTGCAGAATCACTACACTATGTTTCATGGGATTGTACATCGATCGGAAAAAATAAAAATTGGTTTTAACTCGAGAAAAACTTTAGTAATTAGGATATGATAAATTGACTACGTTACTTTTGAATTAGCTCAATTTGTTTTATATTGTTGTTTGTCAATGAGGCCCATGTACCATAGGCATGTTTAATATGAGCGTTACATTTACATTTTTGTCCTTCTTAAATCTTTTTTATTTAATTTACGCAAATGATCATTTTCTCTTATCAATCTTGATAATAACTATTATTAAAAAATAATTGTTCACTAATTAAAGTTATAAAAATAATTGTTCAATAATTATCTATGTTCGTGGTTGTTTTTTCTTTTTCTCTTATTTTCTTCGTAAATTATGTTTCTTGTAGTATTGTTTGAAATAAAGAGTGCATGCTTCGTTCTTCATTGGTAGTCTGAGAGAAGTGAAATAAAGACATTTGAGATAGAAAACTACAGAGATAGCCATCGCCATCTTATAAAGATAACAGCATCAGCTAGGTTCCCTGGAAACATGGATAGATCCCAGGTGTCCTAAACATTGAAGTGAATAGCTTACACTCCATAACGCCATACCAATGACATCCCATTTTTTATTTTGCAAGTAAAAACTCCTTTGAAGAATACCAGGTCCATGAAGACATCTGACTATGACTGACCACTGCCCTTGCAATTTATATGATCCAGTCTGGAAAATCTTTTTGATCAGCCCAGTTGTTTTTTCCTAACATCAAAACTGGATCGATATTTTCACCTATCCTAAATTCTAAATGAAGAAATCAGAGAAAAAGTAGAAAAGATGACACAATATTAACGAGGTTCAACAACTTTGCCCAACTACGTCCCCTGTGGAATTTGAGACTATTATTGATCATGAGAACAACTCACACATAGGCAATAAGTCGTTCCGATCCTGTTGTTCCTGCAAATTAGTCGTACACAATTTTAGCATCCCTTTGCTCAAGATGTGATGTTCCTCCTCACCATTTGCTCATGCATAAAACTGATATTGGATTTGATTTCAAGGTAGAATTTAGATTCAAGAGCAAGGATGGGATGTGCTATTAAGTATCATGTGGAGATCTAGAATACAAAAGCAGAGAAAACTTAGCACTGAAGCTCCACCCCAACTTTACATACACAAAAACAAAAGGATTACACCATCATCCCTACTACAACTTTATTTTACACACACACGTAGTAGCCAGAAACACCAAAAACCAAAGTCATGGTCAAGTCAACGAGGCCCTAGAAAGCCTGGAAGCTGGAGCTCTTCAAAGTCACTCATTAGAACGACCGTTAGTTTTGTACTTGGACTCGTCAAGTGGGATTCCTTTCTCCGCAGCACGCTCTCCTCCGGACTTGTCAGTTGTGCTCAGTCCACCCTTCTTCCCCATCTCATGGTACCCCTCATCCCCTATCTCATTCTTCCTTGTCTGCCCTCCACGGCTCCTTCCTATCGATCATATACACATATATATATCATCACATATTAATTGATCACTTAAGAGAGAGAGACACAAAAGAGAGAGAGATTATATGTATTAAACCTTCAGCAAGGTGCTCCTGAGCCTCAAGGCTCTTGCCACCAGTTCCACCAGGGATGACCACCTCTCCCTTCCTTGCCTTCTCGTCCAGCTCCCTTCTTTTCTGTGGATCCATTTTTTCTGATGCCATCTCTTTTCAACAAAAAACTCTTCTTCCTTCTCACAAACTGTACAAACTCGAAGTACGTCAAGTTCAACTGAAATCTCTTTTTCTTTATGGTGAGTTGGAAATGGAGGGAAATGGGGTGTTTATATATTAGGTGATGGTGGAGGCAAGGAGGAGGAGGAGGTGACACGTAATGAGGTAAACGCGGCTGATGGGGATCTCTAGAGCCATGCTGTGTCGACACGCAGTTGTTTTCAGTATGTGAAAATTGTGTTTGACATGCAGTAAGAATGACACGAGTCCATTGCTTTATGGTGACTCACTGAATCATCAATGTATGAGGAGGAAACCAAATATGGACAATGTCTACCTTAAATTGGTACCAAATAATGTTTTCTCTAATGGCATGATCAATGTGGTGAAGTTCGTTGGACACAAGTTTATTTGACTTCGTATAATGATAATGATGATTTTAATGAATAAAATATTAAGTCATATGGTAAATCAAAATGTTTAAATTCAATAATTTCTTTATATCATATAAACAACTGAATTGAACATGTATGCGACACGAGAGTTGGTAATGATTCTTAATCACTTGAGCTACAAATCGAGTCAGTCTCTCAACATAACCTTTCATTATAGAAGCTCCTGAGTCGTACGGTACCACATCTAAAGTCTGAAACTTTAGTGGACCATATAAGTGGGCCTCAAATGGCCTTGAGACAATTGAAACCATCATGTTTCTCATTGAGGGACTGGCCAACAATTATAGCCCAAGTTTGAAGGGGCATTTTGTGCTTAAAAAGCCCGCTTGTGTGGAACCTACCACCAAAGCCGGCGGCCCATCAGATCCAAAACACGAGGCCACCTGAATTTGCTGCGACAAATCCCGAGTCACGGCGTCTCCAACTAAAGATTCTCATTTCATCGTCACAATTTGTTGTTTGTTTAAGCATAAAACACATGCTTATGACAGCAAAACAAAACGCACCGTACTTACCACTAATTAATTACCCCTTATGGCTGCTTAATTCTTTATTAACGAACAAAGTAGAAGAAGGCAGTCACCTCCACAACGAATGAGAAAGGAGAAGACGAGAACAGAAGAGAGAGACGAATTTCTCTTCTTCCTCTTCTTCTTCTCAACAAAACCCTGTTTTCATTTCCCACAGAGAGATTCAGTGTCACAAAACCATGAAAGAAAACCAAAATGAAAGCCCCAATTCGACGGCGAGTCCAACCAAGAGGCCCATCCCGCCGTACGTCAAGGCCTTGTCCGGTTCGCTCGGGGGGATCGTGGAGGCTACGTGTCTGCAGCCCATCGACGTCATCAAGACCCGGCTCCAGCTGGACCGGACCGGCGCCTACAAGGGAATTATCCACTGCGGCGCCACGGTTTCGCGCACCGAAGGTGTTCGCGCTCTCTGGAAGGGCTTGACCCCCTTTGCCACTCACCTGACCTTGAAGTATGCGCTTCGGATGGGCTCCAATGCGGTGCTTCAGGGCGCGTTCAAGGACGCTGAGACTGGGAAGGTCAGCAATCACGGGCGGCTCATTTCTGGGTTTGGAGCTGGAGTTCTTGAAGCTCTTGTTATCGTTACGCCTTTTGAGGTTAGTGCATTTGTTTTCAAGTTTTCAATTGCAAAAGTTTTTTTTTTTTGGGGAATTCTATGGTTATTTGAATGTGGGCTGGATTTGTGTCGTGGGTTTCAGTTGATAATTCTAGAAAAGCTTAAAATTTTCATTTGTGGATTTCTCTATGCTCTGGCAATTGTGGCTTAACTCAGTTCATTAACAGAGAATTTAAATAATTTAGAAGCTGGGCATTTAGGGGTCTCTGTAATTACTTCGAAATTTTGATGACTGATAAGAAGATTCAGGGAAGATAGTAAATCATTTTGTTTATTGAGGAACCAGCTTAGCTTTTGAATTGCTCATTACACTTATTAAAGTCATTCTCTTCATTGTTTGTAAGCATTGGTTTGAAGTTGAACATGTATGAACTGTAAGCATCAATCTGGGATTGCTTAAATTCTTCTGCAAGTTGTATTAGTTAAACTTAGTTTGCAGCTGTCGTGGTTAGCTGGTTAAGTTACTTTAAGTTTAAGTTGCTGACCTGTTCATTGAATACGATAAAAAAATTATACATGTTCATTGTGAGCATTGTCTTCATGAATAATGGGAAGACTTAAGAAGTTGACTTGGAATTTTATTGGTGCAGGTGGTGAAAATTAGACTGCAGCAACAGAAGGGATTGAGTCATGATCTTCTAAAGTATAAGGGTCCTATTCACTGTGCTCGTACGATCATCCGGGAGGAAGGTATCCTTGGGCTCTGGTCAGGGGCTGCTCCAACTGTTATGCGCAATGGGACGAATCAGGCTGCCATGTTTACAGCCAAAAATGCCTTTGACGTTCTCTTGTGGAAGAAACATGAAGGAGATGGGAGGGTCCTGCAGCCATGGCAGTCTATGATATCGGGTTTCCTTGCAGGCACAGCAGGTCCCGTTTGCACGGGTCCCTTTGATGTTGTGAAAACAAGACTGATGGCTCAGAGCCGAGGTGTGGATGGCCAGATGAAATACAAAGGCATGATCCATGCTATCAGGACAATATATGCAGAGGAAGGGCTTCTTGCCTTGTGGAAAGGACTGCTGCCTCGGCTCATGAGGATACCACCTGGGCAGGCCATTATGTGGACGGTGGCTGACCAAGTAATAGGATTGTATGAGAGACGATATCTTCCGAGTGCAACTTTGTAGGTATCATCATTTCATTGGTTTGCTTGTTCTGGTTTTCTAGTCCATTGAGAGCATACGATCCTCAAATCATCTTCATTCTTAACAGTTAGCATTTCTTCTTTGAGTTTCTTTTGATTCTCTGAATGAACATCGGCTTTTTTGGACGGTATCAATATTTTTGAAGTTTAGGTGGGAGAATAGGCAACTTCTCATCTTACAGAAATAAATTCCATGTTGTTTTCGATATGAGTGTGGAAAATGTCAATCCTATTTTCTTCATGTTTGTATCAAGGGAGCGAAAAGCATTTTAGGCCCTATAATCCCATTGCGCATAATGGTTGGGCCAACTCCTCGGCCTAGCCCATGGTTGCTGTCTTACTTTATGATCTATAGCAAAGCCCCTCATGGTTTCTGGAACAAATTATGCAGAAGTAGCCATAGGCCACAATCCAATCCGGTTCTAATCGGTTTCACACCAAACCTGCGGCCTAGTACTTTTTAATGGATCAATTATGTTCGCTTTTAACTATACTCATGGATGAAACAAACCGAGCCCAAGTTTTTATTTATTTACATTTTCTTAGAATGGGAAAATAAATTGGGCCCGAGGCCCTAGTCCAAGTAGACAAAAAGAGGTAAAAAAGGAAAGAAAGAATCAAGGTACAAGCACACCAGAGCGAGGAATTCCAATGTACTACAAGTCGCTGCACCTCACCACGCTCCCACCGGAGGGAAAATACACTAACGGCCACATGAATTACTACTTGGCAAAAAGAAAAAAACAAGAATGTAAGAAAGTGAAGTAATTAAAAAATAAGCAAGACAAAATAAAACCCTACGGTAAGCAGTAACGCAAAATCCTATATAAGCAAACGCAGCCGCACGTTGAAACCCTAGCTCTCTAGTAAGCCACCACCTTCCTTTCGGTACAAATTCGTCCATTTCTCTGTTTATAAACCCTAACCCCAAACACCTAACTCAGAGCTCCGCACTCTGCTCTTCACCTCAAATTTTCTTCCAATCAGGTCTGCAATTAATAGCTACTCAAATTGTGTTTTCGTATTGCTTGTGCTCATCTGCAGCACATTTAGACGCTTGTATTTTGCGTTTCTCTGACTAAATTCTTGGTTCTCGATTTTTAGGTTTTAGAAGTCGGAGAATTTACAAGGTCCCGAAACGATGTCGGACGATGAGAGGGAGGAGAAGGAGTTGGATCTCAGCTCTCCTGAAGTAGTCACCAAATACAAGAGTGCCGCTGAGATTGTTAACAGTAATTTTCTCCTTTAATCTCTCATTTATAACAGTCGCAAATACATACATATTACACTTTTGAATATTGATATACTTTTATGGCTGACTGTATTGATTACATTTGGGAAATATTTGCAGAGGCTCTGCAGTTGGTAATATCCGAATGCAAACCGAAAGCTAAGATTGTGGACCTTTGTGAGAAAGGTGATTCATACATCAGAGAGTAAGTATCCCATGAATTAATTTTTTCTCGTTGGCATTGAAAATTTGTTTATTTTAATTAGAATTTATTACTTAGGGCTGTGTTGATTTGTCCCTTTAATGCGATGATTTTTTTATATTTATTTAGGCAAACTGGTAATATGTACAAAAATGTGAAGAAGAAGATTGAACGAGGTGTTGCCTTTCCAACTTGCATTTCTGTGAACAACACTGTATGCCATTTCTCCCCGCTTGCCAGTGACGAGACAGTGTTGGAAGAAGGAGATATTCTGAAGATGTAAGTTTTGTCTCATAAGTTTCTTTTTATTACTTCTGCTGTTTTTGAAAGATAGCTAAATGTTATATGAACTGAATGTAAGCTTGTAAGTAGGAACATATTGATGGTTTTTTCTTCTCCCGCAGTGATTTGGGTTGTCATATTGACGGGTTCATTGCCATAGTTGCACATACTCATGCTCTTCAAGCAGGGCCTGTTACAGGAAAGGCAGCTGACGTTATTGCAGCTGCTAATACTGCTGCTGAAGTTGCCTTAAGGCTTGTAAGGCCAGGAAAAAAGGTAATTTTGTTTGCTAATTATTATACTTTTTTTAATGTTGAAAAAAAGGATTCTGAATGGTTGCATTGTTTTGTTTTAGGGGTCTAGAATTGGATTTCTTGTGTAATCAAGTAGCCCCCTTGCATTTCTTAGCATAACTCGAGACTTGTCGCATATTCTTCTATTTTCATGTTATACTTTGAATCTGCATTTGCTTTTCTGTTTGATTTTTAAACTTGGAATACGTGTTTTATGCACATTGCATCCCCTGATGATGAGATGTTAGTATAAGCTATGGACTTACATCCAAATGAAGCTTTTTGTCATAGTTACACTGAAGGGGAAATGTACATTATTGAATTGAGAGTGAATCTTGGTACAATGGTGGAGTTGTTCCATTGAAACAGAAGAAAGCCCTTTCGTCGACTTGGGAAGTCCACCTGAGCCTGTTTTAAAATGCTATCTTTCTTTCTCATATCTTTTTACCCCTCTTGTTCTCTGTGTTGGAAGGCCACATGTTTCCGATGCTGATGTCAAGCTTGAATTGTCAAGCTGTTCTGATGCTGATGTCTGCTAGAATAATCTGCACTCACTGTTCCAACCCATGTTGGAAGAAATAATTGCACAATGATATAATATGTCATTCTATCGAACATCAAGTTTTGAAGGCAACTTTGCCGAGGAAATCTATGATTTATTGGTTTCCTCTTTTTCCCTGTTGCCTATATTATGCTTGGCTGTGGATGAGCTGATGTGGGTATACACTTATTTTGTTCATCCTAATGTCCTCTCTAGGCCGGCATTGTTGCAATCCGCTAGAATATACTATTCTTGTTAGGCTTGCGTGTCTTTAGCTAGCTGGGAGTTTGTTTTAATTTCTTTTCATGGATTAGATTTTTTGTATAACTAGTCTTTCTGCTGTGTTATTATTTATTATATAGGAACAATCAACAAGGTCTAGTTCATACTTTTTTTGTGTGGGATGTCTCTTCAATTAACATGATCTCTCTAGATGATGATAAGCTATCACTGGCTATGGATTGAATCCAATTAAGCTTTTTTTCATAGTTACACTGATGGATGATTGTGTTTCTTTCATTCCATTTATTCTTTTGAACCTTTCCATCTCTCTTCATCCAATGAATGACCATGGATTGTCATGTGCTTTCTTGTCAGCGATTGGAAGTAAGACACATATGGAAGCCCTTTTAGTAATTTTTACTCAAATGTTGCAATTTGTTCTCCATCAGTTGGTTACTTTTCCCTTGTTACTGCATCAGTAAAAGACATTGGTTTATTTTTAAGCTATTTATTGTGCTCCATACTTCTATATGATGAAACTTGTCAAAAGCTATGGACCAACATCCAAATGAGGCTTTTTGTCATAGTTACTCTGATAGGATAGTGAAATTATTTAGGGGTTGATTTTTAAGTGTGTTCATTTATGTTATTTATTATGTTTCTGTGAACTCTTCAGTGTTTCTTGTAATGTGGTTGTCTTCTAGTATGCAACTTTGCCGAGGTGATCGATATCCTATTTGGTTTTCCTCCTTTCCTTGTTGCGTAGATGAACTGGCTACATTTGGTGCCTAGTGCAGATATATTTGTTGTCTGCAATCATCATTCAAATTAGCCAACATCAAGTGCTTTGCTCTCTTACTTGTGCATTGTCATAAGAAAGGAAAAAGAGGCCTAATTGAGTAATCTGTAGTTGTAGGCAACTTTGCCGAGGTAATTGGTACCTTATTGATTTCCTCTTTTTCCCTGTTGCCTAGACTAACTGGCTACATTTGGTGCCTAGTACAGATTTATTTGTTGTCTGTGCGATCATCATTCAAATTAGCCTACATAATTGATGGAGATCTTTGTATGTAACAATGCATAATGCTTGCTTTGTGCTATATATGAAAATAGATTTGAACATGTGCACATGAATTCTATTCTTGTACTGAAATTTTCTTCTGTATTTATTTCATTTTTTCATTTCTTTTTCTGGCTGCAGAATAAAGATGTAACAGAGGCGATCCAAAAGGTTGCTGCAGCTTATGACTGCAAAATTGTTGAAGGTGTTCTTAGCCATCAGTTGAAGCAGTTTGTGATCGATGGGAATAAGGTCATATTAAGCGCATCCAATCCAGATACAAGAGTTGATGAGGCAGAATTTGAGGAGAATGAAGTTTATTCAATTGATATTGTCACAAGCACAGGTGAAGGAAAGGTAATGAAGAAGTCACGATCAGCCAGCCCAACCACCATTGTTATGCTACGTTATCTGATTTTCCATCAACACATTTTATGTCAATTTGCAGCCTAAGCTGTTGGATGAGAAGCAGACGACTGTCTACAAAAGAGCTGTTGACAAGAACTATCACCTGAAGATGAAAGCTTCTAGGTTTATTTTCAGTGAAATAAGGGAGAAGTTTCCCATCATGCCATTCACTGCTAGGTTTGTTAAAATAATGTTATTTTCTACATTATTTGTCACTGGTTCTTCAGTTTCTTTTGTTTCTCTTAAAAAAACTGTACTGTCTTGTCATCAGAGCTTTGGAAGAGAAAAGGGCTAGGCTGGGTTTACTTGAATGCGTCAACCACGAGCTTCTGCAGCCATATCCTGTTCTTCACGAGAAACCTGGTAACAATCTTCCTACTGGGACTGGCTTTTGGGAAATTTCAATTCTTCTGTGACCCTGATTCTAAATTGTTTTGCAGGTGATTTGGTTGCCCATATCAAGTTCACTGTCTTGCTGATGCCAAATGGATCAGATCGGATTACATCTCATCCTTTACAGGAGCTGCAGCCCACTAAACAAATAGATGATCCTGAAATCAAAGCCTGGTTGGCTTTGGGGACAAAGACCAAGAAGAAAGGTGGCGGCAAAAAGAAAAAGGGTAAGCAAGAGAAAATTTTGAGCGAATAATGTCTATTGTTTGTGGATTTAACAATGTTATGAAGAACTTTTAGGTTTGATTGTTGGGAGAAGGAATCCTGATGTATTTGCACATTGTAGGTAAGAAGAGTGACAAAGCTGAGGAGTCTGCAGAAGCCGAACCAATGGATGCGACAACAAATGGTGCTGAGTCTCAAGCATGAGCCCTTGTTTCTTGTTAGCGATCAGATTTCAATTTTGGTTCTTTTCTCTCCCCACATTGTATCTGGTTGGATATTAATTTAATATAGTGTTCAGACTTTGATTCCAGCTGGGTTTTCTCTACTTTTCAAATTCCAGTTTTTGCTGTTTACATGTGTATCTCATCGAATTTTGTTGTCGATTAACATTATATTTTAATTTATATAAAAACCTAACATAGACAATTGAGTTGAGGCTGTCAATATATCAACCAAAATTTCGAACCGAATTGTTTGTTTGAAACTTTCTTGGTTTTACAACCTCTTCCTTTTTTTCTTTCAATATTTCATCAAAATGCTACTGATATCGGCAAAAGAGAATTTGTGGGTTTGGTTTATTTTATTTTATGGTTTGGTATTGCCGTGGATGGAGATGGAGATCGAATTCGGATGCAAGGATGACACAGTTGACCTAACTCAATTTGTGGATTAGAGTTTGAAGCAACACAAATAGGTTTTATATTCTCGCTCTGTCAACCAATAGAAAGGAGAGTAGATTATAATTTTTAAATTCTGAATCTGATTCCAATAGGGTAATGATTTCCCCACTCTAATTTTATCTACTTACATTTTTTTTTAGTTATAAAATAGAGTGTAAGTGGATAAAATTGGAGTGGGGAAATCACCACTCTTCAAATAATATCAAAATGTGATTGAAGTGAAATTTCTATAACATTGTGCATAAGAATATAGACAGATATCAGCTTTACGCTGCTCAAGATTTGATAAACTTAGCATCAGCATGTGTTCTTGAATCCAATGGCTGAGTGAAATCCGACCGCTAAGATCCTACGGCTCTTATGGCGTTCATCTATGTTGAATAATCACCTCAAGCACGCAGAGCGTAAAGAAGCAAAGCGCGTGATGGCGGTGCGTTCCCTTACACAATCAAGAACTCTGAAATACTATTGGTCAGTTTGCGTGGGAACACGTCATCACGCCACGTGTACCTAACGGCCTTAAAAACGCGAAGCATCTGGATTTGTTTAGATCCCTCGAATTCCTTTATAAGCCCTCAATTTCAATCTCCTCCCTCTCTCAGTTGCGTCTAAAACGTACACACAGCTTTCGTACGGGAAAACCAGGAAAAAGAAAACATCCCCAACAAATCTTGAAAAAATCTGAGTGTAAATTTCGTATTCGAATATGGGGAACCGGTTAGTGTTGTGGATCTTCTTGTCGGCGTTGCTCTTCTTCTTAACCATGGAAGCAACAACCATAGACCCTTACAAGGTATTGTTCTCATTGCTTTTCCTTCATTCCTTTCCTCTAATTTTTCCTCTTATTCCAGTTCAATGTGAATGAATTGAATGTAAATAGAGCGGTTTTGATTTTGAATATGTAGTTCTATGATCGAATCACGTTCTAAAGATTTTTTTTTTCTTTTCATGTGCTTGGTTTTGAGATTGAAAAGAAAAGAAAATTTGACAAAATTGGTAATGAAAAAGGTTCAAATTTTAGTGTATTATGCTGCTGTGGCCGTTATCAGAATGCAATCAACACTTGAGATAAACAAAAGGAACTGAATTTAACGACTTTTTTTAAAAAGAAAGAACCGATAAATCATTAGTTCTATACTTATTTACTAATTTATTAGAAATGGTTTCAAATTCTTATCAGGTCCTTGGAGTCGAGCGGAATGCAAGCCAACGTGAAATTCAGAAAGCTTTCCACAAGTATGTTCCAATAACCATTGATAATAGTTTTGTGCCCTCTAAATGCAATTACTTGGCTAGGATTTTGTAGATGAATTTATGCAAAGCGAGATCATAATGTGCTTTATTTTGTGCTGATCACTGGGAATGAATTTTTTTTTCTTGGTGATGGTAATTATCTAGGCATTGAAAGTATTGACACTTAATGTGACCTCTAAGCTCATTTATGATATGTATACATCAATTAGGATGGTCATAGTCTGTGCAAAGTGTTCTTATTGGTTTGGGTCGCGTTGGGGCTGGCGCAAGTGCCAAACTATAAGTTTTCACAGGCCTAAATCTGTCACTATGGTCCCTTAACATTAAGTGCACCTTAGTGGGGGTGTTGGGCAATGACAGTTAGTGCTTGTGCAACTGTGTTGAGCTGTTGTTGTAGGATGATAGTTTAAATATCTCAAATATGTGTGTCTATACAACATTGTAGTTGCCAGAATAAGCAGTTCATTGCTTTCTTTTGTCATATTTGTTACTATGAGACTAATGTATGTTTCATGATACATTAAATAAAAAGGTTGGTGTTCTTAATATTTAAGTTAGAGTTTCTTTACAACATTGTAGTTGCCAGAATAAGCAGTTCATTGCTTTCTTTTGTCATATTTGTTACTATGAGACTAATGTATGTTTCATGATGCATTAAATAAAAAATTTGGTGTTCTTTGACCAATATTTAAGTTAATGTTTCTTTATTTTCTCTAAAAAAGAGTAGTAATGTTTCTTCTTTTGCTTTAGGATAATTTTGCTTATCTTCTGTTCTGGGATATATAATTGGCTCTCTAAAAGTTTCTCATTGTGTGAGTGTTTGTGTTGTGCTTGTGCATTCATAATGCAAATGCTTATAACACAACAAAGAAATACAGAAAGATACATGTAACATGCATTTGTGTTCAGACACGTTGTGTCACATGCTTTTTACTTTACTCAAGCTCATTTGAATAATTCCCTGTAGGCTTTCTCTTCAATATCACCCGGACAAGAATAAGAACAAAGGAGCTCAAGCAAAGTTTTCTGAGATAAACAATGGTATAACCTCTGACTTCTCTTCAGTCTATGCTTCCTTTCCTTTTGCCTTTTTGGTTGGATTTTTTAAAATTCATATATACCTATCCTGCTGTAGTGGCCACTTCCTCATAAGTTTGTACTTAATGTCGATTTGTTTCTTCTTGTTCATTAGCATATGACATTTTATCAGATGAAGAGAAGAGGAAAAATTATGACACGTATGGAGATGAGAAGGGCAGTCCTGGATTTGGAGCTGGTTCTCCTGGAGATCATGGTGGATATACTTACTTCACAAATGGTGGACCAGGAAAAAACCAGTTTACCTATAGACCAAGTGACTGGCAGAGCATGGGTGGGCAGGGAGGTTCCAAGTCATTCTCCTTTTCTTTTGGAGGTCCCAGTGGTCCAAGTTCATTTGGTTTTGGCATGGACGACATTTTCTCGAACCTTTTTGGGGGAAAACCTGGAGGTGGGGTTCAGTTTGCTGGTTTCAGTGGTTCAGCTGGGTCTCAGCCAGGGTCTCAACCTGGGTCTAGGAGTTCCCCAGTGAGCATTAGTGCCATCAGTTCACAGGTGTATAAAAAAGAAATAGTTGACCAAGGGATGACTTGGCTCTTGTTATCTTACACACCATCATTGAAGGGGCATCAACATGTTGAATCTATCATAAAGGAAGTTGCCAGTTCACTGCAGGGAGCTTTAAAGGTATGTGCAGATTCTTATTCGGTCCCTACTCCCTACCATCTGATCTGCCATTGATCGCCACATATGCTCATTCTCTCCTTTTCTTTTGTCAGATTGGAAACATAAACTGTGAGACAGAACCATCTCTCTGTAAGGACCTCGGCATATATCCCCGCAGAATGCCCAGGGTATTTGTTTATTCTTACAAAGTGAGTGAAAGGGGTTCTTTGGTTGAGTATGATGGTGATTGGGCTGCAAAACCTTTAAAAATGTTTTGCCAAGATCATCTTCCAAGGTTTTCAAAACGGGTTGACTTGAAACATTTTGAGTCTTCCACTTTCACAGTCCATAAATTGCCTAGTGTCGTGCTTCTTTCCACCAAGAAAGATACACCTGTTATCTGGCGTGTCCTTAGCGGATTGCATCACAATCACTTCCTTTTCTATGATGCAGAGGTATGTGGTGATTATTTGTTGAATTAATTTACTCAATTTTCCTTTTCTGAGTCTTGTCAATATAAGATGAATCTAGTGTCTTTGGCTATGGAATTGCTTTAACTGACTTCTTGAAGGAATCAGAAGCCTTTTCACTGTAACAATTTCCTGACATCCGTCCTAAAAATATGTTAGAAAGAATGAGGCAATGTATATGCTTAACAGAAGGGTAGGGTGCAATGATGATCCCGATACTTCCATGACAAAGTGAATCATATACTTTTGCTTTTCAGGGAAAATGTGCTTTGGTTGTTGCATTCATCTTAATTTTTTTTGTTTCTCAATTATAAAAATGACAACTTATTATTAAAATTCAGGTCCATGAAGTTTCTGATCCAAGAGTGAAGAAGCTAGGAGTTGATGCACTTCCAGCTATAGTTGGTTGGCTTTCAAACGGGGAGAAGCATGTCCTAAAAGCAGGCATTACCATCAAAGATATGAAGTCGGCAATTAATGAGCTTAGTGCTTTACTAGAAGGTTTTGAGAAAAAGAGCAAGAAGGCAGCTTCAAGTCAGGCCAAGAAGTCACCGACTGGGGAGAAGCAAATACCCCTACTGACAGAGTCTAATTTTGATGCTCTTTGTGGTGAGAAAACTCCAGTTTGCATCATTGGTGCATTCAGGTCTTCCAAAGAAAGAAAGAAGTTGGAATCAATTTTGAACACGGTGAGTATACTTTCTCTTGTATTGAGGCACTACTATCCAAAATATCTGTTTCTTCACATGAAAATGATGAACTTTGTCTAAAAAATTGAATGTCAAACTTTGTCTGACTAGCAGCCTCAACCCATGTGACCTGCTAAATTTATAAACCAGAAGTATTGGTTAAGGATTCAAATGTAGTCCCTAAAGTATCTGCTTGACTGGCTATTGTTACCCAAATCACCTGACCATGATCTTTTTATGGAAATTACTTTTTCTTTATATAGTAATTTGCTTCATGATGTTTGCTTTCAGCTCTCTCAGAAATCACTATCAAGGCAACAGAATTCAGCCGATGGAAGGGATTCCATTTCCTACACTCTCTTGGATGCCTCCAAGAAGGCATCATTCTTAAATGCATTTGACAAAGCAGGATTTAAATCGTTGGATAAGGTCTTGGTTGCCTATAAACCTCGGAGGGGGACGTTTGCAGCATTTGAGGGTGAAATGACTACAGAAGAAGTAGAGGGGTTCATTGGCTCCGTTCTTAATGGGGACATACGTTTTACCAAGACTCGGCAGAAACCCGTCCTGAAATGAGAGCTATGGTGACAAAGTTTGGGCCAGGTAGTTTCTGGCTTATTTGTACATAGCTTCACTATTTAAGTATAGAAAACATAACACAAATTTAGACTAGAACTAAGGAGGATCTGTCGAGGAGCATCCGTCGTCATCTTGGAAAAGTGTGCTTGAACCCTACATAAGTGGTTCTTTTTGTAATGCCATAGTAGAAGTCTGTCTCATACATTTGGTTGTATGACCCGTGTAATTTATTTGTTCTTTTACTCGGTGTAAAATTGATGACCAAAATATATATGAAAATGAGAAGCTGATGAAGATTGAAATTCAAGTTCTCGTTTTATCAAATACTGATCCGCATCTTGCTGATTTTCATTTGTTTGTGATCTGCAGCGTGGGGATTGATGGATGCCCTGTTCTCTTATGAGCTTTCTTTGCTCCTTTATTTGGATTTCTTTTCTTTCTTTTCTTTCAAGCACTAGTTAATCAAATCCTATCTCACTACCGTGACCAATTCTAATGCCATCTCATTCTCTATCCTCCCACAACTTGGGCTTAGCTAAAAAATGTTTAGTCTTAGTAGATACAAATTATTATTGTTATTCAAATCACTTACTCATTGATATAAAAAGAAGAAGACGACATTATATTGTTATTAAAATCAAGATACTATTTCATCAAACTTCTACATCATTGAATGATTTTACGTGACAGGATGTTATATATTTACATCAAAAGAAGTGAGTTACCACACAAATTGGTGTCCAAACATTGATGACTCTAGTATTGTGCACGTATGGTCATTGGCCAAACTTCCACCAATTTTCTTTTCTCTAGGACCACACCAACAAGAACCAGCCAGTTATCTCTACACCATTCCATGCATAATTAACCCAATTAACCAAAACCAGCCAGTTAATCATTGCTATATGGGGCTTTCCTTTTGTATGTATGCCCACAAGATTAAGATTGGACAGATGCAATGGATACGTAGTGCATTTCTTTTATTAACGAACATTTTGTATATAACTCCTCACGGAAACTCAGTCATTTTTTAGTGTTTGTGATCAAACATTTCAAAACATCACCATCTAGACTTGAAAATGCTCCTATCAAATCCGTGTCCAAATTACCAAACCATTTCTCAACGAACACAAAAGACCAAAACCCACTATAAAAACCCAAATCCCCTCTCTCTCTCCCTCCACAGCACAACACAAATGCCATTACAAAGCCTCCATTTTTAAGTGTTTCTTCTAAGTGTGGTCAAAGTCGCCTATCTGTGGCAGTGGACAACAAAAACGGAGCACTTGACGTGCGTAATAAAAGCTCGTAACGACGTCGTGCTAAGCCCCCAAAACGACGTCGCTTCCACCATCCTCCTCCAACTCGTCCAATGCTACTCTGGGTAGCTACCTGGCTCGGCGACTCCTCCAAATCGGTGTCACGGACGTTTTCTCTGTGCCCGGTGACTTTAACTTAACCCTCCTCGACTATCTCATAGCCAAGCCTGGGCTCACTAACAATCGGCTGCTGCAACGAGCTCAACGCCAGCTGACGGCTACGCTCGCTCGCGGCGCGTGGGCGCGTGTGTAGTTATTTTCACCGTCGGTGGGCTGAGCTTGCTGAATGCGATAGCTGGAGCCTACAGTGAGGATTTGCCTCTGATTTATATCGTTGGAGGACCCAACTCCAATGACTTGGGGAGTGATAATAGGATTCTTCACCATACTATCGGGAGTGCTTTCAGAACGTCACTTGCTATCAGGTAAATAGTGTAAACTTTGGAAATGTATACAACGACATGTGGACATTGAATGCTGGCACATACAAACTTTAAAAGAAAAAAAATGGAGACAAAAACTATTTAAGTTTATCGGTAGAAATGGTTGGAAAAGATTCGAACTTGAGAACGCTTAGGTAATGCATAAGAATTTTTAATTTCAGTGTTTGCTTTTGTAAGTAAATCTTAAGTTTATGAATTTTGGTATTTGTTTGTCAGGTTGTGATAAATAATCTAGAAGATGGCAGTGAGTTAATCGACACGGCAATTTCAACAGCCTTGAAAGAAAGCAAGCCTGTTTACATAAGCATAAGTTGTAACTTGGCTGGAATTCCTCATCCTACTTTTAGCCCTGAGCCTATTCCGATTTCATTGCCTCCCAGGTAAACTTTGGCCTCTCCGACTGTTTTATATAAAGCTTGTGACTTGTAAGTAAAAAGATTCAATTATTGGTTTGCTATGTCACACAGATTCAGTAATCAAATGGCCTTAGAGGGAGCAGTTGAAGCAGCAGCAGACTTGTTGGACAAGGCAGTGAAAACAGTTATGGTGGGTGGGCCTAAACTCCGAGTTGCACAAGCAGCTGATGCTAGTTGTTATGCTCTGGCTGTGATGCCTTCAGCAAAGGGGCTTGTGCCAGAGCACCACCCTCATTTCATTGGGACATACTAGGGTTCTGTGAGCACCACCTTCTGTTATGAGATTGGGGAGTCTGCAGATGCCTACTTGTTTGCTGGATAGGTTTTCAATGACTACAGCTCTGTTGGGTACTCAGCCCTTTTGAAGAAAGAGAAGGCGGTCATAGTGCAACCGGATAGTGTGACCATCGAAAATGGCCCTGCATTTGGTTGTGTTGTAATGAAGGATTTTCTGAAAGCTCTATCAAAGAGGCTTAAATGGAACAAGACTGCTTATGAGATGTGCTCCTACAGAGCCTTTGAGGGTTAATGTTCTGTTCCAACACATCCAAAAGATGTTGTCAAGTCAAACAGCTGTGATTGCTGAGACAGGGGACTCATGGTTTAACTGCCAGAAACTGAAATTGCCATCAGGTTGCAGGTAATTAAGCCATGGACAAAATTTGATCTTAATTTGATGCTTGTTTTTATGATTTTAATTGAGCAATATGATAATGGGTTTGCAGGTATGAATTCCAAATGCAATATGGATCAATTGGTTGGTCAGTTGGAGCAACTCTTGGATATGCTCGGGCTGCACCTACAAAGCGAGTGATTGCTTTCATTGGTGATGGGAGCTTCCAGGTGCCTTAATTTTCTCCCTTCTCTCTAACACTTAACATTTGATCAATATCAATGGTCACTGGTCACATATATTCAAGTTAAGTGATTTGGGAGAACCACTGTTTTGTTTTGAACCTCTGAACTTGAATCACAAATTTATAGGTGACTGCACAAGATGTGTCAACGATGACGAGAAGTGGGCAGAGGAGCATAATATTTCTGATAAACAACGGAGGATACACAATTGAAGTTGAGATCCATGATGGGCCCTACAATGTGATCAAGAATTGGAACTACACTGGACTGATTGACGCCATCCATAATGGGGAAGTCAAATGCTGGACAACCAAGGTTCGTTGTGAAGATTAGTTGATCGAAGCAAGTGAGGTTGCAAATGGGGATAAGAAGGATTGCTTGTGCCTCATTGAGGTGATTGTTCACAAGGATGATACCAGCAAAGAGTTGCTTCAATGGGGGTCTAGGGTTGCTGCTGCCAATAGAAATCATGAAAATAAATCCACTATTATTGAAGCAACACTTTGCTGGTATCATCCTTGTGAACAATCACCTTAATGAAGCACAAGCAATCCTTCTTATCCCCATTTGCAACCTCAATTGCTTCGATCAACTAATCTTCACAACGAACCTTGGTTGTCCAGCATTTGACTTCCCCATTATGGATGGTGTCAATCAGTCCAGTGTAGTTCCAATTCTTGATCACATTGTAGGGCCCATCATGGATCTCAACTTCAATTGTGTATCCTCCGTTGTTTATCAGAAATATTATGCTCCACTGCCCACTTCTCGTCATCGTTAACACATCTTGTGCATTCACCTATAAAATTGTGATTCAAGTTCGGAGGTTCAAAACAAAACAGTGTTTCTCCCAAATCACTTAACTTGAATATATGTGACCAGCGATGACTATTGATATTGATCAAATGTTAAGTGCTAGAGAGAAGGGAGCAAATTAAGGCACCTGGAAACTCCCATCACCAATGAAAGAAATCACTCGCTTAGTATGTGCAGCCTGAATATACCCAAGAGTTGCTTACAATGTAAGACGAAAAATGCAAGATGAATGATGTTTTGATGTAATCTATAAAGTTGTTATGTGAATTGCATTTTGTTTGTTTATTTTTAGGTTACAATTCTGACTTTGAGTTCATATAATTTTTTTTAACTAATTGAAATTGCATAAATATACATATAGAGTAGAAAGCCAAATTTCGGTAGTTCGCCTCGAGCCTCCAAAACCTTAGGACTGCCACTGGCCAGGTAGCTGATGTGATTAATTGCAAGTAAACAATATCACTCAAATTAGTATAGTAACAAGGATCAAGTTAATCTATTAAATACTAGAATGATTTATTTCTAATTATATTTGAATTAAACGATAAGAGAATTATGATGATTAAAATCTAATTAAGCAAGTAAAATAAATTGAGATTAAGTAAGTAATGTAAACGATGAAAACAAAGATGATAAAGTACTAGGACACCGATTTCACCTAGCTAATCGCACCTAAATCCTTCTAGCTTGTTAATCCTAATCACCTAATATGTTGATAATTGTTTTCCCTTACCTCACCAACACTCTCTTCTGAGTTATATTAGTTGTGTTTCGTACCGTCAACCCACTCTATTCCTAGTTATTGATTTAGATAGCTAAGAACCTATTAAGATTTGTGGATAACATTAAAGAGTACACAAACCATAACCTAATCTTCCGAGTCGGCTATATAATTTATGGTACTTGTTATAAAAAGCTTTTTATTAGGAATCTCCTTTCGGTCTCAACCCAATTCATAGCTAGGTAGGATACATCATAGCCCTAGTAAAAGGAATTAGTTCATGAAGGACTTATTGAGAATCATGATGGTTGATCAAGACACCGAAGACATCGAATTCTCCTAGTAGAACACCAAGGTTGTGCAAGCTCTTTTTGTATTCTCCTTTGAGTGTTTCGGCTATGATTATGAATGTATGGAATTTGATGGTGGAGGATGGAGGATTCTTTGATCAACTTCAACATTGAAAAGCTTCTTTTCACAGAGGCAATCATGACTGGTATATAGTTAATCAAAATTCTGTAAGCAATCCATGCATTTGGGAAACATCCATCTAATTCTTTCAAAAGATTTAACACTGCTATAAGGGAGTTTCCTTTTTTAGTTTTAGAGTGAATAATTGGGCTTATTTTTTACAATATTTAGGTCTAACATAATATTAATATAGTACAATTTTTTCAAGTCACATATACTTGTGTATATATAGAGGTTTATACAAATTGGGGCCTTCTCAATTTGGAGGCCCTAGGCCGCCAGCCCACAGAGGATGTGAAGATTAGAGACAGGTTTTTTGTGGGGATGTGAAGTTTCACAGGTTTATTAATCGTGTTTTGTTGGGTTGACTCGATTTGAATTTTTATTTTTTGTATGTGATTTGACTTGAATAACTTTATGAAGATTTGAAGTAGTCCTTCATGTCGTATCAAAATTGCCACTCTTAATGCATGTACACATAAATATTGGCCAAACTTAACAAACGTGTGGCCATTGGTGTAACGACGAGCAATTTGCTTTCTCTTCAGGACCACAAGAATATGTACCTGCATTATGTTAGGTTAGGTAAATTAATGTACAATTTAAAATTTTATGATTAGTGGTGTACATGCATTATGTTAGGTTACGTAAATTAATGTAACATAAATTTTTTTGACTTTTTCACAAGGATGACACCAGCAAAGAGTTGCTTCAATGGGGGTCTAGGGTTGGTGCCGCCAATAGCCGCCCACCAAGCCGTCATCAGTAAGCTCATATATTGGCCAATCAACTGCAGCATGGGCCTCATCAAATTAGGGTTTCGTCATGATCATGCAGAATTTTGTTTATAGTCGTGACACTGAACATGTATTACATGAATGATCATGGAGTTTATGATTTGATTTTCATGTTTTCTATCTAAAGAATAATTGTTCTCACTTGTTGCAATAATAAGGGATTTATTTTTAATTCAACACTTGTAGCACATTATTGCTATTTTGTTGTGGCGTATGACTCACGAGTACCACTCTTTGTGTTTTGCTTTTTTGGGCCACCGATTGAAGAAAACAAAAAAATACGCATGAAGGGCCCCTATCATGGCCCTAAACTAAATTTGCTGAGCATGTGACGAGATGATGTAGGTTGGACTATGCACATCCTAATGTGAAACACGTCAGTAATAATACGTGTTTATTGTGAGGATGTGAAGACTAGAAATATGTTTATTAGGATGTGAAGACTAGAAACGTGTTTATTTTGAAGATGTGAAGTTTCACAGGTTTATTAATTGTGTTCTAGTGGGTTGATCCAATCTGAATTTTTACTTTAAATTTTTTGTATGTGATTTGACTCGAATAATTTTGTGAAGATTTAAAGTCTTTTGTGTCGTCCCAAAATTGCCATTCGTGTCGTATTAAAATTGCCACTCTTAAATACACGGCACACATACATAGATATTGGCCAAACTTAACAAATGCGTGGCCATTGGTGTAATGACGAGCAATTTTCTCTCCCTTCAGGACCACAAAAATATGTACAAATGAAACATATATAGGCCTGGTTGATTTACCGCAGTACAAATGAAATCATAGCTTTCATTATTCTTTTCATTTTCTTCCTTCTACAGATTCTCTCTCTATATACCATAAAATGCTCATCTTAGTGCCATCCAAAATCGAAAAGATATTCACATCGTGGTTAATACTATTCTCTCTCCCTACTCCACATCAACTTGAGCAATATTTTTCATAATGCAGATGTTTGTTTTTTTTTTTTTTTTTTTTTTTTTTTTTTTGTTTATTAAGTTAGTTTATAAATTTTAGGACCCATTATTTAATGGTATTCGAAAAAATCCTAATATTGGGATGGAATATGAGATATTAGGCACTCTTTTCTTATAAGTAGGTTTTGTATAAACATAATTTCGAGCCACTAAATATTGGTACATGAATGAGAGCCACTTCATAAGAAAAATATGGCTACCATTGAGCAATGTTGAAAGCATGGACCAACGCATACGTTAGTTAAGCGTGACAGAAAAATAGATGATTACATACATATAGAAATGCACAAAAACTTATTTTCAATTGAGAAAAGTTTAGGGGAAGGAGAGGGCATACCAAAGCCTCTTTGAGGATTTACAGAGGGGGTCTTAGCCCATTTTTTGGTTTTTACAAATTACGTCTAATAGAGATTGTTAGCAACGAGATTCGAACCTAAACCTAGATAACGAAGTGAATGATCCTTACCAACTCAACCAACATTCGTTGGCCATTTTACAAAGACTTTATGACTAGTGGTGTACCTGCATTTTGGTTTACTTAAATATATGTAGGTTAGGTAAATTAATGTACCATACTTTTTCAGAAACATTAACTTAATCTTAATTGTAAACTTGATAAACTGGGAAAGGACGAATACTAAGGTGTATATTCTACTTTATTATATATACAGACAAACACACCTCTCCACTTTCCTCACAGACAATTGGAGGAATTGAGATGAGGGACTCGTATAAGGACTCGCAGAAGGCGAGTAAGGGGAACCATTAGGTGCATAACTAGGAGGAACAGTAGGGTTAGGATGAGAAGTTGGTGAGGAGCTTGGAGGAATTCCAGAACCGCGGTATGGACATGGACGAGGATGTGGAGGTACCTTGGATGGTGCTGGTGGGAGATGATTACTGTCAGGTGATGGTGCTGGAGAGTGAACTGGAGAAGCAGGATATGGAGAAATTGTTGGCTCTGGAGATGGAGCGGGAGAAGGAGTAGGAGGAGGACCCTTAGGATAAGAAGATAGACTGATACTTTTAACTTTACCAAGGACTGAGTTATCAAAAGAAATTAAAAAAAAACACACGCCATTCAAGTTTTCGAAAAATGGGCCGCCTAGGCGGGTTCTTTTTTATTTGTTTTATTTTTTTATTGCACAAGTATTTCCTTTGAGGGTAGTATGTTTGATTAGGAGCAATGTAAAGCTTTCCTGCACAAGAATGATTGTCTTGTTTTGGTGCCGCTTTTGTAATGGTGGTGATTACACAATATAGCATGGCTCCCACGACTTCTTAGAGCTCCATACTATGTTTTAGTTTTGAATGATGGTAGGTTTGCATGAATCTTAGTTTAAATGGTTCTGAGTACATAGATTTTTTGTTTGTGAAGTTTTGTCATCATTTAATAAATGTCTCATGATTAGGTTTAACTCAAAAAAATATTTATTAATTAGGATTTGATACGATTAATAAGGTAAAAAAAATGAAGGAAAAACCGACGTATAGCCGCGCGGCTATACTATTTGTTTTAAAAAATTAGAAAAAGCGTAGAGCCGGGCGGCTAGACTAATTTAAAAAAATCGGGTTTAACCGTGCGGCTATACGATTTCTTTTAAATTTTTTCGCAAAACCCAGTATAGCCGCGCGGCTATTTATAAAGTAAAAATAGGAAGAAGCCGTGCATAGCTGAGCGGCTATAATATTTTTTTAAAAAAATAATAATAAACCGAGTATAGCCGGGTGGCTATACTATTTCTTAAACCGAGTATAGCCGGACCGAGTTCAAAGAAAAGAACCGTTCTGGATTGAACTATTTGGGTCAGTTCAGTCGTTCGATCAACCAAACTATGATCAAATTTTCTCAGTGAGCAAACAGAAAATTACAAATTCAAGAAAAAAGAGAGAGAGAACAAAATCAAGGAGACAAATTTTCATGAGGTTAAAAAGAAAAAAAATAAAAATAGAAGAGAGATAGAAGGAAAGACCTGTCGGCGAAGATCGGCGAACTGGAGCTTGGTTTCGATTTGTTTGGCGGTGCTAGGAGTCTTGTTACGGTCGACAAGACTCAGCCGCCATTTGAGCCCCCTAGGAAGTCTTGGAGGCGAGGAGAACGGCGCCATTTCTTTCAACAACAAAAAAATTAGAAAGACCGAGTATAGCCGAGTGGCGATACTATTTCTTTTTAAAAAATTAGCAAAACCAGGTATAGCCGAGCGGCTATACTATTTCTTTATAAAAAAATTAGCAAAATCTAGCAAAACCTGTTATAGCCGTTCGGCTATACTGGTTTAAAAACTGAGTATAGCCGTCCGGCTTAACTATACTGTTCTTTAAAAAAAATTTCAAAAAACCACTATTTGTTAATTAATATAAAATTTTTAATATATATTATGTTTATTCAATAATATGTATAATACGTAAATTTGTGTGTATCATTGAAAATTTTATAAACAAATACATGTATTAAGCATGAAAATATATGTACGTACATGTATAATACGCATATTGCACGTTTGCCTGTTTAAAAAAAATTGAATTTTACCAAGTCTTTAAGACATGTACAGAACACGGATGTATTATTGAAAAATCAAAGGGGGACAATAGAGACTCGGGTAATGGCCTAATACTATTAGTCCTCTAGATTAATCGGAATATCATCCTCCAAATTCTCAGACAAGCGTGTCTCAGGAAAGAATTCTTCATTTGGATACAACTTCTGGAAAAGCTGTCAAGTGCAAACATTGACACCAAATTTCGTAAAGGTTAACATCAAGGGACATATAATAACAAAAAGTTAAGCTTAATGAAACCACACAAGATGTCAATAAAGAGATAATAATGCACATATAAAGAATTTAGTATTTTTCCGTTTAATATTTGTATTATACACGTAAGTAAACTTAATGCTTACCAAGGGTAGTTTCTGGATTTAACCCTGTAATATTTCTGGCAACATCAATAGGATCAACGTTTTCAAGATTGCACACAGGGTAAAACGAATTATTAGAACAACCTTCGACCAGAATCATCCATCCTCTGATAAAAATACGCATATAATCCTTTAACGCGCACCCAACTACCAAGACTAGAACCAAATATTTACACAGAATGCATCTAACATAGTCCCTGAATCCTGAATATGGGCTATGTTTCTTCAACCACCACAACTCCAATCAACACACAGAATACAGATTGCTTTCAAATATAAACAAAAAGAAAATTTGAAACCATAAGCACTTAAAAATCGATACGTAAGTACTTACAAATGCAGTTGCCTTCCCCTTGCTGTTTCGATAGCCTTTGGATCTACAAAATGTAATCAAACCAGTGAACACTACCCAAAGTTTATTCCAAAGAAATCTTAATCATTTTCACAAGGAAACTCACACTAAATAGTAAACAAGACTGCAAAATATATGCATGGAAAGAATCATCTAAAACCTGTTTGAAGAGGACCTAAGAAGCTGCCACCGATACCAACAGCAATGACATCCTTCAGGATCACCCTTGTGCTCTCCAAGTGTTCCTGTTGCAGAAAGTAGGATCAGATGAGGCTTCATATATGCCTAGTAATTGAAACATAAATTAAAACCAAAATATATGCATGGTAAAACTAAACTGAATCTCAACCAATGATTCAGCAATTTCTTGGCCGAAGATGAGGGTTTTTCCTCTTCTACAGCAGCTGTATTATCTTGCATCTCTCTGGGAGTTTTGATTTACTCTTTTTGCTCATCTTATGGATCCAAAAGCTGCATTTCACCCATATTACATTACTGAGAATTGAAAAAAATGTATTATCCACATAATACTCGACCGAAGGAAGATAAACTTGAAACGTACATGCTCTCCACCAAACATTCGGTTAATCTTTTCTTTGAGGGATGCAGCCTGCATTGTGGCATAGACAACATTAATTAGAAAACACTATATTCACCCAATCCTTCTCCCCCCCACCCCACAACACAAAAAGACACTAGTTACGAATGGGCCAACCCCACCTCTGCCAATTTCCAAGGTTTCAGGCGTGGCACGTTGCCATGAGTAGTCCAACAGTATCCTCTCAAACTCACTATTAAGTGTTATGTTGGTTTCAGGTAAACCTGAACTGAATCTCAACCAATGATTCAACAATTTCTTGGCCGAAAATGAGGGGTTTTCCTCTTCTACAGCAGCTGTATTATCTTGCATCTCTCTGGGAGTTTTTGATTTACTCTTTTTGCCCATCTTACGGATCCAAAAGGTGCATTTCACCCAGATTACATTACACAGAATTGACAAAAATGTATTTTCAGAGATGCCTGAACCCGCCAGGAAAAAAGAAATCCAAAAAAAAAACGCCATTCAAGTTTTCGAAAAATCGGCCGCCTAGGCGGGTTCTTTTTTATTTTATTTATAAATAGTATAGCCGATCGGCCGTACTTTTTAAATAATATATTCAAAGGGTATAGCCGATCGGCTGCACTTCTTAAATAATATATTTAAAGAGTATAGGAGAAAATTGACTGACTCGACTGCTCATATAGGAGAAAATTGATCTTTATGCTCGTTGAACAGTTCTTCAACATCTGAATCCATTGAAATATGATTGAAAGGGATGAAAAAATAATCAAAACCAATATTCTAGATGCAGTTAACTGAAGAGCTGGAGTCAAACTCATGAGCAATGAAAAAGAACCATTTTGCACTCTAGTTAAACTAAGTTTAATTCTTCAAAAAATGACCCTCACATTTTTCCTCTCAACCTGATTTGATGTCTCCAATATGTCAATATGAAATAGAAATAACAAGGATATCTTTAGAACCTTCGTCCTCATGAACTCAATAAATAGCATCACCGTCAACATCGAAAAGAAAAAAGCACATAAATTCAGAATTACCAACGGATAATGAAATATTGTTAATTAAATTTAGTGATAATCTGAATGTTTAATCAATTAAAGGCAAGAGAACAAAGGAAATTTCCATACTGTAAGATTAGTGCTGACTGCTACCATTCCATATGCTTTGCAACTGCATCAGGCCTGAAATTGTTACGCTCAATCATGAGAAAGAGAGAGGGGCAGGCAGATCTTCAAAACTTACATTTTATCTGACAAACTCAATGATTAACTACAAAGACATAATAAACCTTCACTCCATCATACCATGTTGAGGACTAAATTATTCAATTATAAAATTACTAAGCTATTCCAAATATGATTCATTCCCGCCCACTCCCAAGCTCATTCACGGTTGTTTAAATTAACCCAAAGATTATTAAGCAAAAATCCTGAACTGAAACAACGTGTTCATATACTTGAAGAAGTGCTAGCAGTGCACTAACCCGAGAGAAGATGAAATCCTTTCCCTAAGGGTTCAAACATTCAACATAGTTTCAGCCGTTGTAAAGGTCTTCGAAACTACCACAACTGCAAATATCAGAAATGGAATACTGCCACTCCTTATGGGCCATGTTAGTGGATTTTTACAGAATGCATCTGATCCCTTAACCCAACTTCCAAGACTACAACCAAATATTTACACAGAGAATGCATCTAACATAGTCTCTGAATATGGGCTATGTTTCTTCAACCACCACAACTACAACCAAACGCACAGAATACAGATTGCTTTCAAAAATAAAAAAAACAAAGAAAATTTGAAAGCATAAGCAAAAGCATGCCATGTCCTAAAATCCTATGTGCCGTATCAAATACAAAATGCTTCTGTACATGTCTTTAACAGATGAATGCATCCCTCCTTCAAGAACTATGCCACTGAAATAAACTCATGAACACAGACAATCTCATTGTTCCAATCAGGTAGGTCCTCAAATGAAGGAGCTAAAAGAAAGCTAATCCGCAATGTTTGACAGCAGTAGTGGGAAATCACTTCAAAAGCCTCAAGACATGGATTCATACCATTAGCATCTTACCGGCTCTTAATTCATTGATATAGAGAACTGGAAAATAATCACTTAAAAATTGATACGTAAGTACTTACAAATGCAGTTGCCTTCCCCTTGCTGTTTCGATAGCCTCTGGATCTGCAAAATGTAATCAAACCAGTGTTCCAAAGAAAGCTTAATCATTTTCACAAGGAAACTCACACTAAATAGTAAACAAGACTGCAAAATATATGCATGGAAAGAATCATCTAAACCTGTTTGAAGAGGACCTGAGAAGCTGCCACCGATACCAACAGCTATATTATCTTGCATCTCTCTGGGAGTTTTTGATTTACTCTTTTTGCCCATCTTATGGTACTGAGAATTGCCAAAATGTACTTGCAGAGATGCTAGACCCTCCAGGAATAAAGAAATCTGAAAAAAAAAACTCCATTCAAGTTTTTGAAAAATCGGCCGCCTAGGCGGGCTAGGCGGTTCTTTTTTAAAAATAAATAAATAAATATTATAGCCGCGCGGCTGTACTATATTTAAGTTTCATAATTGCAATAGACCCGCCAGGAAAAAAGAAATCTTTAAAAAAAATGCAATTCAAGTTTTCGAAAAATTGGCCGCCTTGGCGGGCTAGGCGGTTTCATTTTATAAAATATATATATATATATAATTATTTTTATTTTATTTTTATAAATAAAATAAATAGTATAGCCGATCGGCTATACTAGTTTCATAATTGCAATTCTGTCTGAAAGTACTCTATCTTTCAGAAAAAGAAAAATAAATAATTCAATATGAGGTCTCTCAATTCTGAGACTGATTTATAGTTTTTCTCTGCCTATGCATTGGGAGCATATCAACATGAGAATATCTAATATTTAAGTTTCAAATTTCGCCATTAAAATGTTTTGGTAGGTTCTCATTATATCAAGGCTGTTCTACACAAATGGAGGTGATGCCATTTGGTGTTAGCATCAAATGGCATTCATTTTCTCTGGAAATGGCCACAGGACCTTAATTCTAGTGGAGTGGTAAAGAATGACATGCTTTATAATTCTTTCCTATTAGATTTCTCCTCTCTTTCCTTTCGAATTGAAACCGAAGCGACAGTTGGTCATTTGATTCTAATGATATTGATTGAACGCAGGCAACTCCCAAGGTTCACCCTAATTTATGGAAACCAAGGAGTGGCTTAGAGCTGATGAACAATGACCTTCCCAGCACCAACCCTGAAGACTCTATGTCCTGCTTTGATTTGTCCAAGAATGAAAAATATCTTATATCAGCAACAGGAGGGGTGATCTCCATTTTTGACATGACAACATTTAAGATAAACCCAACACATAGTATTCTTGAAATTTTCTTTTCCCAGCCAAAACTTCCCAAATCTTGTTTGTCAATATGCTTAGGTTCTGTTTGCAAATTTCTCATGCTCTAACTCATTGTACTCATAAAAATCTGTTGCGTAAAAACGCATACGATGAAGAAAGTCAGGCCACCGCCACCTGCAGCAACATGTCTTGCTTTTCACTCCCGAGATGATGGTATAGTTGCTATTGGCATGGACAATTCCACCATTGTAATATACAATCTCCACTCAGACAAGGAAATTTGTTTGTTCTTGTAATAAAACAAATCATGCTCGATGTTGTGATGAAGCAAACCCGAAAAGTTTGTCATTGCCTTGATTTAAATATTTTGCAGGTTACAAGGAAGCTTGAGGGTCACTCCAAAAGAGTCACTAGCCTTGCCTTCTCGAACACTCTGAATGTACTAGTTTCTTCTGGTGCTGATGCATATTGGAAACTACAATATTACTTTCAGACATGGCTTCTACTCTAATGTGACTTCTGTTATTTAACGACGTCGTTTTGGCCCTGCAGATTTTTGTGTGGGAAAAACAGAGAAGCAAATTGTTGCAGATTCCAGATGGGAAGGAGTTGAGATCATTGTCAGATACTTACATCCAAATTCACCAGAATGAGCTGCACCTCCTTGCCATAAACAAGAATCACCTTGCAGTATATGAAGTGAAAGCTCTAGCATGTGTTTAGGAGGAGGGGAGGCTACCCCATCCCAAGGTCAGGGCATACCAAGGCCTCTTTGAGGAACCATTTGGCTTTTTAATTCTTCACTTCAGGATTAAAAACAAAAGGCACCCAAAAAGGGATCAGGCCACTCAATGATTCACCATGAATTTTTTTTTTCATACAAAGATGTAGTCATCGCCCCTTCACAAGTATATGATACTAACCTATACAAATTGTGTATCAATTTTTACTTTGCCTTGCCCCAAAAAAAAAAAAAAAAAAAAAAAAAAAAAAAAAAAAAAAAAAAAAAAAAAAAAAAAAAAAAAAAAAAAAAAAAAAAAAAAAAAAAAAAAAAAAAAAAAAAAAAAAAAAAAAAAAAAAAAAAAAAAAAAAAAAAAAAAAAAAAAAAAAAAAAAAAAAAAAAAAAAAAAAAAAAAAAAAAAAAAAAAAAAAAAAAAAAAAAAAAAAAAAAAAAAAAAAAAAAAAAAAAAAAAAAAAAAAAAAAAAAAAAAAAAAAAAAAAAAAAAAAAAAAAAAAAAAAAAAAAAAAAAAAAAAAAAAAAAAAAAAAAAAAAAAAAAAAAAAAAAAAAAAAAAAAAAAAAAAAAAAAAAAAAAAAAAAAAAAAAAAAAAAAAAAAAAAAAAAAAAAAAAAATCACTTCAGGATTAAAAACAAAAGGCACCCAAAAAGGGATCAGGCCACTCAATGATTCACCATGAATTTTTTTTTCATACAAGATGTAGTCATCGCCCCTTCACAAGTATATGATACTAACCTATACAAATTGTGTATCAATTTTTACTTTGCCTTGCATTGCAAATGCTCAAAAAGATAAGGTTCTTTTTGAAAATTCTGCAAGCTAAGTATTCTTCAACTGGTCACACTATCTCTAGGAGGTTTTCCCTTTGGAATGACCTTCCGGTAGTTACAACATCACAAATGTAAAACAGAGATGATAGGCCTGCCACCTTTTTGGCTTTGACCTGCAATCATCTCCTGAATCGCTTTTATATGTGTTGTTGCATAAGGAACCTGTTGTGTCAAACTTTTCACATGGACACTCTACCATCCTCGCCAAAACAAAACTAAGGATGGCACATCATTGTGCTGTGGTGTTTTTGTGTGCCTTGCAAATTTTCCTTTGCATAGAGAAAACGAACCATGAACGTAACCAACAGAGGAGATAAAAGATCAAGAATCCTGAAAATTCCAAGAAACGGATCTCCTTGTAGAAAGGTCCTACTGCTGAAGCTGCAAAATGCATACATCAAGTGCTTCACTTGCATATCAGATGTAAATATCAAATGATTTGGCATGCAAAGTAAGGCAAAAAGTAAATGAAATCAGCAAAAGACAATGTCCATGGATAAATAGGCTCATCGACAAAGGGCAATTGTGGAGGCTGGTCACATCTTCCTTTTTACGTGCAAATGTTGGGCACCTAATGGTATGCTTTGAATCTTACGGCTTGGCATTCTAATGTCTGCATTTCAATCTGATTTTGTCTGTTTCTGCGTATGTTTTCAGGTTAATTGTTATTCTTTAAATTCAGTTGGTCCTACCATGGAGAAGATCAGTGGTCCTAATAGATATCTTGCACTCTACTTCGCCTCTGCAATTGCAAGTAACAGCTTTATGATCTATCTACAATAGCCAATAAAAATTGCTTAGCGACTAGTATTCTGATTCAGTGGTTTCGAGAAAATCAGGTTCAGCGATGAGTTATTGGTTCAGTGAGGCACCTGCAGTTGGTGCATCAGGGGCAGTCTTTGGATTAGTAAGACATTTTATTGTTTTTCCTTAGCCGGACTCTTTTTCTGGATTTCCTAGATGCACCATATAACCTGCCAGATAATCTTGGTTTAATTCATTTATGGCAATAGAGTAGAGGAATCCAGTAAAATCAGGTTCATTGTCATGCAGTCACACAAGCAAAGTTGATGTTCTTGCAATTATTTCCTTCTTGTTTATTTTTTCCCCATTTCTTATTCATCTGTCTTCAGAAGATTTAATGTTTTCCTTTTCCTGTATTTCACCATTTAATATATAGCTTCCTCTTTTACAGTTTTCATGAAATTTGTCAGCTGCAAACTTATTAAATTTGTTTCAAAATAAACCTCTGCAACTTCTGAATATCATTTTACAGGATTTCCTCCGCCAAAAGAGAAACAATAAGTATAAATGAAAAAGAAACATTTCTGTGAGTGTCACGCTGCTTTGACAAAAGGAAGATTAGTTCATATCTTTATATATTGAAATTTAAAAATCTGCCTATGTACCTACTCAGTGTTATGGAATGCCAAGTGAATCTTCTTTCAAGCTATTCTGGCATGGTATTGCTCTTTCTCATCTCCTATAATTAATCAAACCGCTGGCTCTGATCTTTGATTTAGGTTGGATCTCTTGCTGTCTTCGTCATGAGGCATAGAGGTCTGGTTGGACGTGGAAAAGAAGATCTACAGCACATAGCACATGTAATTACCGTAAATATGGTATGTTCCTTCTCTGGTTACTATGTCTTTAAGTTTTGCCCAACTCAGTCCTTTATCTATCTTAATAACTTAATCAGCTCCCCTTCCAATTTATGTTGGCTGGATAAATGGATAAATAAACGTAACTTTTTGTTTTTGTTTTTGTTTTTGCAGGCTATGGGGTTTTTCTTCAAAGGCATTGATAACTGGGGACATGTAAGTAGAACAAGAATGCTTGCTCTCTTTTTCACTCCTAATTAATGCTTTGTTTAGAAATTAGGAGCGTTGAATTTCAATGAACCTCCTTCACTTTGTATCCCTTGATTAATTTTTGACAATAGACAAAGAAAAGTGGCTAATTAGTGTGTGAATGTGCGTGTGGATCTCTCTCTTCCCTATCTCCACTCCCTCCCCACACTGTCACATGCGCACACTTGTGCATGTGCACGCACATACATGCACATGTGGCTAATTAGGGTTGTGGAACATTTGGACCTCATTTTTCTCTCTTTCAACTTTCAGTTGGATTTGAATTCTGAGTCCCATGGTAAAGCACAATCATTAATTTTCGTGCCAATGATTGAGTTTCTTGATTACTTCTTTTCTGCCTTTTTTAGATTAGCCATAAAACTGTAACAAATGTGAAGAGTCTCTATGGATAGCGTTGTATTGGTGAAATAATCATTTGAGGCAACCTATCTGGATCTGTGAGACGAATTGAAACACACGAGCTTGCATATGGTTCCTTCCATGTCTGCACTAAAATTCCTTCTTGTTTGTGTTATCCTCATCTTTGTTTTGAGCGTGACATTTGAATCTCAGTTTGGAGGCTTGCTCGGTGGAGTTGCCACATCATGGCTTCTAGGTCCTGCATGGAAGTACGAATCTCCCTCCAGTGATGGTCGAAGAATCTTTTCTGACAAGGCTCCTATTTTCTACCTCATCAACGCAAAGAAGAGATCCTAGACTTTTTATTCCTATGGAAGCATATTGCCTTCCCTAAACTTTTTGTGATCAGCAGACTTTGTAGGGAAGCAGAGCCCTTAGCCCTAATTTACTTTGGTAGGCTGTATCATCCAAGTGTAATGTTGTTTCTCACTATAAAGAAGATTTAAATTACTTTGACCTCTTTTTTTAAGTTAAGGTGTTGCAAATTTAAAAGTTCACCTCAAATTAGGCAGAGCATCCACGTTCTAAGTCACACAATATCCTGCTGCAAACGAAAACTTTTTGGGTGTGGCCACTTGACTTTTGTAACATTTGCTGTTATATTTACTTATGTTAAATAATTTTGTGAACTTAAAAATTATTTTTAATTTCCTTCTTTATTTTAAAAATTATTTCAATTATTTAAAAATCCTAGAAAATTATTTTAGTATTCTAAAAATGAATTTTAGCCTCCAAACCCTTAATCCAAGCCTCAAAACTTAATCGTAAACCCACTGTACGTAGGACTCGATTAGGCTTCGATAATCACATAACTTTCACCTAGGGCTTTACGATTAATGTTTCGTTCTCAATCTTGAGTTAGTACAACGTAACCGGACTTAACATAGATTTGTGTCGGCGAATTTAATGTTTCCTCAACAAAATAAATTCAGAAGTTTCTTGGAAAATTTGCAGCCATTATTTCTTTTAAATTTCAACTATTCTTTCTTGCCCATTTCTCTCTCTCTCTCTCTCTCATGATCTTGACCACATTTCAACAGTAATTTTTGAGCCAAAACTCACCAATCTCTCTTTCGCAACTTCATTCCGGCCATGCCAAAAATTATAGAAGACAAAGAGAGTGGAGACGATTGATCGGGATCATTAGTTACAAGTTTAGGCTCGAGTGGGATTGAATCTCTAAGAGAAATTAAAGACAACCCAATACATGATCTGATCTGCAACTAATAAGAAATCAATCCATGTCAATCGACAAGCAGGGGAACCCTATGAGGGTTCATCAAATGCATATTTACTTGAGTTAAACATTACAGTCAATTTGACGAGAATTAAATTGCGGGATGTCTCAAAGGAGAATACATCTTCAAGCATCTACCTTTGCTGCCGCAGATGCATAACTTACACAGCTATCCCTCATAGTTTTGCACTGACTCGACTGCTCATACCAGAGAAAATGATCTTTACGCTCGTTGAACAGTTCTTCAGCATCTGAATGCATTGAAATATGATTGAAAGGTATGAAATAATGATCAAAACCAATATTCTAGATGCAGTTAACTGAAGAACTGGAGTCCAAGTTATGAGCAATGAAAAATAAAAAACCATTTTGCAGTCGCTGAAAAAATTTATTCTCCCTTACATTTTTCCTCTCAACCTGATTTGATGTCTTCAATAGAGTCGGTAAAACCCTAGCTTGATGTATTTGCAAAGATACCAGACCCGCCAGGAATACGGAAATCCAAAAAAAAATACGCCATTCAAGTTTTCGAAAAATCGGCCGCCTAGGCGGGCTAGGCGGTCCTTTTTTTATTATTTATAAATAGTATAGCCGGGCGGCTAAACTCTTTAAATAATATATTTAACACGTATAGCCGATCGGCTGTACTTCTCAAATAATATATTTAAAAAGTATAGGTCTTCGAACATTCAACATAGTTTCAGCAATGAATGAACGATAATCCGCAATGTTTGACAGTAGTAGTGGGAAATCACTTCAAAAGCCTCAAGACTTCATACCATTAGCATCTTACCAGCTCTTAATTCATTGATATAGACAACTGGAAAATAATCACTTAAAAATTGATACGTAAGTACTTACAAATGCAGTTGCCTTCCCCTTGCTGTTTCGATAGCCTCTGGATCTGCAAAATGTAATCAAACAAGAGAACACTACCCAAAGTTTATTCCAAAGAAAGCTTAATCATTTTCACAAGGAAACTCACACTAAATAGTAAACAAGACTGCATCCCTTGGAGCATGAAGAGCTACATGAAGCACTGATCTATTTTCTGTGCTGTTTATGAGAAGGCACCACCCAGAAAAAGAAAAACAGAATGCAAAAGGATCACATGACAATGGTTTCAGAAATAAGCTGGTCTCATGATCTTTACCATAAATCCTATAAAGCTATCAAATATAAGTTTTTGTGATTTCAGACAGTTAAAGGTCAGAAATTTGGGTATCTAGGAGACACCAACTAGCTATTGTTCTACTGGTACTTCTCTCTACTTTGTTGGAAGAGGTCCCAAATTTTAATCGCTTCCCCCATATCAGAAAATATTTTTTTATTTTTAAATAGGAAACACTTCTCGCTAATTGCAGATAAAAAAGTGTTCAAATTAGCATTTTAATTCCATATTTATGCACATAATACTCGACCAAAGGAAGATAAACTTGAAACGTACATGCTCTCCACCAAACTTTGAGGGATGCAGCCTGCATGGCATAGACAACACATTAGAAAACACTATATTCACCCAATCCTTCCCCCACCTCTGCCAATTTCCAAGGTTTCAGGCGTGGCACGTTGCCGTGAGTAGTCCAACACTATCCCGTCAAACTCACTAAGTGTTATGTTTGTTTTAGGAAAACCTGAACTGAATCTCAACCAGTGATTCAGCTTGGAGGAATTGAGATGAGGGACTCGTATAAGGACTCGCAGAAGGCGAGTAAGGGGAACCATTAGGTGCATAACTAGGAGGAACAGTAGGGTTAGGATGAGAAGTTGGTGAGGAGCTTGGAGGAATTCCAGAACCGCGGTATGGACATGGACGAGGATGTGGAGGTACCTTGGATGGTGCTGGTGGGAGATGATTACTGTCAGGTGATGGTGCTGGAGAGTGAACTGGAGAAGCAGGATATGGAGAAATTGTTGGCTCTGGAGATGGAGCGGGAGAAGGAGTAGGAGGAGGACCCTTAGGATAAGAAGATAGACTGATACTTTTAACTTTACCAAGGACTGAGTTATCAAGCCGGAAAAAAAGAAATTAAAAAAAAACACACGCCATTCAAGTTTTCGAAAAATGGGCCGCCTAGGCGGGCTAGGCGGGTTCTTTTTTTTTTTTTTTTAATAAATAGTATAGCCGAACGGCTATACCTTTTAAATATAAAGAACATAGTATAGCCGCGCGGCTATACTATTTCTTTAAAAAAAAATTTAAAACAGAGTACTACCGCTCGGCTATACTATTGTTTTAGTTTACACTTCCGTTGTATTTATAAATATAAAATAAAAATAAAAAAAAACAAGAGGCTTTGGGGTTAACCCGAATGGATGGTGGCCGTTAATTATTCAACAAAAATATGTTATGTCCTTTGAGTCACATATCTTCTTCCTAAATTTCCAAAAAAAAAAAAAAAAAAAAAAAAAAAAAAAAAAAAAAAAAGAAATACTTGTATCAATGTTTTGAAAAGCAAGGCGTTGAAACAAAGTATCTTATATCTCGCAAAACGAGGCGTAAACCTTTTGAACATTCAATTATTAAAAATAAAAATATATTAGTGTGTTAATAATATGTAAAACATATGATCCATATATATTGTGAGGTCATTGACTCATAAATTGAAACAATTCAAGCCTCTCTTTAGCCCTAGATTGATTTAGACAGTCATAGATTGGATATGAAGTCAAATTTATAAGATAGGCTTCACATCTTGTTTGAATAGATTGAAGGAGAGGCTCCCGTTAGAAATTGGTGGGTGGTTGGATGGCTGAGAGCTAGTCAAAGGGGGAGAGAGAACATAAAACAAAAGGCACTAATTAATTTAATAAATTTTTATTGTGAAGGAATGGGGGAAGCGGGACCTGAGGCTTATGTTATGTTCTTAAAATTAACAAGACGCTGGCGTTTGGCATGACTCTTTAAACACGACAACTGTACCATACGGCAACGCAACGCCTCTGCAAAAAGTGATTGTGTGATGAGGGGCTCTATTCCCGGGTAGCACACTGAGGCAAGCGGAATCTTGGTCTGTGTGGGGAAGTAACCCCCCAATCAAATTCTCATATATTTCTGGTTTGGTTGCTACCCAACTTCACCACTAATGCCAAGGTGAACAGCCCAAGACCACTATGTCTCACACCTACGAAGGTTTCCATAGCAACCAATCACTTTAAAGCCCTGCTTAGTTACAAGGCCATGCTACTAGGCTCGGCAATTTGAAGTGTTATGTAAGTCCCTATAACCTTTGTGTGGTCACTTGTTTTACCGATGTGGGACTCTGTATCATCAGGAAACTAGAAATCTGCCCCAAACTCTTTAAAAAATTTGTCAATAACTCTCTCATAGCCGCTCCTTCTTGCTTCCCCTCTCTATTTCATCGTTTTATGTTCCTAGCCCTAGGGCAGCAGCCATCGTCATTGCCACGAGCCAACACTACCAGCAGCTGCCATCGCCACCATCCAAAGTAAGTAGCAACGATGTCTCTTTACATTGATTTTGAATGTAAGTTCTGATGATGGGCTTCTGTAATGAAAATTAATAAATTATACAAGACCACACAAAAGAAAGTTATAAAGAGAATGGGCGGTGCCTGTACTTATTTTAGTCGGAAATATTTGCACAAGCTATAAATTGTTACTTAGCTTCTACAGAACACTCATGTGCTTAAGTTTGGCGGTGCCTATAGTTTTCTGTTTTATGCTTGTTCAACAAAGATTGCACAAGTATTTCCTTTGAGGGTAGTATGTTTGATTAGGAGCAATGTAAAGCTTTCCTGCACAAGAATGATTGTCTTGTTTTGGTGCCGCTTTTGTAATGGTGGTGATTACACAATATAGCATGGCTCCCACGACTTCTTAGAGCTCCATACTATGTTTTAGTTTTGAATGATGGTAGGTTTGCATGAATCTTGGTTTAAATGGTTCAGAGTATATAGATTTTTGTTTGTGAAGTTTTGTCATCATTTAGTAAATGTCTCATGATTAGGTTTAACTCAAGAAAATATTTATTAATTAGGATTTGATACGATTAATAAGGTAAAAAAATGAAGGAAAAACCGAAGTATAGCCGCGCGGATGTATTATTGATAAATCAAAGGGGGACGATAGAGACTCGGGTAATGGCCTAATACTATTAGTCATCTAGATTAATCGGAATGTCATCCTCCAAATTCTCAGGCGAGGGTGTCTCAGGAAAGAATTCTTCATTTGGATACAACTTCTGGAAAAGCTGTCAAGTGCAAACATTGACACCAAATTTCGTAAGGGTTAACATCTAGGGATATATAATAACAAAAAGTTAAGCTTAATGAAACCACACAAGATGTCAGTAAAGAGATAATAATACACATATAAAGAATTTAGTATTTTTCCGTTTAATATTTGTATTATACACGTAAGTAAACTTAATGCTTACCAAGGGTAGTTTCTGGATTTAACCCTGTAATATTTCTCGCAACATCAATAGGATCAACGTTTGCAAGACTGCACACAGGGTAAAGCAAATTATTAGAATACCCTTCGACCAGAATCATCCATCCTCTGATAAAAATACGCATATAATCCTTTAACGCACCCAACTACCAAGACTAGAACCAAATATTTACACAGAATGCATCTAACATAGTCCCTGAATATGGGCTATGTTTCTTCAACCACCACAACTCCAATCAACACACAGAAACACAGATTGCTTTCAAATATAGTATAGCCGCGCGGCTGTACGTTTTAAAAAATATATTCAAAGGGTATAGCCGAGCGGCTGTACTTCTTAAATAATATATTTAAAGAGTATAGGAGAAAATTGACTGACTCGACTGCTCATATAGGAGAAAATTGATGTTTATGCTCGTTGAACAGTTCTTCAACATCTGAATCCATTGAAATATGATTGAAAGGGATGAAAACATAATCAAAACCAATATTCTAGATGCAGTTAACTGAAGAACTGGAGTCAAACTCATGAGCAATGAAAAAGAACCATTTTGCACTCTAGGTAAACTAAGTTTAATTCTTCAAAAATGACCCTCACATTTTTCCTCTCAACCTAATTTGATGTCTCCAATATGTCAATATGAAATAGAAATAACGAGGATATCTTTAGAACCTTCGTCCTCATGAACTCAATAAATAGCATCACCGTCAACATCGAAAAGAAAAAAAGCACATAAATTCAGAATTACCAACGGATAATGAAATATTGTTAATTAAATTTAGTGATAATCTGAATGTTTAAATCAATTAAAGGCAAGAGAACAAAGGAAATTTCCATACTGTAAGATTAGTGCTGACTGCTACCATTCCATATGCTTTGCAACTGCATCAGGCCTGAAATTGTTACGCTCAATCATGAGAAAGAGAGAGGGGCAGGCAGATCTTCAAAACTTACATTTTATCTGACAAAACTCAATGATTAACTACAAAGACATAATAAACCTTCACTCCATCATACCATGTTGAGGACTAAATTATTCAATTATAAAATTACTAAGCTATTCCAAAATATGATTCATTCCCGCCCACTCCCAAGCTCATTCACGGTTGTTTAAATTAACCCAAAGATTATTAAGCAAAAATCCTGAACTGAAACAACGTGTTCATATACTTGAAGAAGTGCTAGCAGTGCACTAACCCGAGAGAAGATGAAATCCATTCCCTAAGGGTTCAAACATTCAACATAGTTTCAGCCGTTGTAAAGGTCTTCGAAACTACCACAACTGCAAATATCAGAAATGGAATACTGCCACTCCTTATGGGCCATGTTAGTGGATTTTTACAGAATGCATCTGATCCCTTAACCCAACTTCCAAGACTACAACCAAATATTTACACAGAGAATGCATCTAACATAGTCTCTGAATATGGGCTATGTTTCTTCAACCACCACAACTACAACCAAACGCACAGAATACAGATTGCTTTCAAAAATAAAAAAACAAAGAAAATTTGAAAGCATAAGCAAAAGCATGCCATGTCCTAAAATCCTATGTGCCGTATCAAATACAAAATGCTTCTGTACATGTCTTTAACAGATGAATGCATCCCTCCTTCAAGAACTATGCCACTGAAATAAACTCATGAACACAGACAATCTCATTGTTCCAATCAGGTAGGTCCTCAAAATGAAGGAGCTAAAAGAAAGCTAATCCGCAATGTTTGACAGCAGTAGTGGGAAATCACTTCAAAAGCCTCAAGACATGGATTCATACCATTAGCATCTTACCGGCTCTTAATTCATTGATATAGAGAACTGGAAAATAATCACTTAAAAATTGATACGTAAGTACTTACAAATGCAGTTGCCTTCCCCTTGCTGTTTCGATAGCCTCTGGATCTGCAAAATGTAATCAAACCAGTGTTCCAAAGAAAGCTTAATCATTTTCACAAGGAAACTCACACTAAATAGTAAACAAGACTGCAAAATATATGCATGGAAAGAATCATCTAAACCTGTTTGAAGAGGACCTGAGAAGCTGCCACCGATACCAACAGCTATATTATCTTGCATCTCTCTGGGAGTTTTTGATTTACTCTTTTTGCCCATCTTATGGTACTGAGAATTGCCAAAATGTACTTGCAGAGATGCTAGACCCTCCAGGAATAAAGAAATCTGAAAAAAAAAAACTCCATTCAAGTTTTTGAAAAATCGGCCGCCTAGGCGGCGTCTATAAATAAATAGTATAGCCGCTCGGCTATACTATATTTAAGTTTCATAATTGCAATAGACCCGCCAGGAAAAAAATCTTAAAAAAAAATGCAATTCAAGTTTTCGAAAAATCGCCGCCTAGGCGGGCTAGGCGGTTCTTTTTAAAAAAATATATATAATTATTTTATTTTATTTTATAAATAAAATAAATAGTATAGCCGATCGGCTATACTAGTTTCATAATTGCAATTCTGTCTGAAAGTACTCTATCTTTCAGAAAAAGAAAAATAAATAATTCAATATGAGGTCTCTCAATTCTGAGACTGATTTATAGTTTTTCTCTGCCTATGCATTGGGAGCATATCAACATGAGAATATCTAATATTTAAGTTTCAAATTTCGCCATTAAAATGTTTTGGTAGGTTCTCATTATATCAAGGCTGTTCTACACAAATGGAGGTGATGCCATTTGGTGTTAGCATCAAATGGCATTCATTTTCTCTGGAAATGGCCACAGGACCTTAATTCTAGTGGAGTGGTAAAGAATGACATGCTTTATAATTCTTTCCTATTAGATTTCTCCTCTCTTTCCTTTCGAATTGAAACCGAAGCGACAGTTGGTCATTTGATTCTAATGATATTGATTGAACGCAGGCAACTCCCAAGGTTCACCCTAATTTATGGAAACCAAGGAGTGGCTTAGAGCTGATGAACAATGACCTTCCCAGCACCAACCCTGAAGACTCTATGTCCTGCTTTGATTTGTCCAAGAATGAAAAATATCTTATATCAGCAACAGGAGGGGTGATCTCCATTTTTGACATGACAACATTTAAGGTAAACCCAACACATAGTATTCTTGAAATTTTCTTTTCCCAGCCAAAACTTCCCAAATCTTGTTTGTCAATATGCTTAGGTTCTGTTTGCAAATTTCTCATGCTCTAACTCATTGTACTCATAAAAATCTGTTGCGTAAAAACGCATACGATGAAGAAAGTCAGGCCACCGCCACCTGCAGCAACATGTCTTGCTTTTCACTCCCGAGATGATGGTATAGTTGCTATTGGCATGGACAATTCCACCATTGTAATATACAATCTCCACTCAGACAAGGAAATTTGTTTGTTCTTGTAATAAAACAAATCATGCTCGATGTTGTGATGAAGCAAACCCGAAAAGTTTGTCATTGCCTTGATTTAAATATTTTGCAGGTTACAAGGAAGCTTGAGGGTCACTCCAAAAGAGTCACTAGCCTTGCCTTCTCGAACACTCTGAATGTACTAGTTTCTTCTGGTGCTGATGCATATTGGAAACTACAATATTACTTTCAGACATGGCTTCTACTCTAATGTGACTTCTGTTATTTAACGACGTCGTTTTGGCCCTGCAGATTTTTGTGTGGGAAAAACAGAGAAGCAAATTGTTGCAGATTCCAGATGGGAAGGAGTTGAGATCATTGTCAGATACTTACATCCAAATTCACCAGAATGAGCTGCATCTCCTTGCCATAAACAAGACTCACCTTGCAGTATATGAAGTGAAAGCTCTAGCATGTGTTTAGGAGGAGGGGAGGCTACCCCATCCCAAGGTCAAGGCATACCAAGGCCTCTTTGGGGAACCATTTGGCTTTTTAATTCTTCACATCGGGATTAAAAACAAAAGGCACCCAAAAAGGGATCAGGCCACTCAATGATTCACCATGAATTTTTTTTTTCATACAAAGATGTAGTCACCGCCCCTTCACAAGTATATGTTACTAACCTATACAAATTGTGTATCAATTTTTACTTTGCCTTGCATTGCAAATGCTCAAAAAGAGCCTGCATATTTTACAATTGATTTCAAGAAAGATAAGGTTCTTTTTGAAAATTCTGCAAGCTAAGTATTCTTCAACTGGTCACACTATCTCTAGGAGGTTTTCCCTTTGGAATGACCTTCCGGTAGTTGCAACATCACAAATGTAAAACAGAGATGATAGGCCTGCCACCTTTTTGGCTATGACCTGCCACCTTTTTCGCTTTTATATGTGTTGTTGCATAAGGAACCTGTTGTGTCAAACTTTTCACATGGACACTCTACCATCCTCGCCAAAACAAAACTAAGCATGGCACATCATTGTGCTGTGGTGTTTTGTGTGCCTTGCAAATTCTCCTTTGCATAGAGAAAACGAACCATGAACGTAACCAACAGAGGGGATAAAAGATCAAGAGTCCTGAAAATTCCAAGAAACGGATCTCCTTGTAGAAAGGTCCTACTGCTGAAGCTGCAAAATGCATACATCATGTGATTAATAACTTGCATATCAGATGTAGATATCAAACAATTTGGCATGCAAAGCAAGGCAAAAAGTAAATGAAATCAGCAAAAGACAATGTCCATGGATGCATCTAACAAAACATTAGCTTATTTGTTTTGGTTGTCAAATGGCTGCAGTATTCCTAAGTTATTACATACATTTGGCTCTTTACAGATCAGGTCAGTATTAAAATTCCATTACTGATTTCAGTTCATCATCATATCACATTAGTCCCACCAGTTTTAACTCAAAGTTTATTCTCAAGTCTCCATTGAGGTTGCACCAACTATCAGTTTGTATATTTGTTTATCCAAAAGGATCCCAAAATCTGCTTCAAATATTTGAATATGAACTGTATGCCATACGACTAATTGCATTGAAAAGCCAATCAAAGGATTTAGAAGAAATAACCAGATTCAAAATTAAATCTTGCTAAACCTCAAACAGTATTTCTTTGGTCTATAGGATTAACTTCTCGTAACTGGCATTAGTAAAGCGGGGCAATTTCTACTCTTATCAAACTCATGAGATCAGAAGTCACATAAACTGACTACCAACACCTCAACTACAGAGGGACCTATTTTCAATTAAGAAAAACCTATATTGCCAAAAGACAAAATTTTGAATAAAGATGCTTAATATTTTATTGACACAGCAAAGAATCATAATTTCTTATAAACTCTAACGCTATTTTGAGATGGTCTGAAACTTTTACTTTGGAATTCAACAAATTAGTGACTTCAATTGATTCAAACAACTAGATAATCCTAAGTTATCCAAATTTCAATATTGATGAGAAAAGGAATGATGTGAATGATTTTCTTTCGTTTTTTCATGTCAGTAGGTTGTTGTCTGGAATATGGAAACACTGCAAACTGAAAGCACACCAGAGGGACAGTCCTTGATAATTACTGATGTTCGATTTAGACCAAATTCAACTCAGCTTCATTTGACACAAGGACCTGTCTGTTTTGACTTCTGCTTTCATTTTTTTATAGTTTCTACTTCTGTAAAAATGCTCCCTGATTTGCTTCAATTATATTTAATATTTCTTAGGATGTCTAGAAATAGAAACATATCCCTGGCATGAGACTAGCTTTCTTTCTTTACTGATAGGACCCATAAATTGCCTTCAGCAGGAAAGCTGAAAGGTGATCAACTTAAAAACAGCTGCAAACATGCAACAAGCTAGGCAGTATACACTTTCAGTAAGCATAAGCAAACATTCTGCACAGCATATCTCACGTTAATTCCTTTAAAAACTAGACAAAACAACAACTATATAACAAAAGCTCATCCTAAGAACAACAAACACCACACACACACAGAGCAAATATCAAATTCCAAGAGACTGAATAAGCATTGCCCAGCGCCTAGGTGCCGTCTAGGCCGATTTTTGGAACACTAATTGGTTAAATGAGCAGGCAGTCTGAAACAAAATGCCTTGATAACAATGTTGAAGCCGTAGCTTATCATGTGAATCTAAAATCATCAAAACAGGAGAAATAAAAGAGCCACCATGAAAACCCTTTGGGCGGCCGCCTAAGCGCCGCCTAGGCCAATTTTTCAAACACTGGCTGGTTAAATGAGCAGGCACTCTGAAACAAAATGCCTTGATAACAATGTTGAAGCCATAGCTTAACATGTGAATATAAAATAATCAAAACAGGAGAAATAAAAGAGCCATCATAAAAACCCTCTGGGTAGCCGCCTAGGCGGCCGCCTAGCGCCTAGGCGCCGCCTAGGCCGATTTTTCAAACACTGGCTGGTTAAATGAGCAGGCACTCTGAAACAAAATGGCTTGATAACAATGTTGAAGCCGTAGCTTAACATGTTTGGTCAGCAGTGTCCTTCTGCCTAGGTTGATTTTTCGAACATTGCCTGAATTACATCAATGCTTTAACAGTTTATTAGCCATACCTACTTATGCTGTGTTTCTGAGACAGCATGGTGATCAGTGGCAGAAAGACTACCCTCTTTAGCCAATCTAGGAGACTTTTGAAGCTTCTCTCTTTTACAACGGCGCCATGCTGTTTGCAAAACACAAGCTGCCCTTGGTTCCCATTGCTGCAAACCAAAGCTGTTACTGGCGGACCTATTAAGCTGCACCTCCCCTCGCCGGAAAATCTCTTGCAGCTGCAACTGAGGCTGCCTGAGGCGCAGTTCTTGTGAAGAAGATGACCACTGCGCCCTGGTTTTCTTTCTGATAATACCAAAATGAAACGACGCCGTTTTGAATTTGGGGAATGAAATCCTCTTAATGAAACGGTGTGTTTTGTGACTTGAAAACATTTCATTTTAACCTTATTAATGAAATCCTTTTATTGAATTCCTATTATATCCCCATGAATTCAAGCCCAAATTGGACTTGCTGAGTTGATATCCCCGTGACATTCGATTCAAAGCCTGGTTGGTTTTGTGATTGTATCAAAATTTATATATGGCATTACTTTCTTTAGTTGATATTGCCGGATTAGTTTTTTTTCTTTTTTTGCCAACTTCTTTAGTTTAATAATATGTTATTAAGTAATATCTTAGCCCTTTTTTAATTACTTTGATTAGTAATATCATAGACCGATGCCGGCCAACATTCATCAGGAGAAGTCTCATCCGGCAAATGTTTGCCAGCTTAGGTCTTTGCCGACAAAATCATTCGTCGGGAGAGGTTTTTTTATTTTATTTGAAATTAGTTTCTTTACTCTCTTTTTTTGCCAACTATTTTTGTTTAATATATGTAATTAAGTAAGATCTTAGCCTTTTTTAATTACTTTAATTTATTATTATATTTTAATTATTATTTAGTTAATATTTTAATGATTTCATAAATTACTCAAATATTCGAATATATTTAAGGAAATATGACACTATAAATCCATATTTTTGCTACACATAAATCCATATTTTTATTGTTGGTGATATATTAAAAGAGTATAGCCACACAATTATACATTATAAATATTCTATTTTAAAGGTCTAGCCGCATGGCTATAGTATTTAAAAGAATATTCTGAACTTATAGCCGTGCAGCTATACGCTTCAAAAGTATAAAATTAGTTTTTTACTCTTTTTTTATGGCAACCTTCTTTAATTTAATTTATGTAATTAAATCAAGAGTAATGCTACCAGAGGCGGACCTACAGAGGCGCAAGGAGGAGCAGTTGCACCTCCCCTTGCCGTAAATCCTGTGAAAAGGCTGGATTATGCACCTCTGCTGGTCCCAAGGTTCTGCATTTGAGGTGTGTTGCAGGGGGTTTCAAAAACGAGGAAGATGACTTGGGCTTTCTGTTTTCAATTTTTTGCAGCGCAAACGACGTCGTCTTTGTTATCCTCCAGCTCAAAAGGTGTTTAATGAAACGGGGAGTATTGATTGATACAATTCTGACTTTCGGCAAATTACCACTTTAACCATCTTATTATCCTCTAGCTCAAAAAACGTTTTAATTATCCCATAATCAATTAACCATGTGAGCAAATTAGGATTCCCTTCCATCTAGAAAACCCACAACCCAAATCTCTCGAAGATTTCTTCAGTGAAAATTTAAGTGCTGATGGGTTAGTCTTGAAGATATATTTTATGAGGTAATATTTCTTGTGGCTTTTACAAGTTATTATTTCTCACTTTTATATTTTGGGATTGCTTATTCTGCTTAGATGAATAAGTATGT